GCTTTTCACCCAGTCCTTTGAGAAAGAAACTATCAAGATGGTCCATATGATCCACTGATACACGTGTCAAACTTCAAAGCTCTCATTGGAAGACCAATTCTTGTATAGTAGTTGAGCCCCTTAAAACTCTCATTTCTTCCTCTAGCACTGTTGTTGTGACTTTCGCAGTCACTCAAAGCTTTTCAAGTCATTTGGACTAGCCTTATGTGATACGCAGAAGCATTCCATCCTAAAGCCATCATCTTCCAAAGGCTCAGTGCTTAAATTGCCAATGGAATAAGTTTGTTGATATAGGAAATTCCCCTTTGCTTTGTTGATGTTTTTTCTCAACCCTCGCTCAATTTTGATGTTCGGATGTTTGGAGCCAGCAAATGTAAAACTATAGCAACGCATCAACGATACTTCCCCAAAGTTTAATGACAACAACGGTTTTGATCCATAGAGAACAGACTTGAAGTACAAGAAGTTTAGCTCTGTATCATAGAAAATCATGTCACTACCTATGTGTAGCTTGTAGATTCAGCACAAGGTCGTTATGGCTGGATGACTTCAGCTATAAAAGGCCAAATGAGTAACAAAGGTCAATTCATACTTGTCAAGACATAACCAAAGCCTAAATCTATCAAGACATACACTTTATGGTACAGAAAGTGTACAGTATATTGTGTCATTCGAAGTGAAGCATTTGGAAAACAGAGTGAATGGTGATCAATAAATTTGGTTATCCCAAAGTTCACAATACAAAAGTAACAAGAAGAGCTGTATCCAAACGTAGCAAAGTCTTAGACCATCCACTATAGCAGCTCTGCTAATTCCATATCTCTGACTCACACCAAGGTAATGATCGTGTGTCGTTCACTCTAGTTCCGATAATAAATCTCCGTCTAAAAGTGACATAAAAAGTAATGACCAAAGTAGCAACAGTCATAAATCATTCGAGAACTTGAGTCCCAATCACTCGATGACAAATGTATCAGTTGCTGAGACATCTCATGTGGAGCCAAGAGACATGGACTTACTAATAAAGCAAAGCCCATGGATCATATGAAATGATGACAATACCAGATGGCGTCTAGATTGATGATCCCTCAGTCTCAGTAGTGTATCTTGGATGGATTATAAATAAAAGTGGTTAGCCTCTTAGATTGTTGAAGTTTATATTTCTTTAGATGAACAACCAAATACATTGTTCACTATGTCTGCTGATAGAAATACATCAATGACTTGAGACATCCGGTTGAATCTCCAACAAATGCAATACAGGAACCAGACATTTCTTGTGGTTCAAATTCCACATGATTATCCACCACCATTTGGAAGACAACAGAGTTCGAATCAAACCCATGATGAAACATTATAACAAGTCACATCGTATAGTTAATTGTCAACAGGATATCCTGTAGTTGCTGTGTGCTCAAGCTCTCTGTTGGACTGTGTAAGTAGAGCCTGTATCATCAAATGCTTTGGATGTTGTAAATAATCTTCTTCAATTTGAAGTCGAGACAATACACCAGTGACTCATGATAAAACCTTCAGATCAGTCACAAATCACACCTCTGGTTCCATATGATCCGTTTTGAGTACTGTCTTGTTTATCCCTTGGTTTCTGTTGTCTATGGATAAGACCTATTTCCTTGGTCATTGGAATCAACGATATTTCCAAGTTAGACAACAGAGCTCTTTGGGAACACAGCGCAGAACATTCAGACAAGTCTCATAGCATAACTGGCTTCCCAGAAAATGCACCATATGTGGTATACAACTGTCATCTTGTCTGAGATCCGTAAATGCGAGCTGTTTCATGAATCACTAAGACCATCACCAGTTTCAATTAGAAATCGATGTAGTTCTATGAGGAGTGAAGATAAAGCCACCAAGGCAGTTTCATAATTCAGAAATGTCTAGCCCTCATTGACTATTGGTAATGTGTACTTCTCCTTTGATTAATGTCGAGTAATGGTGGACTGTTTCAAGAGACACCTCACATTTGTGTTTCACTTATACCAAAGAGCAATAGAGAGCCACATAATACCATTACGCAATAGAAAACAAGAATACTCGGATATTGATACAATCTATCAGTATAATGTATCACATAATTACTCTTGAAACCATATGGAAATGCCAATTCATACGTGTAGGTGTGTTGATTCAGAGCTGTGTGAAGCTTTAGTCAAGGAGATAGGGCCATACCTCGTCGTGAGGAACTGAGGTGGCCTTTTGATCTGTGATTTGGCTCATAAGTTAACCGAATGGTCTATGTGATCCATTGATACCAGTCTTCCCCTCCAGATCTCTCAGTGGAAGACAAAGTCTTGTACACCACGTGAAACCATTGGGACTTTCATATATGCCACCTCTAACACAGATCTTGAGACTTTCACAGTCACTCAAAGCTTTTCAAACCATTTGGAGTAGCCTTATATGATACATAGCAACATTGTACCCTAAAGTTACCATCTTCCAACATTTCCAAGCTTAGACTGTTAAGGGAATAAGTGTGTTGATATAGGAGAGACCCCCTTTGCTTTGTTGATGTTTTCTCAATCCCCGCTCAATTTTGATGTTCGGATGTTTGGAGTCAACAAATGTGAAACCATAGAAACACAACAACGATAGCTACTTCCCCAACCTTCAATGACAACAACAGCTTTGATCCATAGAGAATGCACTTGAAGTACAGTTAGTATAGCTCTTTGTCATATACAAATAAGCAAACAACTATGCATTGCATGTGGAATCAGCGCAATGTGGCCATGACTGGATGACTTCATTTACAAAGACCCAATGAGTATCAACAACGGTCGATTCATACTCGTCAAGATACCATCAGCGTGAATCTATCAAAGAGGAGATATCTGGTGACTCATAAAGAGTGTTTTATACTCTGTAACAGAAATTAAAACGTTTGGAAAACAGAGTGAACGGGAATCAATAGGCTTAGGTTATGTCATAGCTCAAAATATGGCAGTAACAACAAAAGACAACGGTTTTCAAGAACCACGGGGGAAGTTTGAGCTGTTGATAGCAATTACTCTACACTTTCGATGCTTTTGAATCACCATATGGCAATCGTGTTGGGTTATTCTGAGAGTATTTGTATTGACTCACAGTTAAAATGTGGAATAAAAAAAGAGCAATGGTATGACCGAAACAGCAAATTTCAAATCATCACAGAAGAAATTTAATCTCTACAATGGCCCTTACCAGCTAACATTCATACCAATTACTTCTAAATGATAGTACCAGAAGGTTCCATCCCACTCAATTATCTTTTAATACCCATCAAAGTAGCTTGGTCCTTATTTTTCAGTTTTGTTTCCCACATAGTCAGTTATAGCAAATGTATCCAGATCACGTTTCCCATAGTTGTGGAATAACGACTATACATCAACATCCACACTAGCGGTACTCACGCTGAGTCTCAACAATCATTGATCTTTTTCAATGGATGAGGATGAAATTTTCTCTTGTTGTTCTGTGAAGGTTGTCAACAAACAAGTAGAAGCTCCCAAGGGCAGGATTCTCTTCGAATGATTCAATTAGCAAAACGTTATCAAGGATATCCAAACATGGGATTGAGGTTAATACCACTTGAAGAATTGAACCTTATCAGACGTCAATACACTCTTAGCTGCACAACAGAACTTCCCAATTTGACTTGCAGCCAGGTTGATGGTCAAGTAATCCAGTCTTGGTTGGACAATGGAACATAAATCTGGTATTCCAAGCTCACATGACTCCTAATAGTTCATTATGAAAACAGCAAAAACAATGGACTGTTTAGAAGGAACTGTATCAGATGGTATCCAGATTGATGATCTATAAGCCCCAGTAGTATTTCTGAGGATTATAAATAAGAACCCTTAGCCTCTAATATTGCCTAAGCTTATATGTATCTAAGAGGCAACGAAATTTATATAGTTCGCTTGTTGATTTCTTACCGTCCCAAGCTCAGTGACTTACTGAGCTCAGTAGAGATAAGGCACCAAGTAGAGACTAATCAACAGTGGACAGTCAAATGCCTATAAATATCCTGATGCTGATGACATATCACAATAGATAGACATACCATGGTCTATCATATAGTATTACCAGGACCGGACCATAATAGAGTACACTCTGGTTACAAAGATACTTGCAATAATGCTTGAAGATGATGTGGATTAACCTAACACAGCGACAGCTCATCCAGCTTCTACACAATATCGGAGTTTTTCATAATATGCCATATTACCATGTATCGACGCATCTCCAATTCGGATGTTACGCAGAATAAAATATCGAAAGATACAATAACCTCGATTACCTAATACGATATCACATACCTTAATGACCAATTGTCAAGACTGTGATATATCAGCACTTCCGACCAATACACAATTGCCACAAAGTACATAAACGTGTGATTCTTGGATGCAAATACATGTATATCCGAGGTAAATGACAAGTCAATGTAAATTTATCTAGACGATAAGTTTAGCACAAATTTTCTCGTACCCGTGTTGATGCTCAAAGCAATCTCTCTTCAAGTCAACGATGGTGTGTGATGGTCTTCTCTTGCATGATCTCAAAACTGTCATCAAGTCCACTTCAGAACTATTACAATGATACAAAATTGTCATCAATCCAAGCTTTACTCATCTTCATAACGTTTTGGTATGTGTAGTCAATTAGTGTACATGTCACAGCTCTACTACATTCCACTAACAATGCACAACCTATTGGTCTCTACTGCAGAAAAGTCTACTTAATTTGTATTTGAAGATAAGGTAGAACTATTGTTGTATCTACAACACGTATATAACACTCTTTAAGTAGTATGATGGAGCACAACAAGAGCCACACGATAACTAGAACTTGTAAAGCACTGTTCAGTATGTTGCATTTAAGCGAGCTGCGAGGTACTCACCTGCGGTTATTGGTGCATACTTCTTAGGGTTTTCCTTTGAGTAGGTGCCATCCAGAGCATCAACAATCTTGTCCTTGTTTGCACTGATAAAGAAAGGTATAGAATAACGTGCCTTGGAAACCCCTGTTTCAGAATCAACTGGGGGATTAGTCACCCTGTGCAGAGTAGAAATAAGTTGGTCGTTCGACCATCTCATCAAGAAATCACCAGTATTGACGACAATAGAGTTTTTGATATATGGTGCAGGGAGGAACACACCCTTATTAAATGGATCCTCAACTTGTAAACCTCCACATTCGTCTTGCAAGAGCATAGTCAATGTTCCAAAATCCGTATGTGCTGCGATTCTTTCCGCCTCACCTGTTTTTAACGAGTTCTCATCTGTTGGAGGATAATGGAGTAATCTCAGCTGGTTATCAGACTCACTGTGGTAAGGCAGGAAAAACTCTTCATCAAGGTCCATACCCAAGGCTATGGCTCTCAAAAACAACTTACCAGTGGCATCACTGATTTTGAAGTAATACTTGCAGTATTCCTTGAAACCTGGAATATCATCATCATCTGGCCAAATGTTGTAAAACCTCTCGTTGTTATCATTCCCCAGATCAAATGACTCTTTGACATCAGGAACCTTGCGAAGTTTGTTAACTTCGTCTTTATCAAAAACCATCTGAACCACTTTCTCTTTGCCAATATGGGACCAGCCTCTATGATGTGCACCTTCAATTGGGTGAGGACATTTTTCCTTTTGTTCTGGACTTAGCTCAAAGAACTTCTTCGACCACTGGAACATACGTTGCTGGTCAAGTTCAGAGATTCCATGGTTGATGATATACATGAATCCAACCTCTCGCATAACTCTCACCATCTCTTTACCCACGGCAAGCTTTCCTTGCTCTGTACCGTTAATAAATTCCTGGAAATCAATCACAGGAACAGAAAAGTCTTTAGAAGGCATTGTAGACAGTATGGATGACTTGGACTTAGTGTAAGTCATCATTCCTCATCTGCTGAATCCATATGAGAAGTCATGCTCTTAAATATCTTAATAGACTTGTAAAGAATCACCCCATTTAGAACAGAAGGAAGAACACATTGTTTTGAAAAGCTGATAACAAATTCACAGCATATGGATAAACTTCGGTGGAGGATTATCGAGCCATACCGCCACCGACGAATAGGTGGGCTATCTTTCAGTCCACCGCCACCAGAAAAAGTGGGTGTTGATGCAAAGAAGAAAAAGAATCGAGTAGACATCAAACACTCTCGGTATTGACGAAGAAAAGACTCCCTTATCAGCAGAGTTTACTCGAGCGAAAACAGTATGGAGCGAACTCTGGAGTAGCTATATCAAGGATACAGGTGCCCAGTCTGCAACAATGGTTCAACACGATGTTTTACAACAAACCTCAATGACAAGAACTTTACTGATAGGTGTGGATGTTGGAGGAACAAACACAGACTCTGTGCTTGTTGATCCGCACAGAGTCAACGAAGCTAATAAAGGAGTGATCAGCTGGAACAAGTCGGTTACAACAAATGATGTATCAGATGGTATATCAAATGGTGTATCAAAGTTGATGGAAGATGCAATCGGTATCGATAAGAATGATATTACATCAGTGACAATTGGTACAACCCATTTCATAAATGCAGTTATTGAGCAAGATGCTTCACGCTTGGAGAAAGTCGCCATTCTCAGACTCTGTGGTCCTTATTCTCGTGAGATTCCTCCTTTTTCAAGCTTTCCAAACGGCTTAAGAAGCATAATGGAAGGATATGTCGGTTACTTGAATGGAGGATTCCATGTCGACGGTAAAAGCATTCAACCTGTTGATGAGAATGAGGTGATGAAACACGTTGATGAAATCAAAGGTAAGAATATTTCCTCAATTGTCATCAATGGGATTTTCTCTTCGCTCAACCCTGAACAAGAGATACAAGTGAAGGAGATGATTCTCAAGGTATATCCATGTGCCAAGGTTGTTATGTCCCACGAAGTTTCTGGTGTTGGATATATAGAAAGGGAAAATGCATCCATTTTGAATGCTTCGATCTTGTCATTCTCTGAAAGAATAATAGGGTCGATTGTGGATGCCATTGAGAACAGGATGGGATTTCATTGTCCTGTATTTCTTACCCAAAATGACGGAACTGTCCTGTCAGCTCATGAATGCTTGAAGTTTCCAATAAGAACTTTTTCCTCTGGAACAACAAATTCTATGAGAGGTGCTTCGTTTCTTGGTAATGTTATTGGTAAACAAGCCATTGTTGTCGATGTTGGTGGAACTACTGCAGACGTGGGATTGTTGCTTCCAACTGGATTTCCCAGAGAGTCATCTTCTTATTGCAACATTGGTTCTGTCCGGTTAAACTTTGGCATGCCCCATGTTGAAAGCATTGGACTTGGAGGCGGCTCCTTGGTTCGTGAAGTCAACGGTGACATCTTAGTGGGCCCTGAGTCTGTTGGATCCCAAATTTTGACCAGGGCATTGATATTCGAAGGTAACGAGGTCACAGCGTCTGACGTTGCAGTTGCAGCAGATAGCAACTTGACCATTGGCGATTCTTCCAAAGTCAAAAATCGTTTCTCTGAAGAGTTCATCGCAAAGTTCCAAGAGCGTGTTAAGCTGATGCTTGAAATCGTTGTTGATAAGATGAAGACGTCGCCAGAAGATGTCACTGTGATTGCTGTTGGTGGAGGTTCATTTATAATCCCAGAGAACTTGAATGGTGCTTCCAAAGTCATTAGACCAGAGTTCTATGGAGTTGCAAACGCTATTGGTGCAGCTTTGGGAAAAATCTCTTCAGAGGTTCACGTCATTAGACAGCTTAATGGAGAACCAAAAGAAGAGATTTTAGAGCAGTTGAAGCAGGAGGCTATCGAAAAGGCACATGAGAAGGGTGCACTTGTATCATCAACGAAAATAGCCTATATTTCCAGTGAACCAATTCCATATTGTGATGGGGCTTACGAGTTTATGGTCAAAACCATCTCAGATATTGACTACGACGTTATCAAACAGAAGTTCAGTCGCTCTTTGAATATAAGATCTGAAGCAAGATCTGGGATCTTCAAAGATTCACATGTTCAAGAGCAAGCTGAAGTTGATCTTGATGCCTTTGATTATCTGAGTTACAAGCCCGTCATAAATAGCGAAAGGCAATGGATCTTGAGTGAGATTGATTTAGAACTTCTCAGAATCGGTACTTATATCCTTGGCTGCGGTGGAGGTGGAGATCCATTTCCTGAATTCTTGTCAACCAGAAATCTTTTGAGGAAAGGCGAAACTATCTGTGTGGTTGATACAAAAGATATCGCTAAATACACCAAAGGTACTGGTAGCATTGGATCTCTATGCAGTGCTGGATCTCCAACAGTCTCTAATGAACAACTGAAAGGACCTGGGATGGTTAAATGTGTTGAAGTCATGAAGAAGTTCACAGGCAAGTCCATTGATTTGGTCTTCCCTGTTGAAATTGGTGGTGGAAATGGAATGTCTGTCTTTCGTGTTGCAACATCTTCTCAACTAAATGTTCCTGTGATCGATTGTGATCTCATGGGAAGGGCATACCCAACCCATTGGCAAACCATACCTGTTGTGAATTCTGAGGATGGCAAACCGTGCTATCCTCCGCTGGTTGCAAGCAACGGTAACGGGAATACCATCATTGTTGCTGAAACAAAGAGTGATTACTTACTCGAGAAGGTCCTGAGAGCGTCTTTGTCAGAAATTGGGTGTACTGTTGATCTTATCAACCCACCAATGGATGAGAAGACCACCACACTTAACACCATCCATGGGTCTTTATCCTTGGCCTGGAGAATTGGAAGAGCCGTGAGAATTGCCAGACAAAGATCTGAAATCTATAAAATGCCACAACGGATCTTAGAGGCCTTTGGCAATAGTGGTAAACTATTGTTTGAAGGAAAAATCGTCGGTGTTGAAAGAAGGCTCCATAAAGGTCATGTTTGGGGTGATGTTCTTATCGAATCTTTAGACAAAACACATGTCATGACGATTCCATTCAAAAATGAGAACATCTATGCAAAGATTGATGACAAAGTTGTATGTTCTGTTCCCGACCTGATATCGATCATTGACTCAAACACTGGTGAAGCTGTTGGTACACCGGATTATAGGTATGGGTTATTTGTATTTGTTCTAGGTATTGCGCCTAGTGATAAATGGACATCAACCACGAAGGCCATTGAGATTGGTGGTCCCAAGGGCTTTGATCTGGAGGATGTTGACTACAAGCCTATCTCAGAGTATAAGCCCCCATTAACTGTCTTTGATGAATTCTTCTCAGACTGAAATCTATGTTTGATCTTTTATAACTCGAAGTTTGTAGCACCATGCTGTTTGAAACTATCATTAGTCTTCCAATTCCGCTACTTAACGCAATATATCCACATGAAATCACGCCTCACACATGGGAATTGCTCCAATCGTGATGATGGTATACTGATGATTGCTACATTTCCATATCTTGATAATTTTCATCCAGCCAATGAAATTAAAGAGGATCAAAAAGGAGGAATAACTATGGGTTGGGAACTCTCTCTTCGGCTTCTTTGTTGGATGCCTCTGACCAGCCCACTACAGTATACCAAGTAAATCCATGCAAAGGTTCAATATGAATACATATTTATGGCTTCTTTCCTGGTGCCTCTAAATCCTTATAGAACCAATACCCAACGTCAGGGCCGTAATCACAGTATCTAATAGAATAACCCAGGTTGTTGATCACATTGAAGTCATCCTCACTGAGAACGACTTTGCTACCTTGCAAATTTTCGTCAATTCTTGCAGGTGTAACGCTCTTTGGGATCACAGAGGTTCCTCTCTTCAAAGCCCATGCAATAACCACTTGAGAAGCGCTGATGCCCAACTTTTTGGCAACCATCTGGACATCTGGGTGGGATAGAATGCGAGGTTCTCCATCCAAATGATAAGTTGGATTTTGATTTCCAAACGCAGAATAAGCAGTAACATGTATTTCCTGCCCTTTATGCCAATCTAAAAACTCCTGTTGCTTCAAGTAGGGGTGCAATTCCATCTGGTGCACTTGAGGTTTAATAGTGCATGACTCCAACAGACGCTCCATTTCACCCCTGGAGAAGTTTGAAACACCAATTGCTCTAACTTTACCAGTGTCCAAGAGGGATTCCATCGCTTTCCAAGTGTCTATATAGTCAATATCGACAACCGACAATTCACCACTTGCATCGAACTTCTGCTTATCATGAGCAGCTGGATAGTGCATAAGGTAGAGATCAACATAATCAACACCTAGTTTCTTCAAGCTTTCATCAAGAGCTTTAGGGACATCCTTTGGATCGTGGTCCGAGTTCCATAGCTTGGTGGTGAGGAAGAAGTTCTCCCTTGGTACATCAGAGTCTTTGATACCTTTCCCAACTGCATCCTCATTCCCATATATCATCGCAGTATCTATGTGGGTGTAACCGGTACGAAGAGCATGTTCCACAGCTTTAGAAACTTGTTCAGAAGGCGATTGCCATGTTCCTAATCCAAACAGTGGCATCTCCACTCCATTGTTGAGCACGGTTGTCATTGTAGTTCCTGAGTCCTCGAGCTAAAAGGAGGAAGGACGGTACCAGCAATCAATGGATTTTCCCCTTTTCTTAAGAGCCCAGGTACAACATCACCTCTGAATATAACAAACTGTTATCACTTTGATAGAACAACTTGAAAAGTGGCGGCCTTATCTTCATTCCACGTCTCTATACCATAGAATCTGATCACGGTGGAGTACCTCGGTGGAGGATCATGGTGGCGGATCTTGGTGGCGGATCTTGGTGGAGACTCTGGGGGAAAATAGACTTTCACCTCAGTGGTTGAGTGCGTCAACACAGTAGATTTACCGTACATAACTCGGGTAAATACCACAGGGAACCGCCACCAGTACCTTATCAATTACACATTCACACCGCCACCAATCAGGACCACTGTATACCGGCCTCTTTTGCATTTCTATTTCGACAGATTCCAACGGTCTCGCTATCAATTCCTTTGAATTGGTGTACTTTTGGTGCTTGTTTCTCAGGTGGAGATGAAGACAAACAAGGTATCTCGGGAGAAAAACGTTCTCTTTTTGAGATAAGGTCCGGCCTTGTATACAGCCGCGTGAGTAATAGTTTCCCAAAGCAGATCCGAAATGGATAATTGGTGTCCTTGGTCAAGAATAAACGATCCTGTTTTAGTTGTGATAAAGCTAACTGACGGCCAGGAGGGGGAGCAGCATTCATTGTGATAAGAAGGCGATTGAGGTTGTTCTTTATGCTTTAGTTGTGCATGATAGAGGCTTTTCAATCATCGGGAATAATTAGCTCTCTACGTATAGCGCAAAGGTATATAAGCGCACAGGGAAGTGCACACTTTCAGCTACCGATAATCAAGCATCTGTGTCTTTCAAGGACAAGAAGCTATTATGATTAAGGGAGTTTTCTCCAAAGGATGGAAAGAGAGACTCCAAGTCCCCACAGATGAAGGTTATGAGAACGATCCGTTAACAAATAGAGATCTGATTCCATTCGGGAAAAATAGAAGAACATGGTCGCCATCAGCGTATGCCATGTACTGGATTATTGAGGCCTGTTCAATCACAGGCTACACCACCGGCTCCTCACTGGTTGGGTACGGTTTAAGCGTCAAACAGGCTATTCTCTGCTCGTTTGCAGCAGGTGTGTTGTACGGAATGTGCGCAGTTTTGATGGGTATTATTGGTGCTTACCATCATATTGGTTATCCAGTGCTAGCTCGTATGGTTTATGGTATTCAAGGTGCCAAGTTCGGTATTGTCCTTAGAATCATCACTGGTATCATCTGGTGGGGTGTTCAGGCCTACTACGGCGCTCAAGCTGCGGCGGTGATGATCAGTTGTCTAAGTCCATCGTTCTTAACTTGGGATTCATTTGACAACAAAAACGACATTACATCAGCCAATCTTGTTGGTCTGATGGTCTATTGTGGTCTAATGGTTCCCTGTCTGTTCATAAAACCGGAGAATTTACACTGGTTTTTCAGAACTGTTACTTTCTTCATAGTGGGTACTTTCTTTGGGATGCTCGGATACTGTGTCAAACATGCACACGGTGTCGGAGAACTCTTCAGTAAGCCCTCTGGTAACTATCCTAGTGGATCTCTTGGATGGGCATGTGTCCAAGGTATATTCTCCATATTGGGTAGTGCAGGAACAGGTATTTTGGGTCAATCTGATTTTACAAGATACTCCAAAACCAAACGTGGTCCTATGTATTCCCAAATGATTGGTGCTCCTACAGCGTTGGTCTTTGCATGTATAATGGGATCTATCAGCACTTCTGCGTCAAACGAATTCATCGGTGAGGTGATTTGGAACCCAATTACGTTGCTGGCAACAATTCTAAAGTACAACAACTTTAACTCTGCTTCTAGAGCTGCTGTTTTCTTCGCTTCGGCATCTTTCCTTTCCCAACAGCTTGCAATTAACCTGCTATTGAACTCTTTATCGTCTTCCATGGATATGGCTGGTTTGTTTCCAAAGTATATCAATATCAGAAGAGGTACGTTTATTGTTATGGCCATTGGTATCTTGATATGGCCCTGGAAGATTTTAACAAGTGCCAAAGCTGTGATAGTGTTTGGTACTGGTTGGGGTTGCTTTGCATCTGCTCAAACTGGTAATGTCATCTTCACCTATTTCGTCACTTACAAGAGAAAGATTTTGCTAAAGGACCTTTATATCAACAATAGCGAATCAATTTATTGGTTTTGGAATGGAATCGATTGGAGATCTATTGCTTCTTTCTTTGTTGGGACTGTTTTCCTTATTCCTGGCTTGGCCTTTGACTGCCAGGGTGAAACTCGTGGAGGCTGGACCTACATTTACAGATTTTCATACCTCACTGGTATTGTTTTGTCTATGGCAAGCTTGTTCGTGTTGGAGAAGATATTCCCAAAGAAAACGATCCAGCCAAGTACAAAGGTTGATGACATCTACAATCCAGATGGTAGCTTGATCGAAGAGGTCAACGGCCTGAGCGGCTCAAACAGTGTTGAACTTGTTAGTGTCTCCGTGTCTTCCAAAGGGCATCGTGAAGAATCAAGCAAGTGAGACATAATGTTTCCATTTTATGCTATTTATATTCTTGTCTATCGCTTTACACACGGATCTTTTATTTGAACTTCTTGTTAGGATGACGTAATAAATGTTAGTCGTATGCCTATACACTTAAGTTACCGAGCTTCTTCTGTAGCTCATCAGAGAGCTTTCTCGTCTCTTCATTTAAATCCTCAAAATTCGTGACTGGTGCCTCAGCAAACGTTGAGACTCTATAACAGTGTCTAGAGGATCCTTCGAAATCAGCAAGTGCAGAATGAAGACATCTACGGTTATCCCACAGCACAACAGTTCCAGGTTCCCACCTTGCTCTGAGATGTGTATCTGGTTGACCATATATCTTGTCCTTCAAATATTTGAAGATTAACTGTGATTCTTCTTCATCAAGGTTGTCAAACTTCTGGGTGAAATGGCTAAAGAAGACATTTTTCTTCTGAGTAACTGGGTGGATTCTTACTATAGGATGAGAATTCTCCTCAGGTGGAGTTCTTAGGAATCCCTTCACTTGTCCGTTGATTTTCGATGGACCCACGTTGGAGAATACACCAGTGAGAGTCTCCAAGATCTTTTGGAACCCTGGAGAAAATCTCTCATAAATCTCCTGCGAATCAACAAAAAGCGTATCGCCACCTGTCTCAGGACCGTCCAAAATTCCAAAGATCGTCACTCCAGGCGTGAACACCTCCCAGTTATCATCGACATGGATCCCAACTACCCGTTTGGGGTTAACCTTTTCATTCGGATCACGATAGACAATGTGGAAGTTTGGCTCCGTTTCCGGAGTTCCAATAAACGAAGTAGGATTCAATGGGCCAAAGTATCTTCCAAAATTGCTGTTGAATTCTAGACCTTTGTCTTTCAAGTCCTGGTTTCTGAAAACAACAAATCCTCTTTGGGCCAAGAGCAACGCTAACTCATCTTTGGCTGCATCTGACAAGGATGATAACTGAATACCGCTTCTAATTTCGGTACCGAACTTGGGACTGAGGTCAATCTTATCAATGTCACTGTCCTCAGGGAATAGATTTGGCAGTTTCGGATCAGCAAAGAAGGCACGATCAATGTAGCCATCGTTATTAGGTGGTGCTGGGTATTTCACATTCGGATTCCAAACTGGCAACCACTCGGGGTATTTTGAGTTGTCATATGCCTCCTTGGATAGCCTTTTGACACCGTCCTTGTCGGTAACAATATCTAGCGGCATCTCTTCTCGTCTGATGTTGGCATTGTAGAGATGGTGGGCAGATCGATTGGACCTCTTCGCCTATTTAAATACTTCTCTGTGTGTGGAGTTCATGCCTTCGTAAAATGTGGCTCTTGTATAATGGCGGCGCCAACACAGCCAGAATAGGAAGTAAATACGGAGGACCAATATCTGTGGCATTTCAAGTTAACAATGGTCTGATTAACGACATTGAAGCATTCACCACAATCCACAGCATCTTAGTTCCCAGCAACAGTAAGTCTTGTCATCCTGAGTAAGTATAAATCCAAAACATCTTTTGCCTAAGCTGAAGTTGAAGATGAACGAGTCCTGGCATCAGGATATAAACACGGTTCACACACGTATTATGTAATCGCTGACTAAACTGGTACTGGAATCAAGCAGACAAGGCAGAATGGCATATTTATCTTCTTTATTGGTTGACTATTGTAGTAATAATGAATAGCAAATTGGATATAGGTATTTCATTTGAGAATGTCATTGCTATCTGCAGCCGAAATTCCATCGGTTTCACTCTCGTCCAAGTTTGATTTGGGACCAAAGTAGTACCTCTTCTTATATGCAAAGTAATATGCAATGGCTAAGACCCACACTCCACAATTTATAACGACAGCGTAGTTCATCGAGGTGCTCTCTGGGTGCCTGGAACTTGGAAACATTGCGAGAACGATAATGAAGCACATAAAAGTGATTGATAAAACATTAGCCACTATGGAAGCCTTCATGCCATGATGGAATAATCCCGGAGTGAACTTATCTCTTCCTGTGGTGAGTCGCAAGATCTGTGGTGTCATCCACGCAACGTAACTACCAATAACACCAATGGAAAATAGTGCACTCGAGGCAGCCTCTCCAACCAGGATTAGCAGTCCAATCAATAGACTGATAGTTGCAGCAGATCCTACTGCCCTTAGAGGAACAGAGAGTCTTTTGTTCACAACTTTGACAAAACTAGAAAAAATGAACCCATCATCTCTTGCAAAAGCCCAAAGCTGTCTCGAGAGAGATGTCATGATACTGCAGCCCATTAAGAATTGACAACTTGCTGTCAATGAAATGAAGGCTACTGCCCATTTTTTGCCCAAAGCATCGTAGAACATTTGAGTGAGAGGCTGTCCAGAAGGTGTGGAGATCAGCTCCTCAACATTGGGATCCATACATGCATTTAACACAATGATAATGAAAAATCCCATCATCCAGCAGGCTGTTATCGATCCTAGAATGCCTCTAGGTACTGATTTTGAGGGATTCTTTGCCTCTTCCGACATGTGAACACACGCATCAAAACAGCAAATGGTCCAAACAACTGGCATGAGTCCAAATTGGAAGAAAGCCCATCCATCAGGCCAATCAGAGAGGTTTTCAAAATGACCAAATATGAATTTACCATCGTTGAATGATCGATTTTTGGCAGTGCCAATTGGTAAAGCGATCAAAAATATCACAACCAAGATGTAATTGGCAACAATTGATGTGCCCTGGAGACGAGCAACGACACCAGATGCAAGCGAACAGACCAAGAGCTCTGTTACTGTGCATGCAGCAAAGACACCATAGATCTGGCCGTTAGTAATGTTGAAGTTTCCGTCCTTCGAGATGTAAACAGCACTGAGAACCTGGACAGCCATCCCATATGTGATTGAGCATAACCCACCAGCTATTGCAGAAGAATTTGTTAAACCGATAACAAAAGATATGAGGTTTCTCCATTTCGGAGGGGCATAGTAGTGTGTCCAGTAGTATAACCCACCTGATGTTGGAATGGCACTTGCAAGCTCAGACATACAATAACCAATTGTCAATACGAAAGCACCTCCTAAGAACCATCCCCACAGAAGCGTTGCTGGCCCACCCATGAGTCCTGTCATCATCGTTGAAGCGACAGATGGTAAAATCCCCATAATGGAGAAGGCAACTCCAAACACTTGGACTGAGCTCATATTACGTTTCAACTCTTGCTTATAGCCGATCTGTGCAAGGAGTTCTGATGCATCGGAAGTTTCTTTGGCATTGATATGTTTCTCTCTTCCAGATACAACTGGATGAGTAGCACAGTTATCTGAGTCCCCTTTAGAAACGTCCATTGTTGCTTGGCTTTATATCGCCTACTCCATACAATGGTGATCGTCGTCGTAGCAGATCATCACTCATTTATAGCTCGACTATAAGCGTCTCTCGCAGAAGCCACAACGTGTGTCATCTTCATAGTTTCTTGTTGATTCTCACTATTGTTATGGCAGAATAATAATATAGCATAGCATCCACTCATTGTTCCACAATACGCAGTAAGACAATGACCGAGCTTGCTCTATTTCACCAGATGCTGACACTAAAATGTCACACTCGACTAGACCTGCCCGAATAGTGCATTTAAGCCTATTTGGTCTGCATATTGATGATCCACAATTCAAGCTTTGACGTATGTATTCCATGTATGCTAGGTAGTTACTCAATAACCACAGTGGCTGATAGAAATGACACTACCTAGAAGTGACCTGTATATAACCGTGTAGAGAGGAATACCGTCTTTTGTTTCATAATATCGAAACTTCCGTATGACCAAACGGCAAGCTCTAATCATCAAGACTTATAGAATGGTGTCTTGGCAAGGTAGGTCTAAGGCAATAGCTTGTTGGTTTTGCTTCAAGCCACTATTAACGACATATAGTGTGTTTATTTGTCCTGCTTCCATGATTGTTGACTGTCCGTGGCAGATTGAGCCTACAAGTTTGAGGAATCAGCCTCAACTATGGACATTCTTTGCAGAGTTTCATCCAAGGATAGAAAATGACAACTTTACTTCCAATTGTTGGGACACAATTGTAGACGAGGAGGGGAGATCTCATATCAACACCGTAGCCAAGTACAACGGGCCAGTGGAGCCCACTTGCTGGAAATGATAGGCCAAATAGTTGTCATCAGAATGATGGTCACAAGCAGCTGGAACTTCTTAACAACAAAATACTCTGTTCTGCAAGATTTAGTCGATACTTCAACCTGGAATCTACGTCATGCTCGGCATCGGTTACCGGTGAGTTTGCATCAATAACCGTAGTGCCGTTTTACAGCCATACCAAGGCCAAAGCTCGGGTTTATTGCCGGCTTTGCCACTTAATCTGTCAGTCGCCTTGTTGCTGCAGGGCTGTATCATTCTTCGGTGAACGGGATACTGGGACTACACACTTCGTGGACTTTACTTCAACAGTAATTGATACCGTTCTCTGGATTTGGTACAACCCCCTGGCCATGCTACAACTCCTTATCAGACCAGACCAGACTACATATCTCACCAAAAATAATTTCAAATCAATTTCTAACTAACTTCAAGACTTTAATGCATGAACATCCGATGAACTGGCCTCAGTTCCCTCCAGACCCTCTATAAACTCGAGTACCTCCTCTTGGTCCTCGTCCAGGTTCGATTTTGGACCGAAATATTTCTTTCTCTTGTATACGTAGAAATATATCAAAGCCAAGATCCATACACCACCATTGAGAACAGCACTATAGTTCATTGTCTCCTTATCAACATGCTTATAATCTGGGAAACTGCACATGATGATGATAAACACCTGGAATGCGATGGAGATCCAATTGATAACAGGACTCCAGAAATCACCAAGGTAGAATTTTCCTGGTATGAAGTTTGCATCCTTGACGACAAATCTCAAAATCTGTGGTGTCACCCATGCAACGTAGTTACCAAGAATTGATAAGGAGAACAGCGCATTAGCTGCTGTAGATCCAATGAGACAAAGACATCCAATGATGATAGAAACGATGGAGCTGAAGCAAATAGCATTGAATGGTGTATACATCTTGTTGACAACCTTGATGATTCTGGAAAATGGTAACCCTTCATCTCTGGCAAAGGCCCACACCTGTCTAGAAATGGCCACGAGAACACTTGAGCCCATAAGGAATTGACCAACAGAGATCAAAGCCATGAAAGCAATGGCCCATTTTTTACCCAGGGAATCAAGGAAAATCTGGGCCAAAGGTTGGCCAGTACTTGAGTTCAATAGACGGTCGACGTCTGGAACCATGCAGGCACAGATAACAATGTTAATGAGGAATCCTAAGATCCAACAGACCGTGATAGAACCGATAATACCAACAGGGACCGCTTTTGATGGATTCTTTGCCTCCTCGGACATGTGAACACAAGAGTCAAAGGCACCGATTGTCCAAACAGCAGGCATCAATCCAAATTGCATGAAAGCCCATCCATCAGGCCAATCGCTAAAATTCTCAAAGTCTCCAAATATGTATGAGCCATCATTGAAGCCACCAACGTTTCTCTTTGTTCCAATTGGCAGTGCGATGAAGAAGAGAACAATGAGGAAGCAATTGACGTATATACTAACACTTTGTAGTCTTGCAACGGCAGCAGATGAGGCACATGTCAAAATAGTCTGTAGAATGATACAGCCGGCAAAAACACCATAGGTCATTGGATCAGTTACTTCCAGATCAGGGTAAGCCAAGCTCGCACATGAGAGGATCTGACCAGCAAGACCATACGTGATAGAGCACAACGCACCCACCAGAGCCAAAGAGTTGGTGATACCAATGAAGAAAGACAGAGGGATTTTCATGTTCTTTGGAGCGTAGTGGTAACTCCAGAAGTACAAACCACCGGAAGTTGGGTAAGAACTCGCAAGCTCACTCATACCTATGCCTATAGCAACAAGGAAGAAGCCCGTAATGAACCAACCCCAGATGAGGGACACAGGCCCTCCTGTGAGACCGATAGCTAAGGTACTGGCAATACTTGGAAGAAGCCCCATAATAGAGAAACTGATACCAAACACCTCCAGCGTGGAATAATCACGCTTCAACTCTTGCTTATAACCCATCTCTGCAAGAAACTCATCATCCATGTTCAGCGGACCCGCCGAGCCCTTCGTTGAGTTGAGCCCTAGCTCCAAGTTCGTCTCGGTCGCTACAGATTTCGCCATCTTTTCTGGATCTTGTTTTCTTTCACCTCTGTGAGTGATTCTTCCATAAGCACTGGACTCTACTGGAGAACAACTGCCATATTTGCCATCTCTTATATTCAGTTCTACAATCAATAGGCATCTCTATATCTTCTTGTTTGAGTCGAAATGCGCGGGAATATGCACTGGCCTCCAACTTCCTTTTCGGGATGGCTGAAATCAAATGACAGGTGTTTTGTGATTACCTGAGAAACAGTGCCGAAGGCCCAAGGGCCGGTGGAAAAAATACTGCTGTCACCGACAAGGATAACGGGCATCGATTGGAAGGTGGCAGAAGGCATACGACCGACATGGCCAACTTACTCTGACCAAGAGTCCCAAATAAAGGATATATACAGGAGAAAAAAAGGGAAGGAGTACGTTTCAGTGCGTATAATGGAGGGGAATCGAAAACATGGACGATCTTATGGAGTAAAAGCCCTCCAGCCATACCTGAGCCTACTGGTTATAACTACTCTTCTAAGCCTATTAGCACTGCACCTCAAATTCAGATGGTTATCATAAACTTGACACGAGCCTCTTATAACTTCCTGCTTCGGGCGTGGTTGCTTACAGCCTACACCCACACACCCAATTGCAGAGCACGTTGGTTTATCTTATCAGCTTTAATGCCGTCAGCAGGTAGGCGCACGCTTTTTGTGTGGAGATATAATATTCTTTGATGATTCTTCAACCAATTGCTTATATAATGTTTAACTTTACTTAATCTTACCAATCGCGGCCAGTTGCGCTGAATGGATTATCTGTGAACGCTTATCGCCCTTTAGTGCATTAACGTCATCAGACATCTCCTTAAACAGGAACCCGAGCAATGTGTCCCCAGCGCCTGTAACGTTTGATACCGTCTGTAGAGGCTCTGGGGAGCTGTAATGCTCGAACAGGACTCCTTCGTGATCCTTGCCTCTAGATCTTAAAGAAAGATCTACGCCGTCAACTTTGGGTACTTTGACGATATCACTGTGGCGTGAGAACAGATAAACACCATTAATGCCGTCTTTCACCAGTAAACAGTTAAAGTAGGGTAGTAAACTGCTAGCCATCTGTACAACGCCTTTCGAAACTATCTCTCTATACTGTGGATTCCTCATTGTGGCTGCCTCGACGTTGCTTCTGAAAACACCATCGAGTCCCAGCCTGTCAATTACCGGGAACCATAGATCGAGATCGAACTTCCCATTCTGTTCAAAAGATTCGTATAAAGAGCATAATTCGGCAACTGTAGGGGTGCACAGATGGATTGGGTGATCTGGAGAGAGAGAGTCGATGGCCAACCTCGAAGCCTTCGTAGATGACGTTGGTTCAACAACGTATTTGAACCCGTACTTGGTGCTTAACTTGTTGATGAAGTTGATGAGATCCTTTGAAAGGTTACAATCAGACAAAACAACTTTGGGGGAGGCTTCTCTAATCACGTTTTCGACAAAGTCTGGTTGGATTTCTTCAATGATCGTCATATCAGCACCACCAATGAAAAGAGAACCATCAGCATCATGGAATGATATATATTGTGCTGTTCTCGAAGGGGAGACCGCTATCGATGTTGATGGCAAATCAAGGGAATCCATAATCTTTGAACCGTAAGGATCATTACCCACACTGGATACGAATCTCATGGATTCGTTACCTTGCTTGTACGATTCGAGGGCAACGTTATATCCAACACCACCAATCGAGGTAGCCATTGTGGCAGGGTTTGAATCCTGAAGAACAATGTCGCCTTTCATACAACAGTACGTGTCGAGAGCAATGGAACCTATCACTAAAGATTTAACCTCCCCCGTTGCCTTTGTAGATTCTAATTGACCAGATTCGTGAAGTGGTTCTGAAACCTGTTCCTCTACTCGGTTTTCTCCGCTAGTTTTCAATTGGCACAGATGCTTAGCAACAGAAGCGGCAGCTCTAGCATTGTTCAAGACAAATTCAACGTTTGACTTGACACTGGCACCTCCTGTTGCGGTTGCAATCTTACTCAAGAGGTATGGTGTCAGTTCTTTACCCTTTATACCGAGTGCATGTGCCTCCCTGTTGGCATCCTCTATAATTGAGCTGATATACTTGTCATCGAGCGCAATTTCCTTAGGTGGAGGAATGCAAAGGAGTTGACCAGACTCAAGTCCCATCAATTCTCCCTGGTAGATGATCTCTGCCGCTTGTCTCAAATCTTGAAAGTTATAGACGGACTTCACACCTGAATCTCTCGTATAGAACCCGGGAATATTTGTGCCTGGTGGTCCTAAAGTTCCAACAAATACCCCCTTTGTCTCCAAATACTCCATGGTGCGTTCAATATCGAGAATGCTTTTCGGGCCAGCACACACAACCGCCACAGGTGTTCTCCCCAGCTCGTCCAGATCAGCGCTAACGTCCATGGTGTTTTCACCATCCCTATGGACACCACCAAGTCCTCCAGTGGCAAACACTTTGATCCCAGTTTTATGTGCTAGTATCATCGTCCCACTGATTGTCGTTCCACCATTCAATGAATTGGCCATAACATATGGGATATCTCTCCGAGACACCTTCACCGCCGCATCTGATCTCGCTAAGAATTCAATTTCAGACTCACCCAAGCCAACCTTAGGAATACCCTTGATGAACGCCATCGTTGCAGGAGTAACACCACTGGACCTCAGCTCCTTTTCAACCCTCTTCGCCATACTCAAGTTCTCCGGGAAAGGCAAGCCGTGTGTGATGATTGTAGATTCCAGCGCAACAACAGGCCTATTACAAGCCAGCGCATCCCGCACTTCTTCAGAGACTCTGATGGTTGATAACCATCTTCTAAACACGCCCTGGTGCCTTATACGCTGGTGAAGCATCGCAATCTGGTGGTTTGTTTACTCTTTCGTCTTTTGATGTTCAACTTTGAAGTACTATTTTCTACACTTTGTTTATTTTTGCTTTTGTGTCTCGTCAATTCGCAGTTTTTCCAATTCAAACGTATATAAAGAAAACACTACGCTATTTACAACGTCTTCTCTTCCAAAGAGATGCTGTACTCATCCTTCAACACCTTCATGATTGGGTTGTTGATCTCTGGAGAGTATGGAGCAACCAAACCCTTCTTGACTGGCAATTCGTCCTTCAAGATAAGTTGGGTAGCAACGGCACATGGGGTACCAACCAACTTAGCCATGGAGGAGTATCCGGAGCCAGTTGGAGCACCAAAGTCGATCAAAGTAGAGGTGCGGGTCTCCTCTGAGCCGTCCTTGTTAACGATACCGAACTTGTGTTGCAACAAGACCAAATCTCTTTCGCCCTTCTCCAATTGCAACATGCTCTCGAACAAAGCACACAATGTGTCCAATGGGTTGCCTCTTGGTGTGGTTTGCTTATCGGACAAGAGACCAAACCATTTGAAGCCATCGATGATCTTGTCCTTGGCAGCGGCGTCGGCAAAAGTGGTCTTGGACTCGATGGCAGCGATCAAGTCCTCCTCAGAAGAGGACTTGGCGCCCAAGTACTCCTTCAAGGCCTCGTTCCAGCCAGTTGGCTTGGAGAAGACCTCGGTCTCCTCGTCCTTCAACAATCCCAAGTCGACGAGAACCTTGATGAACTCTGGGAAACCCTCGAAACGAAGGGTACCACGGATAACAGTTTCAGCCTCTGGGATCTTGTACAAGTCTCTAAACACAGTGGAGTCTCTGTTTGGGTAGCACACCAACTCCTTGCCGGTGAATCCATCAATGGTGTATGGGGTGGTGTAACCCATCAATTCTGGACCATCAACATCAACTTTCTTACCATCCTTGTAGAAAGTGGCAGAGTTTCTCAAAGCGAGAAGAACACCTCTGGCAGACCAGGAGAACTTGTAACCCAATGGGTTGTTGGCATCCTCTGGAGCAACCAAACCACCACAGTAGGAGATAAAGGACTTGATTTGACCACCAGCCTCATGAACCTCAGAGATAGTCTTGACAGCGTACAAGTGGTCCAAACCTGGATCCAAACCAATCTCGTTGAAGACAAGGATACCAGCCTCGTTGATTTGATCTTCCAACTCCTTCAAAGCTGGGGAGATGTAGGAAGTGGTGACAACGTTCTTCTTGTGCTTGATAGCAGACTTGACAACTGTTGCGTGGTAGATGTATGGAATCAAAGAGATGACGAGGTCGTGATCAGAGACAGCAGCGTCCAATTGCTCCTCCTTGGAGACATCAACAGAGATAGCAGTAGCCTTCTCACCAGCCAACTCCTTGGCCTTCTCCAGAGTTCTACAAGCAACTGTGACTTCAACACCATCGGTGTTGGAGAGAATATCAACGGTTGGCTTAGCAACGAAACCGGAACCCAACAAAAGAACTTTCCTGGAGTGAACGAGTCGTTAGTGACCAATTGCGTGGTTAACATATAAAGAAGTGTACTCACTTGACCATTGTGATAAATAAGTGTGTTTTCTGAACCCTCTTCAAAAGACTATAAAAGTGAAGAACAAAGAGGGAAGAAGGAAAATGGACAAAGTCGTTTCACCGATCGGTGTGAATCTTCTCAACATCCCCTTTGAACGGGAGATGGAGGCCGATTTCCGCTCAATCGGCCTGTTCAGGTACTTTATTTCCTAATTGAGAAGATCCGGGGAAACATCCACCGGAACGGGATTCTGAAGCACGCACGCCCTCCAAAAAATTTTCACTCCAAACAGGTAAAACTTAACCACCTTCCAGAGCAAAGTGAAAATAAGGGTTTTTATCACTACACCTGTGCCATTTGAATTGGGTGGCTAATGGCTCCACATGCTCCATGATGAGACGTTTTAGAACTTACAGTGAGCTCAGTTCTTCACGGAATTTGTGTGCTCCTTTTGCTTCTACTCCGTTTCGTTTGGGAGGGAGTCATTCACCACTCTCAAGATTAGACAGCGTTGTAGTAAACAAAGCCCGTAGATTAACATTGATGAGTTTGCAGAGTGCATCTGTCATGTTGCACTTTCACGTGTAATTTCCATATCCCATTGCTTTTGTCTTTTTGAAAACTCATTACATTCGATGCTAAATATTTGTAATAACCATGCTCCTGTAAACAGACTCTGTGTAGCTCCACTTAGTGAGGACGCGTACTGCGTAGTGAGTAACGCAACAGGGACCAAATAAAAATCCCAGCGCAGCACAACCAAGCGTGTTGCATTCAGGCAGCTCACCAGGAGAATTTTTTCTTGAGACCACTTTACAGGAAGGCACTTAACTTCCAGGGACCTAACCTCAAAGGACACAACTTCCTAGTGCTATAGACATGGAGATTCCATACGCAGAGCCTAAATTTGTGCCCAAGAACTTATCTTGGGATCTTAGGCTTCAAAAGGTTTACCGTTCTTTCAAGAAAACGATTCCCGCGTGGTACTTGTTGAGCGTGGTGCTTGCGATATATGTTTACATCAAGGATGCCGCGTCTCCCTTCGTGAACACCAGCACAGGCGATGACTCCATCGTGTTTCAAGACACATATCAGCGTTCAGCTGATGATGGGCACGGGTTGCCATATCTGAAGAAGTCCATGGCTTTGGAAGAGTTCCCCTTTGAAGCCGGAACCTGTGTGCTGCCAATAGCACCTTACAAACAGGTTCGAGGCAAACTGGACTTCAGGGCTACCGTCGCGGTGTACCTAGAGGCCATTAGAACACATGTTGAGAAGATAACCTCTGGCGAAGTTGCTGGATCTCAGCCACCGGTGTTGAACTTCCATTGGAAGGACTTTGTTGATCTGCACATTCTGGACCCTTTACTTGAAGAAAAGCCGAATTGCTTTAGAATTGGTGCACTTGGTTCCACGACCAGAATCCCGTGGCAGAAGTGTTTAGACGAACCACAGAACTTGGGGTTTGTCTTTATCAACCCTTCATTGGAGCCTGAAACTGAATTCAGACTGTCAATAAGAGGTAAATCGTACCTCTACACTGCAGCACCATTGCCTAATAAAATGGTGTTTTTAGCAGGTGAACTTGCCCTAGTTGGAAGGATCGGTAAAAGGTTGGCACTGGACCAAGGATTGATGATTGATGAGTACGTGCGGAGGAAAATCGTTAGAAATCAGGAACTCACTCAGGATCTCGTTGTCAAGTCACCAATTGATGCTAAGGATGAGATAGATGGGATTGCCAAAGCTTTAAACCGTGGGTTGATAAATTTCGGTGCAAAAAAGACTGCAAAGAGAGTTGTCGATATGAAATCATTGGACTTGCCAACTACAAAACTGAGTGATAAGCTAGATAAGACCAAGTTGGCAGGTAATGCACAGGAGAATGACGATCGTCATTTCAGAGACGTTGTTATCAAGTCGAAAGATGGGAAATGGGCATCGACAGAGCTTTATGATTGGAGGTTTTTCAACAAGAAGCTGAACAACCTGAATAAGAGGAAGGCATTGCACGGTGTCGTAGAGAATTATCTACAGCTGTGTAGTAACTTGGGTATCACCACATGGTTATCACCAGACTCATTGACCTCTTGGACGTACAATGGTCTTATGGGACCTTGGGAAGATACTGTAAGATTTGAACTACCTGCAGAGGACTTGAACAGATTAGCAACAGGCTTCAACTATTCCTTGGTCATTGGAGACCCAAAAAACACCACTGGTGGTTATTTAATGGATATCTCGCCTTGGTATCTGGAACGAGCCGTTCAACACACTGTGGAAGCATCTCCAGATGCTGCTGATGGGAGATTTGTCGATATAAGAACTGGTATTTACATTGAGATCGCCGGTGTGGCACAAGTGCCTGATGTTCCAGAAGAAATATTGGAGAAGTACCAAGATAAGGACTTGGATTCTTATGTTTTCACAGGATTTGGTAACCATTGGTACTTGCCAGATCTTTTACCTTTGAACAAAACTCTGTATGAAGGTAAACAGGCACTCGTTCCAAAAACATTACCTTCTGATCTTGCACCACCACCTTCTAAGTACGTATACCGTGAACATTTACGTCTGTTTGTTGATGAGGCCAAATGCTCCTATGTTCCTGAAGAGGAGAAGGATAAATTCGATCTGACATACATCGGTTGTTGTCATGATAATCTGATCTGGAAGGAGTATAACTCTACGAAAAATGCAACCCTACAATTCCTGAATGTTAACGGATATCCTATCAATGTCAAAGATGAAGTGTCCATAATATTTGATTAGATGGCCAAACCCTTTCCCTTATCAGGAAGCCAGTTGAAAGCACTTAGTGCTTCTTTCCTCTGTTCTGCATTTTCTTTGAATTGATCAAAATGGTCTGTCAATAGAATCAACTTTTCACAATCTTGTAGACTTCTAACCAGTATGTTTCGCAAAGTCTTTAAGAATACTGCAGGGAAGGGGATCAAGACGATCTCCATGGTTCTGACCAACACTTTAACCAAATATTTTAACTTGTTAATCTTCTTTGTATTTGTAGCGTCCTCTTTCTCCATATTGTTTAAGATTAAAAATACAGCGTAACCAATTGCAAATAAGAAGATCGAAAGTGTATACGGATACCACCTCATTTCGGGATCCATCTTTATTAACTGTTCCAGCACTTCCACAGCATGCACCAAGATACGGTATTCATGATGATGAATATCACTGTCAAAATTGCAAATAATGGTGTATGAATTGCCTCCATGGTCCACGATGAACTGTTTCATGAACTCAATGCTGAGCGAGATGAACTTTGCATAAAGCAAGTCTCTTCTGAACCGTTCAATATGAGAATCTGGGATGCCGGTTTTACCCCTAGCAAACTTTTCAGCGCTTTGTATATGGCTATTGTGCAATTTCAACAGCTCATTAACCCGTTCCAGAACATCTTTGTTGTTTGAATCTCTCTTGTAGTTGAAAATCAATCCTAGGATCTTTGCCAGGGGTAAGAACAGCCCATATATTCCCGGTGAAAAGCCATGGTAGTTTTGAAACGTTGGCCTCATTGGATCTGTCTCGGCAGGTCTTGGTGTCAAATCAGACATCATCCAGAACACTTCGTCGCACGGGATAATTATATCTGTAAATTCCTCGTCCTCCATCATAGGTTTTTCGTTAAAGGAGAACGAGATGAGTCTGTCCCACAGGTAAACACTGAGCCATGTACGGCGCTGCTCTTCCTTCTGTTCCTCATCTACACCATGAGTAACGAGTATGAGGTGTTTCATCGCCTTACAACCGACTGGCCACCAACGCAGAATATCCAATGGATACGTGATCCAAGGCATGAGATAACCAATGTGTAGTGTTGCTAAAAGGTCATCGTACTCAAACTTTGCCGGGTCACAAGATAACCGCTTCTCAATCTCACCGTACAACTTTTGTGATATCAACACTCTTCTGGTTTCACCAAAGTAGGGATGGTCAATGTGTAGCATACTTGTGAGGAGAATCGCCAATAGCAGGGTCGAACTCAGCTTTCTTCTCCCGGTCAGCACCATGCTTGGTCTCAGAATGGAGAAAACGTTCGTTGGAGGGAATAGCACATCACCAAAGTAGAAATCGAGTAAGTCCTCTGCAACTTCCACGGGTAATCCGAATTTGTCAATCTCAAGCATAACAGGTGAAAGCAGATCTCTCTTTGACAGGGATCTGATCCTTTTACCATTCAGCGGTGAGAATTCCTGGATTGAAATTGGTGGCTGAAGAGGGTCCGCTTTATTCAAGCCGTTCTCCAGCTCTTTAGGCTTGCGCTTTCTGATCTTCTTGGGATACTTATCACTGGCACGTCCTCTCTTCCTCTCCTTCCTCAAATATGTGCACTCCAGCTTCATGTGTGAGCAGTGTAAACAAGGCTGTTGGCCATTGCACTTGGTTCTCTTGATGTTACAAGAGTCGCATGCCTTCCTGATCCTCGTATTCTTCTGCACAGGCACCATAGTGTCCTGTTGCGAATCTCTGTTGATCCAACACGCTTCCTCGGTTCGAGTAGTATATATATGTCCCAGTGGTCGAGAACAAGTCAAGTGAGCCGATCAAGCTTCGCTCTATGTGAGAAGGATGGAATGTGTGGTGCTGGTAACCAGGTAAAATGATAACACTGGATGGTGAAAACACACAAGCACAGGTAAACTAGATCAGGTTTGGGGAGCTAGAAGGTTTGAAATTGTAGAAAGGAAGTTTAATCATTTGAATTAAAATATCCCAATTTCAATACCCAAACAAGAAGGAAACCAAGTGTTGCAACAACAACCTTGCGACGAGGGAACGGGTTTGAAATTTCTAAAAGTGCGCATATGCTAGGCAGTAAAAATGGGACAAAACAGACAGACACAACAGTCAACGAACGCCAAATTAACCGAAAAGCTGTACGATGGAATCCCCTGCAAAGGCCTCTTTTCCTTTTTAGCTGGTGTGCGCTTTTCATTCGCCTCGACTACAAAGTTTGCTTTGCAGGGTGAAGGGGATTTTTGACCGGGAAAATGCTATCGACACCATCGGGCTTATTTGCAGGCCCTCTCAGCTTTCCTTTACCCGGTGGCATAAGGTGCTCACTACGGGCTACATCGAGGTTTCCACTGTGCAAACATCCGAGAGGAAAGAAGGAGAGGTTTCATCCAGTTTGCAACGCTGTGTTGGTACACAACTGCTGGGAGGGATTTGGATTGGAATTGGTAGTGACTTATTCTGCCGGCGAGGCTCCAATCGGCCGTATCTGACAGAGCATGTTCAGGTTTTATACTGCCGGAAGGTGTGGGTGCTGGAACGCTTGCCTCGGAAAACTTTAACATGCACGGGTGGCCTTATTGGGCCGTGAGCAGGAAGGGGGGCAAAATTGCCCCCTGTCGTGAGAAGGTGTTTGTTCATATATCCGCCTTTCAGTTATTTTTTTAGGATGGATGACCTTCTTTAGAGCCTCGGCTAATATATGGGGAAACATCTTAAAAGGGGGACCTTTACAGCATAAAGTCAAGGGTATGGGGGCCATAGGAAAGGTGTGTTTTGTGTGTGGTTTTCAGGCGGGAGCAAGAATGTCCGGCCCAAATGCGATTCTACCGGCAGAGGACATATCCGTAAACTTCACAAACGTGAGGTGCTTGGCAGGCCTGGAATTTTTAGTATGTACTTCGAAATGAACCGCACGTACCTCGTCCCTGGTGTCGTCCACTGTCCACTGTGGACCCAGTGATGAGCAGTGGTGTGTTCTTAGGGTTCAGTGTATAGTTTCCAAAAGATAATGATATCACAATGTGGTACACAATCAACAACTGAGCAGTTATCGATGCGGTTCCCCTCTACCTCAAGTGCTCGCTGTATGTTCTTGGTAATGTGGAATGGAGATAATTCCTACTAAATATGGTGTCAGAAAGATGAGATAAAAGGTTAGGTCATGGGAGTTGGAAAAAGGTGGGAACACAATGGTTCAAAGAGTTTGTTTTAAAGCACTGGAACATCCGAATCTTGACAGTTCACGATTCAAGTTGTGTCAATATAACGTAAAAGGTGTAACAACTCGTAGGTGTTACAGTAGTTTACAATTCGATAAAATCAGCAATAAATCCCAATGCCGAATCCAAAGGTCGAATATCACAGTGGGATTCGCAATGGCGTAGTTTCCGGTACGGTATAATTCCCTGTGGATCTCCCTTATTGCCTTAATTAACACGATACGATGGAACCTTTATGTAAAATGTGCAGAAAATGATACGCCATTGCTCATCAGATAGATACCGGAATATGGAGCATTAATTGGTGTATCAATGATTGAGTGTGAGAAATTGGAACCTAGCATGAACTGTCAGTTGTTAATACCACTGTAGTATGCACGTTATAGTTGTGAGTGATGCACCATGGTTAAGTATATGTCTAAGTTTACCGTGATTATGTAATCAATGATAACCCTATTAGTGTTTTGGCTGTCTACTATCACTAACCCTGCGCCGCCTGTTAGTCTCAATAGTTGTAACTTGATGAGTATATTAAGATGTAAGGAATGGTTGTGTTATGATATAAGTCACCTTTCAAAGTAAATAATTGATATATCGCTCGGGAAGGCCACACTGGAACACCATACTTATGTTACGACATACGTAGATGTGATTGATTGCATATTAATCAAAGAGTATATTAACTTGAACATCTTGTTGAACCTTTGAACTGTTATATGGTTGACATTAATCATTAAATAAAAAAAATCGATACTCTACATAGTATAGAATATTGTGAATTTCATTTTTCTACTATTAAAATTCTGAGAATAGTATGATCTTCGGAAAGTTCAAATTTTAAATATACATACTCAATTCATGACCAATTATAAACCAATTGAAATGGTCTGAGCTGTTCTTTTTGTATCAATTAATAAGTAGAAATGCGGCTATGAATAGCATCAATTTAATAACTACCAACCTCCAGCTAACATAGAAGTTAAGGACTATTGTGACCACTTAAACCCGTACACCATGGAAGAATGCTGACAGTTGTATAACTGTTGCCCAAAAAGGTGCCCTTTTGTAGAATTTCGTGCTCTTCGGGGCTCTCCTCGTAATCTTCCAATTATACTGATGTCACAATAAGTATTTTACTACCAAAAGTTATTGTGTAGTACGTTACTTAGCTCAGGGTGCCCCAGTCTAACTTTAATATAATGACAATAAGACAGTTCTTCAAATAGTATATAGTATAGATAATATAAGAGAAGATCGGTCTCGTTCGTAAGAACTTAGAAAAAGGAAATACAACGATTCAGGGAGTGCCTTTTAAACCATTGTAGAGAAACACCTGATTCTTGAGGATTCATGTTTTCATATTGTAATTTACACCCCAAAAAGGATGTAATCACCGAAAGAAGTTGTACTAAAACGCGAGTGATACAATTCAGTGATAAATCCGAAAATCGAATCGGAAGGTCCGAATATCACACTTTTGGAGACTTTTGCGCCAAATGTGAAACTGCCATCTGGGCATGAAAAGACACAGCAAAATGACAGCAAAACTGATCTATACCAGAAGAAGTGACCGATATGGGCAATTCAAGCCTAAAAGTTCAAGCCCTTTCCACAGGAAAAGCTTTACAAAGCATACAAACGGACATTTGACAAGCTCCTTATCTCGCTCGTATTGTCTACCATCGAGTCCGGAAGGGACCAGACGTTCTCCTCGTCATGGGCCAGTGTAGACCATCCACTCACCACGCGTAGTTCACTCAGCAGGAAGGCGTGTGTCTTTACCACCTTGCTGTGTGATTTTCGACCTGTGGACTCGGTTTCCGGATTCATCATTGAATTATATCAGCTGTGATCGAAAGCTTGTCAGCTACATGTAACAAAAATTTGGTACTGTGATCATTATTATAGCCTTAGTTCTTCATCCCACATATTGCGTTGTACTTTAAACCACGCAGGAAGCTCTTGTTCTGACGGGAGATCAATCCGAATGGTGTTGACAGAAACGAACGTTTGTTCTGTTGAATAAAATTCATACTCATGATCAACCCCGGCTTGTTGAGATGCGATGACTTGGTTGTTCTTGTTCTTCTGTTTTCTCAGCTCAACCATTCGTAACAAGTTCTTTGGAACCTGTGGGGATGCAGAAAGCATTTGGTCTTCATTTTCATTTTCAACTTCAATGTCATCGTCGTCAATCTCCATCATGTCTTCCGAGCCCTTTAATTGCGAAAGCTGTGATTCCATGGTATCCTGATAAAACGATTTCCTTCTCTTTGTGCTTGGATTTGGGGGCATCAGCTCGATGGTGACGAGGTCTAAGAACACTTCAGAGTAGTAGTTGGAATTTTTTCCACTAAGGAGACGATACTCTGCAATGATACTGGAGCAGCTCCATTTACACATCTTTCGGAGAATTCCAACAATGACATTTGTCTTATCAATCATCAACAAGTTATAGTAGTTCTGATTGAGCAGAACCTTGGTCACTCGCTGTATCGTTTCAGTCTTGAACACCATCCACTCAGAGTTGGTCTCTCCTAATTCCCGATCAAGGAACTCAGACTCAAATTTGATCAGTTTGATGTTATTGAGAGCCATGAAGTTGTCAAAATTCTTCATCACTGGCGTCTCGTTGTCCAGTATAAGTATCGACTTCAACTGTAACGTCTCGAGAAAGGCAAAGTTGATGGCATCGAGTTTTGAACACCGGTCTTTGAGCGTTAGTATGGATCTCCACCGACAATCAGCACCAACATACATATACCATTCTCAACAAGCCCAAAGTTATCAGGTGGAAGGAGCATTGTTCTAATCGCTGCTTGCTTTGTTTCCCTCCTCCAACCAACCCGTTTAGACACACAGGACGCCAAACCCATAAAACCCTCCAGCTCTCCCTACCACCAAACACCGTTACCCTACCCTGTCTCCGCCGCCGCAAGAACCCAAACGGAAAAAAAAGCTCCCAAAGGCATCAGTGGCCAAAAAAATGAAAACAAAAATTACCTTCTTTGGACGAACAGCTTTAGAACAACAATCACAGCACAACAACCAAAGATATATATAAAAGCCAAAAACCGAACTCCAAGCATTGGGAATCAACTAGTGATCACTTTAGTACTTACTGTTCACTGATCATTAATCTCATCCCAATTGTATAAGAAACAAGAGAAGGAAAGAAAGTAAGCGTTTGTGTCGTTTCTGTGGACAGTGAGGTTGTTTACTTGATACTCTTTTACAACGGCGTTGCTAACCAAGGACTCTAGAACCCTCCCTTTTCTTTTATTTCACCAATACACTCAGATTCCATAGAGCGGTAGGCGTGATCCTTACCTTGATCTGAACGCCCACCGTCCCAAGTACCGTGTCATTTACTCCCTTGTCGTCCAATAGCCCGAAGGAGGGCACAATCCCGGAAGAGCTGAAGGACATACCAAACAACATTAGTATTGACAAGGCAATCACCGCACAGCTTGCCATCTTTGCTACGAAAATCACAAAGGAGAACTTTGAATCAACAGTTGAAAAGATCCACCAGATCTGCGCTGCGTCGTCGGAAGAAGTCTACGTCAAGTTCATTAGAAGACTTCTCCTCACAAGTTCAAGTTTAATACCAACAAATACCGTTTCAAATCCAGTTACTGAGCAGCTCATCAAGAGAGAGTTAGAGTCACTTGCTGCACATCCAAACAGAAACGTTTTCAAGAGGGTTATTTTTAGCTTTGACTCTGATCTTTTAGAACTCTTTACACTTGATCAACTCTTTGCAACTTATCAACTTGGTGAGTTTGAACGCATTCGGTTAACACTTTGTTTGGACTTGGATCAGAAATACGCCGAAGACGCAAAGAATATCATCTCATCAGCTCTACCGGGACTCCTACACTCCATCAAATCCAACCAGGTATCCCTCGAAAAGCTTCTTTTAATTTTAAAAGAAATTCATAGCGACTTTTTTTCTACTTTTGACAAACTTCTCTTTGCTTACTCCTTTTCAGGTTTGTCTGTATTCGCAGAAAGTGAGTCAAACAAAGAAGTGTTGTTTAAATCGCTCGAAGAACTTTCTGAAGTCCTTACACAAATGCCGTTCAGTACAATTTTAAAGGCCATTGGCCCAGAAAACATTATTCCGGAGAAGTTTATGAACGACATATTGGCGTTGAAATCTGCAAATGAGTTAACAGATGCGATTTCACTCCTGGCATCTGAGATGCTCTGTCCAGGATCACAAAGCTTGACAGGAGCTCCAGGAGAGTTAACTGCGTTGACTCCGTTAAGTATCCCAGAGGCTTCTGCTAGAGGCTCACAGTTTGGTTCCATTATCAGAAAGTTACCATTCCATCCGTCTTGGCCAGACGTTTTCCAAAAAATGTCGGAACGTTTGCCAAATCCTTTGTTTACAGAAGCGTCACTTAGTGCTCTATTGTCCGCTTTTGATGACCAGACAATTGATGCGTTCCTTGATTACAAATGGAAACTGCCTTTCAAAGTTAATCTCTTTGTGAACTTGAGAAAGCTTAACCCTCAAAATGGATCTTTTGACCTTCTCAGAACGAATTACTTGAAGCCAATTGTTAACGATCCATCGTTCCCAAATCTGAAAAGCTCCGTATTGTATTTCTTCAACGTGACTAAATTGGAATTGGACTGTATATCCATGTCGTCTGCAATCACAAACATTGAATACAAGAAGTTCCTGCATTCAATATTCGAAGAGGATATCCGCTCAGTTCCAGAGTTGGTTGCGCTCGGCTGTGTTCAGTTTTCGCCTCAATCTGCCACCATAGATGATCTTTTTGAAAATTTGATGGTACATTTGTTGGACGAGACCGCTTCTTACTACCCTCTCATTGTCAAGGACCTTACCAGAAAGGATCTGGTTGTTGCAGTCTGTTCAAAACTCTTCCAAAAGAATCGTGACTTGAACAATCTACTCGTGTTGCATATTGTACAGAATGGATACATACAAGACGTTCTTTCCCCATTGAAGTTTGAGGAGTCAATCGGTCTTGCGGTTAAGGCTGTATTAGCTGGCTGGAACGGGTTCAGTGATTTCCTTAGAGAAAACAAACCTGCCCCAGCTATTGTTCTTCAGTTTCTTGATGCATTAGCACAATCAGCTGGTGTTTCCCCTAGAGTTCTCAGTTTGAAAGCAATCGACGCTTTATTGAAGTACGTACAACAGCAGAACTTAACTCCTGAACAGCTGGGTACCTTTGCAGACGTTCAAATACGCGTTTTCCAAGCGTTCCCACGGTTGATCAATTTTGGAAACGGCCATGATGATGCTATATTGGCAAATGGCGACAATGCACCATTCCCAGCGGATGTTGAAGAGCAAATGAAGTTGTGCTACCAAAGAATGTATGCAGACCAACTCGAGATCAAAAATGTTGTGGATATGCTTTTGAAATTGAGGGATAGTAATGTTCCAAGAGACCAGGACGTGTTTGCGTGTATGATTCACTCTCTTCTGGATGAATACAGATTTTTCCCAGAATACCCATTGAATGCTCTGGCAATGACATCAGTGCTGTTTGGTTCCATGATTCTGTATGATTTGCTGCGTGGCCCAGCACAGTCTATTGCATTAAAGTACATCAAGGATTCGTGTTCTCAACCACCAGATTCAAACATGTTTAAGTTTGCCGTTCAAGCATTGTTTGCATTTAGAAGCCGTCTACCAGAGTTTCCGAACTATTGTTTATTACTTTCAAAGATCGAGGCACTGAAAAGACAGCAACAAGTTTACCAGGTCATTGATGATGTGATTCACAACCGTATTGACAACAAACAAGAGGAGCTGTCACCTCCTCAAGCTCAGGGCCAAATATTCAAGTCTATCACTGCAGTTCCAATGCCGGATGTTTCGAATCCACCTGGATCCACGTCCAATATTGTGATTGTGATGAATAGTTTAGCCGATGATAATGTTGTTGCGAAGGCTAATGCTTTGAAAGCAGAGTTGAGCTCCAACATGTATCCATGGTTTGCAGACTATTTGGTCACTCGCCGTGCCAAGATTGAATCCAACAATCAACATCTTTATTCCGATTTGATTGAAAATATTGGTGATCCGGTGTTACTTCAACAGCTGATAAATGTCACAGTGAATGAAGTAAGCAGCTTGTTGAATGAGACTGAAGAGACTCCAACAGTTAGAAATCATCTCAAAAACCTTGGTAGCTGGTTGGGAAAGATAACAGTGGCTAGAAACAGACCTTTGAAATATACCTGCATTGCTGTGAAGCAGATCTTGATCGAAGCTTACGACTTGTCTAAACTTGCTCTCATAATCCCATTTGTGTGTAAAGTTCTTGATGAGACAGTTCACTCTGATGTTTTCAAGTTGCCAAATCCTTGGACACTGGGAATTCTCAAGGTGTTGTCCGAATTGTATCAATTCCCAGACTTGAAGTTGAACCTGAGATTTGAGATTGAAGTCCTCTGTAACAACATGAAGATTAAGATTGAAGACATTGAACCTTCTATTATAATTCGGTCTCATCAAGTGGGTGATATTCAATCAAATATTCTCCTCGAATCAGCAATGGCAAACTTGAAGATTGAAAATGAACGTGAGGTGATGTTCCAACAAGGTATTCAGGATGGCTTCCAAACCTCACAGGTTTTGCAACAACGTCTTGGCTTGGCTAACTCTGGGTCATCATCAACTCTTCCTTTGTCATCTGCAACAGGGTTTGTTGGTACACCTACTGCTGTTCATCAAAATCTTCAGCAGCATCAGCAACACGATGTTTCCTCCGAAATCAACTTCCAACATGTCTTGGGTAATACTTGTTTTGCTACGAATGAAAGCTTGAAACAGCTATTCTTAGCAGTTTTGAACAAGTCTGTTCGTGACATTCTCCCACCAGCTGTGGAGAGAGCCGTAAGTATCGCGGTCACGACATCCAGAGCATTGGTTTTAAAGGACTTTGCCACTGAGCCAGATGAACTCAAGCTGAGATCATCTGCAGTGACTTTGGTTTGCCGCTTGTCTAAGGGATTGGCTCTTGCGACATGTCGTGATCCTTTGAAGGAGAGTATCCAAAGTTCCATTCACACACTGGCACCTCAACTCTTGAACATTGAGAACTCACCTTTAGAAGAACTCCCACAGGCTATTACCGATAACATTGACCTTGCATGTAATATTATTGAGAACGCTGCGATGGAGAAGGCGACAAAGGACATTGAGGAAGTGCTTGCACAGTCAATATCTGCTCGTCGTCTTCACAAGGAGAGACGTCCAGATCAACCATTCTATACACAGTTCCTATCAAGATATGCGGTTTCTTTACCCGAACCGTTGGGTCTTCGTCCTAATGGTGTTTCCGCTCAACAACTTCAGGTTTACGAGTCCTTTGGAAAAGATATTGTGAATCACTCACCAGCTGCTATTCTTTCACAGATCCAACCTCAACAAGTCGGAGAGAGTCACCAACCATTGACACCAAACCCTTCTGCTATTGGCCTATCCCTTCAAGGTGGCCAGCAGAATGTTCCTTTGACTATTGAGCAAACGTTGGGACATGTACAGGTTTTGATTGAGAATTTGATCAGAGCAATAAACGAGTCCACTGCGCAGTCGTTGGCTGAATTGTCAAAGGATCCAACAATCAACATGTTGCTCACACAAATTCTCTCTGTGACTTTGAAGTGCGTTTCTAGAGATCTTTTGATTTTAAAGATTACACAGATCATCATTAATGCACTCCTCAACTGTAATGGCGCAGGATTTTCAGCCGAAATCTTTGTTTTGTTGTTGAAGAAGATATGTACCAACTCAGGTGTTGCACAGAGAGATGTCAGTGGCTGGTTCATACATGTTGCCGATGAAAGAAAGTTCAATGCTAAGATTTTGATTACGCTGTTCCAGTCGGGTCTCCTTTCAGTACCAGAATTTGACCCTACACTTGCAACTTATATTAATGTGCAAGATGAGCGCACATACTTACTGGCTGTTGACATCATTTCAGAATTATTCAAGTCCGATGATACTGTTACATACCTCTCGGACTTTATCTGTACCATTGAGAAGTTGAACACTATCAAGAACGTGGAGTCCGTATCTAAGTTTTTGAGCTCTTTGAGAGAGCTTCCAATGGGATTGTTTGCCGAGAAGAATATCCCAGAGAATCACAGAATGGAATACATGTTCATGGAATGGGTTCACTTGAATCAAAGACAACCTGGTTATGAAGACGCAGAATTGGCTTTCATCTCACAGTTTATTGAGACTGGTATTCTCTCTAAGAGCCCGGAGCTTTTCTTCAAGAGTGCCGTGGAAATCTCCCTTTTGTATTTCAAAAACAGTGATAGTGTCAATGATGGATTCCGTCTTATTGACAGCTTTTCCAGACTTATTACCAGACTATTATTTGCTATTGATGATAATGACGACGCTAGAGCTGCTCTCTTCAAGATTGCTCTTAGTGTGGTAACTTCACTATTCGCCGAAGACCACGCTGCTTCAAAGGAGTCCTTTAATGAGAGACCGTATTTCAGAATCTTCTCCACTTTATTGTCTGAATTCAGCATTTCCAATTACGATTTTGAATCTGAAGAGGGTGAAGCTTTGAAACAGACATTCTATTTCACAATTGCCGACTTCCTTAATGTTTACCAACCTCTTGTTTTCCCAGGGTTCACTTTTGCTTGGATAACATTGATTTCGCACCGTTTGTTTTTACCTAACATTCTCGAGTTGAAGAGTCCAAAGGCACAGTGTAAGTTTGTTCTCTTGTTGATCAATTTATTGAGATTCCAATCAAGCAATGTTAAAGACAAGCACATCTCTGAAGTTTTCACTGTTGTGTACAAAGGAACTTTACGTATTTTCTTGTTGTTGTTCCATGATCACCCTGAAGTCTTGGTTCAGAATCACTACCAGTTGTGTTGTGAGATTCCATCCTCTTTCACCCAGCTAAGAAATCTGGTACTTTCGTCATATCCTGCAAATGTTATTTCACCATATCCATTCACACAAGACTTGGAAGTTGACAAAGTTGTTGGTATTTCTGATTCGCCACTACTGTCTTGTAACCCAGGATACGATTTAAAGTCGCTGAAAAAGACCGTTGATGGTTATTTGAGAATTCCATCCCATCAAATGGTGAAGACTATCTTGAATGGGTTGAGACAGAGTGCTTCTGATGACTGCGGCATTGGATACTCGAGCACCAGCTATAATGTCAAGTTGATCAATGCCTTGGTGCTTTACGTTGGTATTCAAGCTGTCAGCGACAGGGTTCCAAATGGACCTGTTATGGATCCGAAGTCTTCACACTTTGGATTGTTGGCAAGTCTATACCAGGATGGGCCAGTTGAGTTACAATATCACCTGACTCATGCCATGTGCAACCAATTGAGATATCCTAATGCTCATACACAATGGTTTATGCATGTCATTCTCCACTTCTTTAGTGCACAGACTCTTTGGAACAGCAAGAAGTCCGAAGTGCAAGAGGTTTTAACGAGAGTTATCCTAGAGAGACTATTGTGCAACCGTCCACATCCATGGGGCCTACTCGTCACGTTTACCGAGTTGTTGAAGAGCACAGAGTTGGCACTTTCCAACTCGTCATTTATCAAATCATCGCCAGAGATCGAAGCATTGTTCCAATCTCTTATGAAGCATATGGGTGTTAGCGCTCCTCCACCAGAAGCAACTAATGGTGTAGCAGCATCCTCCCCTTCACTGCACGTTGCAGTTTAACGACCTGCCCTTACCTCTGTATATTAGCTTTTGTATATCATTTTAACGAGTTGTATTTTGTTTTGCGTTGCTTGTAGTGCCCGACGAGTAGGCTGTGCGCAACACACCGCCAACGCCTAACATGGAAGCCAAAAACAAGGGAAAAAAAGTGATGAAGTGAAAACAAAGAACAAGGGCTTCTCCAACTTTTACCAGCCATTGGAAAATCTCACAAGCACCCAATGTTTTCATTTCTAAGGAAGAGAAGAAACTCTGGTGATAGTGATATCAGTGGCATTGTGGACCAGCCTAGAGTGAAATCAAGAAAACCACCAAGTAAGTGATGAGGTTTCTTTTGTGTGTGTGGTTTCTCAGCCCCCGAATTATGTCCATCATTGGTCTAACATAGCATTACAGATACTGCCTTTAGACAACAAAGATTGAAATCATGGCAACCCATTCTCTCACCTAGGTCAGTTCTACCGTTATTGCTGCTGACAGCGATCATATTCACGCCATTGGGAATTGCTCTTGTTTTCACCACTTTTAGTGTGCAACAGTTAGTTGTTGAGTATGGAGACTGCAGCGAACAGGCCAGCACAACGTCGTTCAGTGATATTCCAGGCCATTACGTTTCACAGCACTTCAAGAGCTCCACTAGTGTACGTCCCCAGTGGAAACTCGTGAACGGCACGGAGGGTAACCAGACGTGCCAGATCCAGTTCCATGTACCAAACGACGTTCATGGCCCTGTTTACTTGTACTACAAATTGACCAATTTCTTCCAGAACCACAGAGAGTACGTTGATTCGTTTGATCTTGACCAGATCAGAGGTGATGCTGTTAGTGCTGGCTCCCTAAGCAGCGACTGTGATCCGCTGAAAACCGATGATCAAGGAAGACCTTACTATCCATGTGGTCTCATAGCCAATTCCTATTTCAACGATACTTTCACATCACCATATTCAAGCGCCGGCGAGTTCCCAATGACTGATAAAGGCATCTCATGGAGCTCTGACCGTTCTTTATACGCAAACACCCACTACTCACCGGATGAGGTGTCACCGCCTCCAAACTGGGCCCAGATGTATCCGGATGGCTATACCTCGGAGAACATGCCAAATCTACACGAATGGGAGTCTCTCCAGGTGTGGATGCGCACTGCAGCGCTTCCAAACTTCATGAAACTCGCGTTAAGGAACGACACGGGGGTTCTCACCAGTGGTAACTACACAATTGACGTTGGTCTAAACTACCCGGTGTCGATATTTGGGGGAACGAAATCCATAGTGTTGACTACGAGCTCTGTCATTGGCGGGAGAAACCTATCCCTGGGTGTGGCCTACCTTGTTGTCGCAGGGCTTGCCATAGCATTCGGAGCAATATTCTTGGTGAAGTACGTTCTACAACCTCGTAAGCTTGGTGACCACTCCTACCTAACGTTCGACCGTAACGCAGAGGAACCAGCGGAAAGATCAACAGGCCGTGCAATGCGTGAGATTCTGTAGAGAAGTGAAATGTAAGGCGAAAAATAGTAAAATGCACACATTTTTAGTGAGTTGATTGATGGTTTCTGTAGCTATTCGTTTTAGCCATTTTTGTGGTTTGTTTACTAATCGCTGGATCAACAAAAACAAAAACAAAGGAAAAAGCTGGCGGCAAAAAAAAAACAGAAAAAGAAAAACATCAACAAAGGCCTTCTCAGCGACAATCAGCGGCGGCCAGCTTTATAAAGAAAACAACACGGATATTCAAATATGGCCAGATTTAAGCGTATTTTGAAGGAATTGGATGACGTCAAGAACGATAAAGAGGCGTCAATCACTTTGGACATGGCGGATAACGAGCTTAACCATTTGACTGGTACTTTTATAGGGCCACCAGATACTCCCTATGAAGGTGGTAAGTTTGTTGTTGACATCAAGATTCCAAACGAATACCCTTTCAAGCCTCCTATCATGAAGTTCGACACCAAAGTGTACCACCCCAACATCTCGTCGGTCACGGGCGCCATCTGTTTAGACATCTTGAAGGATGCGTGGACCCCGATCCTCACGTTGAAGTCATCGTTGATCTCTCTACAGTCGTTGTTCCAGTCACCGGAGCCTAACGATCCGCAGGATGCCGAGGTTGCCAAGCACTACCTCTCTGATCGTGAGGGCTTCAACAAGACAGCGAGATATTGGACTCAGATCTATGCCAGTGATAATGGTGAACGTGATGTCAACGATGCAGAGCTCTATGGAATCGACCAAGAGACAGTGACGAATTTCGAGACCATGGGATTCACAAGGGAAAAGATCATCGAAGTGTTGAGACGTTTAGGATTGAAGAAGGTGGAAGCTGGTGAGCCACGTACAGAGAATAAAGTGATCGAGGAACTCTTAAAAGAGGATTAACAACAACATATACAGTCATTAGAGGCTATAACGATGACTTTAATAGTATTAAAGAAAAGAGTATGTAAGAGAGAGAAAGAGCGAGCATCTTTATTTCTTTCTCTTGTCATTAGATGGACGTTTGTTCTTTGGCTTACCTTGTTGTCTATTGCCGTTTCCGCCGTTGTTACTTGCGTTCTTAAAGCTCATATCCGTTGGCATTGGGGATATTTTAACCGTATGGCCCTTGACCTTAAGAGTCTTCTTCTCCAGTGCTTTGCGTTGTGATGGTTCATTCTCAAAGTTTGCAAGTGCAAATGGCCCTCTAGGTTCTACTTTAGTAGTTTTCCCAAAAGTTTCCTCCAAGGAGTTCTTCAGATCAGAGTTCTTAACATCGTTGAAACCTTCAATCATGACTGGGTACAAGAACGTGCCTGAAGTGTGTGGCTTTGGAGTGTTTGGAGCTGTTGGCTTTAGAGCTGCTGAACTCTGAGTTGGAGATGGGGTCGATGGAGATGGGGATTTTGGTTTGATAACTTTTGGTTTAACTTGAACTGGACCTTCCTTTGTAGAAGAGACTTGAGCAACCTGTGCCCAGCTACTTGGCTTTGGAGGTTGAGTCTCCTTCTCTTTCTCCTCTGTAGGTTTTGGCTGTTTGGCCTTTTCATCCTTGGACAGTGGTTTTGCATCGCCTTTCTTCCCCTTCACGTCTTTAGCATCTTTGGTTTCAACTTTCTCCTCAGATGGTTCGTCCGTTGTAGTGGCCTCAGCTTCCTTCTTTGTTGGCTCGTCAATGGTTTCTGGCTCAGCAGCTGGCTCAATGGCTGTCTCCACCGGTGCTTCAACAGCTGGTTCAACGGCTGCGTTGACATCGTCTTTCACATACACCGGTTCTTCATTTTCGATTTGTTCCTGCTCTGGAGTCTCTGGTTTACCGTTCTCCTGTACTAGTGATTGTGGAACATCGGCATCATCAACTTGAGTTTCCAATTCGTAATCTTCATCAGGAATCAATCTGAATATATCGTTTGTGATATCGTAGACATTCTCCTTAGCCTTTCTTGCAAGGATAAAGGTTTGTTGGAAACGGTACACAGCAGCCTTGCCATTCAAGTTGATCTCACCCATAGTGGATATCAAGATTGAACCTTCAAATGGGGTCTTTTGTTGATCAATGCTGGTGATTCTAATCTTACATTCAGCCAAGTTACTCGAGTTGTAAAATTCTTTAATCTCACCAACGTTAGTACAGACGTGTGAATCCAAACTCTTGTTGATGAAATTGACCCCATCTTCATCGGGGATCAAAGAATGAGTCAGATGCGCATCGCTGGTATAAAGCGAAGAAAGCTTTGATGGGTTCTCATGTAAGTTGTGGTAGTAATGTTGAGCAAATTGATAAGCAACATTGGCAAGTGCTTGAGGAGCAGAGTCAGTGGTCATCCTAGTAAGTAATTGATTGGAGCCCAGTAATTTCGAAGAATGCTCTATACTTTGACAAGTAAAGCAGAGGAAAGACACTATAATACAAAGAGGGAGAGAGAAAGAAAACAACAAGAGAAGTTTCTCGAGGGTCTCTTATTCGCCTTTTTTTTCACTTCGGCATTTTTTTTTCTTTTTCGCCATTTGGCGCTCCTACGATATTTTGCGCAATCGTCATGAGAGCGAATTGCGCAATTTTACTTCCACCTTTAAGAACATACAAGTTTGACAAGTTGGTTTCGATATACAGATTAAATAACAGGGTTTACATATCAATTGGCTCATTAATCAAACCGTGTATCAATCCAGAAAACTTGTTAATGTTGCCAATACGTTTCTTCAGTTCGATTAAACAGAAATTGGTCAAAAGCGCCTGTCCTCCAGTTGATACAAAAGCGCTTGCCCTATGTATGCCCAATTCCTCTGCCAATGCCTCCAATGTGTGTTTCGGTTCCTTCTGTTCACCATTAGCACCAACATATCTTGATAGTATCTTCAAATCGTAAAGCGCAGGGAAGAAGGTCTTGACTTTGCTCAAGAACTCCTCCTCCTTTGCAGGCATCATGTTATTCGTCAAAAGAGACACTAGGAATCCAAAATCGTAACCTGCGTGGAAGCTTGACCAATAGACGTTTGGAAGTAACACCAGCCCGGACGAGGTCAACATCTCTGCAAATTCGAACTGATCGATACCAAACTCGTTATGCTTTGGGAAGTCGATTCCTGTCTTGGACAAGGTTTCATACGCTTCGCTTGAAATCATCTTTGAGTTCAGGTCGAACTTGAAGTTGAAAAGCCATGTGCTGTGAATGTTATCAGGTTTACTTCCATCTGGTCCACTTAAAGAGATACCAAACTGGATTAGGTTCAACAGATCTGCATTGGTTCTTAGAGTCTGGTAGTGGTAATCATCTGTAGAGGAGAAAACACCGATTGGTCTTGCCAGTATCCCAGGAAATTCGGTACTGAATGAAACATAGTTGTACTTCTCGATGAGAAGACGAATGATTTTCAACTCAGATTCAAAGTTATCGGACCATACCTCCCTGATTGTCGTTATCTGTGGTGAGATGTGTGTACTCTGAGGAATCTGGAACTGCTGCTGTGGTTGATGATGGTGAAGTTGTTGCTGTTGCTGTTGTTGTTGTTGTTGTTGTTGCTGCTGCTGCTGAAGATACTGAGCGTTTAACCCTCTAGCAGCAACCTGTGGCGAGTAGTTCATCTGTTGGAGGTGTTGCAGTTGGTTAAGCTTCTGAATTTGCGCCTGATTAAGATCATTGTGTTGTAGATGAGGAAAACTCATCATTGGCGGGCCTACGATGACGTATCTGGTGTGCTGGCGATGATATCTTTGGACGTGAACGTCTAGCGGTGAAAATAAGTGAAAACAGCCCAAGCGGACAAAAAAAGCACGAAAACAAAACAAAAGTTGTAGCGCAAGGGGAAAACAGGGAGCAAACTCCCCAAAGCAGAAATTACCGGATATGGTAGTTTGAATACAGATTACGTAATCAAGCGAATTTATTTGTACGTGCAACACCAGCAGCGATACCAGGTTGACGATACCTGGTCAACGTATTGAATCCACCGGCTAGAAAGGATGGTGTACACTCTCTTTTGGCCACGGAGTACCCGATGATCTGCTGTCATTGATGGGGTTGACGGCTGTTAGAGTGGGATCAAGAATATACCGGTGGCAATCATAAACAAAAGCATCAGTGGCCAACATCTAACATTGACCCAGTTAAACTCCACAAGTCCATGGAAGCTACATTGGACAGGCAATGGTGATTCATTGGGCTTAAAACCTTCAAGACACTTGAACACCGTCCGAAACCTAACCGTTGTCATGGCCAGTACCAATTATCCAACACCATGACGACGAAATCGCGCATGATGTCATTATAGGCTGTGCCTTGAAAAGGGGGCAGATCGTACAAGATCCATTCTCACAAGGCAGATCTTTTCAACGGATGCTGTTTGAATGAGGCACACGACACGTTAAGACGCGAGCTCCGCCCACCAATTGGGAAATGTAGGGAATGTAGGGACTGGTACGCGACTTATTTTAAGATCTCCCACCTCGCTTTAACCGACCCCTTTTTAGAAAAGACAAAGCACAAGAGTGCGTGTGTCTGTAGAGAGTCAGGCTGTGGGCAGGGCTGGGCCCCTTCCACTGTTGTGTCGACTGGCACCTCGAAGGCCCCCCCCCCATTGAAAATACAATGCCTCGGGAAGGACCTTGCTGAGCCAGATACTGCACCCGACCGGGGAGAAAAGGAAGAAAAAAGCGCACACACACAAAATTTGTACCTGGGCCAGATTGCATAAGAAAATCAGTATCATCACATATTCAAACCTGTAACAAATTGCCTTCAATGTGTTGATTAAAATGATGGTATAAAAGCATCGTACGGAGCCAGTTTGTGAAGCATGTGAAACTTTCGCTTTACATAAAATCCCTGTGGAATTTGTAAACTCAACAAAACGCACCTTCCTCTAACTTCACCGTTCAACCATCGCAACCTGTGTGGGCTCGTTGGCGGGCCAATTAAATTTGCATGTGATACGACATACATATTAATAACCTTGTTAACTCAATTTGCCATGGCTAACAAAGAACACAAAACCCTAATTCTGCCCCTTTTGTACGCTGTGAATTGATCCCAGCACCCGAGCCGCCGTTGGAGTCTGTGGTATATAAAGTGGGCCTTGCCGCCAATTTCTTTGTTTACATCTTGCACCGTCTTGCCCAACACATCAACACAACAGTGCTAACCGCCGGTTTTAAGATATTTGTATAGAGCTTTCATCTCAAAGATCCATACGAATTCTACCTGACTTCGTTCAACTCCAACTTCAAGTCAGTCAAAGTGTTTTCAAATCTTTTATCTTCAAGACACCACCCTTTCAACAACAAGCGTGCCTCTGCTACTGGATCGGGAAGTGATAATATATTCTTTTATTAATTTTACTCACGCAAACAATGGTTTCAATTAAAGTTAACAACGACTCTGTCAAGTACTCTGAGGATAACTCAAAGTTATCTACTACGTACACCTACAAGAACTCCATCGTCAAGGAGTCCGAGCCTGGTGTGTTTACCGTTTCTCCTTTCACAAAGGATTACGAATTTGACGTGAACTTGAAAGTTCCAAAGGTTGGTTTGTTGCTCGTTGGTTTGGGCGGTAACAATGGTTCCACTTTTGTCTCTGCTGTTGAGGCCAACAAGCAGAAGATTACTTTCAACACCAAAGATGGTGAAGTTAAGGCCAATTACTTTGGTTCTGTTACTCAGTCTTCCACAGTTAAGATTGGTATCGACGAGACCGGCAGAGATGTCTATGTTCCGTTCAGCTCCATCTTGCCATTGGTTAACCCAAGTGACTTGATTGTCAGCGGTTGGGACATCAGTGGTTATGACTTGGAGAAGGCTGCCAAGAGAGCCAAGGTTTTGGAATACGACTTGCAACAAAAGTTGGGTCCAACTTTGAAGAACTACAAGCCTTTGAAGTCCATCTACTACCCAAGTTTCATTGCTGCTAACCAGGAGGAGAGAGCTGACAACATCTTCAACGTTGATGCCAATGGAAACATTGACCAAAAGTCCAAGTGGGCTCACGTTGAACAGATCAGATCAGACATCAAGAACTTCAAGGAGTCCAACAAGTTGGACAGTGTTATTGTCTTGTGGACTGCAAACACTGAGCGTTACTCAAAACTTTTGGATGGTGTCAATGATACCTCTGCCAACTTGTTGAAGTCCATCAAGGAAGGTCACGCTGAAGTTTCTCCATCTACCGTGTTTGCCGTTGCATCCATTTTGGAGAAGGTTCCATTCATCAACGGTTCCCCTCAAAACACGTTTGTTCCAGGTGTTGTTGAATTGGCTGAGGAATACAAGTCCTTCATCGGTGGTGATGATTTCAAATCTGGTCAAACCAAGATGAAGTCTGTCTTGGCCCAATTCTTGGTTGATGCTGGTATCAAGCCTGTTTCCATTGCTTCTTACAACCATTTGGGTAACAATGATGGTTACAACTTGAGTTCCAACGAGCAATTCAGATCCAAAGAGATTTCCAAGGGATCTGTCATTGACGATATCGTTGAGTCTAACAGCATCTTGTACAACAAGGAGCTTGGTGACAAAGTTGATCACTGTATCGTTATCAAGTACATCCCTGCTGTTGGTGATTCCAAGATTGCCATGGATGAGTACTACTCTGAGTTGATGCTTGGTGGTCACAACAGAATCTCCATTTCCAACGTTTGTGAGGATTCCTTGTTGGCCACCCCATTGATCATTGATTTGGTTGTCATGACTGAATTCTTGTCCAGAGTTTCCTACAAGGAGGCTTCCAGCAGCGAGGAGCAGCCTTTGTACCCAATTTTGGGTTACTTGTCCTACTGGTTGAAGGCTCCTTTGACCAGAAAGGGATTCCAAACCATTAACGGTTTGAACAAACAAAAGCAAGGTTTGGAGAACTTCTTGAAGGTTTTGGTTGGTATTCCAATCTCTGACGAGTTGAGATTCGAAGAGAGATTGTAATAACTTTCATCAACCTTATGAGGCCAAGTTGTTTCTTTTTGAATCTGTGCTTTTTGTTATTTGTATTGAGGTGATTTGTGCAGTGTAGTTTTTGGGACTCCTTTGGAGTCTCTTTTTTATATACAATCAACTTACCTTTAATTCGAAACAGCCTTTTCCTTTTGTTTCCTCCATTAGTGTAGCTTTTCCAGTAGTTTGCTATTGTTTTCAAGCAAAGATTAACAACGAGCTGCTTCGATAACGCGTTAAGAAACCTGCAGCCGACTTTCGCGTCGTGCAGCATACGTTATAACCTACAGCTAAAATGTCATGATCAATTGTTGAACGGAAAAAGAGCAAATAATTTATATGTCAATTTGATTGATTGTTGTTTTTGAGACAGCTGTGCTGTGTCTATTCAACTGTTAGCTCCCAAATGGGGTATACGCCAGTGTAAGATCGACGTCACTGTGACTGAAATGGAATTCTGCAGGTAAATCATTGGATGGAAATGTAAGCATTACCATTGAGATTTGCCTGAAACATGTTCCGCCTGTGTTGTCAATTCGTCTAAAATCGAGGTAATATTACTGTAATTAGATGGGACTTGGTCCTGTGTTTTCATAGGAGTGTAGTAATGCTCACAGGAGTCCTCAAAATTTGCTCACCATACATATTAACGGATCTTGAGGGTGTACATAGTTGACAATTGGCCTAACAATGAGTCAATTTATTTATCCAAAGCTGCTCCCTAGAAACAAGGCTGTGATCTGTTGAGCAAATTTATAATTGATGAAGGTATAGGCTTTGTTTGTATTTGCTAAAGGATCTTTCACACTTGCGTAGTGGAAGAATAATGTGCTTTCAATTTGCTCCTGCCGACTATGCTAACATTGTGCCTCGTATAAAATCAACTATATAAGCAACACGATATCTACTGTTTGTACATGAGTATAATATATGTTTATAACAAGACTCTCCGTGTAAAGGCTACGATGTTCTGGTTACAAACTCTTCTCCTGACTTGTCTATTTGTTCGGAATGCGTTATCGATCGAGGTTTACCAAGACTCCTCGATTCAAGTTGACTGTGGTTCCGATTCTCCCTCTTTCTACCTGGAACTTCAGGCAAATGGTACTGAGCTGGATGGTTACAGTATCTACGTCGCAAGTGGGTATATGTTCTATATCAGCGACAGCTCAGTGAAGACTTCTGCTCAAATCCTGACCAACCAATCTTTGCTTGTTGATAACTACATTGTTGGTATTGGTAAGAACTATTTATCCGTTCTTCCTCTTTCGTACTCATTTATTTATGCTGAGCCATGGACAATTGTTGACGGTTACTTGAAGTTATATGGGTCAGATTTCCACGCAGTGCCTTCGGGCGATGAGGATGATGTTTGGGTCTTGGGGTCGATTAATGCTGCTAAGAATCGATCTGATATGAGGGTTATTAAGATCAAAGCTCGTGGGTATGATGGGAACTTGCTTGCAGACTACCCACCGACTTGTGATAGCTCATCCTCCATTGGTGTTTCATCCGTGTCAGAGAACGAGTCCTCGTCTTCATCTTTCATTGGTGCTTCATCAGCATCAGAGAACGAGTCCTCGTCTTCTAGAAGCTCCTCGTCTGCATCAATGGATGATGGGGAGACAGTTTCCAGTGACATTTCATCAGTATCTGAGATTGAGCAGTCTCCATCCTCCAATGACATTTCATCTGTATCCGAGAGCGAGCAGCCTCCATCTTCCTCTAGTACTTTATCCGTGTCAGAGAAAGCAGTCTCTTCTTCTGATAGCTCTACCATATCTTCGCTTGCTGCTGGTGTTTCTTCGAACACGCAACCTTCTCAAGTCTCTAATGAAGAGAATTCGTTACTCTCACTGACAACATTTACATCTGCTGGATTATCTAGTGGGATACCTCCAAATTCTGCAAGTTCATCAAGAGTCTCAGGAGGGTCAACTGACCTTCATTTATCCAGCAAATCTTCTGCATCGGTTGAGACGACAACATCTTCAGCTTCAATTTCTAGCTTGACTTCTAGCTCTTCAGTCTCAGCATCTCCAACCTTTTCAGGAAGTGTTAGTACAGATGGTGGAATTGCTTGGAGTATTGAGATTCCAGGTCACATTGGCATGTGGGAATGGGTTAACATTGTGTTAACCAAGAACGGAACAAATGTTGAAGGGTTTGAATACACTAATACCGTTTCTTATCTCGATGGGAAAGTGTTTGATAAGGTACAAACATCGGTTTCGAAGGATACCGTAATTCTGAGTCTTAATGAATCCGTTTCCAATGAGAATGTTGTAACCTTTGTGATAAACAGTAAAGTGATAAGTGGAGGGACCTGGACGTCACATGCACATGTCGAGTTAAACCTTTTGGATGAAAGGAGATTGTTGAAGAGGGAAATTGTTTCTTGGGATCTTGAACAAACAGTCAAGGGAATCGATTCTTCTTCAAGTGCCTCTTCAAGTGCCTCACCAAGTACAACATCAAGTGACTCAACAAGCACGTGGTTATCAACAGCAGATTCTGGCTCAACTGCTGAAGCCATGAGCACAGACTCCTTGTTATTGTCTTCATTGTCATCGCTGGGCACCTCTTCCAAACGCTCAGTATCCAGTTTTGAAGTCACGGCTGCATCGACCACAGCATCACAGTCCATGCTATCATTGTCAACAGCTCCATCAGACAGTGAGATATCAAGTACAGCCATAACTTCAGATCTTCTGGTACTGGCTCCCTCTACCACTCCTTCTACGGAGGTAAATGCGACTACAGGCTCATCTTTGGAGACTTCCTCTTTAGAGCCTGATATTACCAGCTATTCTTCAAACAAAAGTCAGGCCTGGAATTCTACTTCGGCAGTTGAACAGTCATCAACCGGTGTTATCACCCCAATATCATGTGATGAAGGCTCTTGCTCGCCATTAGACCTAACTGATGTTGTTGCAACTATCACAGTGAATGGTACAGTTACTTCCTTCACAACATTTTGCTCAAAAACCACCATTGAAAGCACAATTACCACCGCTTCTTTAGGAAGTAGTGTCGTTGCATGTGGTGGTGATTCATGCACTGATGTTCTGTCCAGTTTGGAAGTGTCAGTGGAGACACTGACGGAATCCCTGACAAGGTATTCGACCCACTTGTCAATGGAGACAACAAAGACCGAGGCCTTGTCTTCAAGCGAAGAAGCCATCACAACCAGAGTTGTTACTGGTGGTACCTACGATGAAGCACATTCCACTCATGCCCCATCATCTGTTTCGGTTTCAAAGGCTTTGACTAAACAATCACCAACCAGCGCTGAGACTGTCAAGATAACACATGCGTTAACTAGTATAGGTACAACTACTAGCAACGACATTTCAGTCGATACAAGAACCCTCAACAATCAAGACTCTTCAGTATCTACGAGTCACGAACCAAGCTCAGAGTATTCAATTGCTACAGAGTATAACGCTGGTGCTGGCACGCTGATGAACAGCATAGCTCCAAGCGTACTCGGCGTCATGCTGACAATACTCGTACAAATGATACAGTAATCATGATGAGATGGTACTTGGCTTCTTCTTAGATCTGTTCTCTATACCCTGTGTAATATACAAATTTCAAACAGAGTACCATGTTGTCACACACCATCAGTAAAATGACGCTATAGCAACACACACCTAATAGCTAATACCTTACAAGTGGCTTCCTCACCAAGGTACTCATCACCTCAAAGTGACATCGACTTGATGCAAAAAAAAAACTCCGCGACGGGGAATTGAACCCCGGTCTACCGCGCGACAAGCGGTAATTCTAGCCACTAAACTATCACGGATTTTCTTGAAAGCCGAATTTTTCAGGATGTCATACGCTGTAACCATCGCGGGATGTTCGCATTAGATCGGAAACCTCAACCGACACCACTACACTGACGGGCTCTCTTTCGCAACGCCAATCTCTGTTCAATAGGCTCAATTGATCCCGTAACTTCACACATAGCCGGTCATATAACACTTAAACGTCGAGCCCTAGACAACCTCCTCCAGCGCTTTCTTTCCCTTCTCAGGCATGGTGAGCCAGCACCAGCGATGCCGAGCGGAGCAGCACTTTTCCCGAAAGAGGCATCTCAGCATTGAATCAAGGGAATTCAGAACATTCAATGCCTCCTCTCCAATGTTTACATGGTCTCTGGTGGTAGGAAGCACTGCACAACTGTAAGAATTGTATGGCTCTGCACCTGTTAAGATGAGCGGGAAAGACAAGACAGGCTATGAGATACTTGAATCTCTGGATAGCCCACCAGTAACCACGGTGGACCCGTTTTCTGATGAGTCGCATTACCAACTACGTGAGGATATCCCGCTAGTACAGACCAGCCACTCTGTGCCCTCGGAGGGCAAGGTGATAAAGTCACAACCCGTGTCCACGAGTGCCCCCGTGGTGTTCTCCAAGAGCAAGCTGCTGAAGGCCAGGTATCACGACGATGAGGAGTCCCAGCTGTTGGACCATGACCGTACCAATGGTGATGAGGCATCCAGTCCAACGACTTTCCCTTCATCCCATTTTCTCAACGCTGGCACACTGTCTCCCTTGAACAACAGTCACACGTCGAGGCCCAAGAGGTCGAGGTCTGTGATATCCATGAGATCGATTAACGACACAGTCTCGAGATGGACCAATTCGATAACCAAGTGGACATCGTCTTCAAACTGTATAGATGGCGTACCGAGTGAAATCCAATATTCAGTGTTTAAGGCTCCCCTGGGACTAACCCCAGTGCAATCAATACCCAGGGAAGGGTTTCTGAACCAAGGCCCGGTGACTGAAGCCGAGTTCCATATCATTGTGGAGGATGCCATTGTTGCCATTGAGACTGGGATTAAGCCAAAGCGAATCTCTGCTGGGTCCTCAGGCAGCTATTTCATTTACAGCAAGCAGAACAAGATAGTTGGCGTGTTCAAGCCAAAGGATGAAGAGCCCTATGGTCCACTCTCGCCGAAATGGACGAAATGGCTGCACAGAAATCTATTCCCATGTTTCTTTGGAAGAAGCTGTCTTATCCCTAATCTTGGATACGTATGCGAATCTGCTGCCAGTCTACTGGACAGACAACTTCTATCGAACATTGTCCCCTATACCGACATTGTTTCGATATCCAGCGATTCGTTTTACTATTCCTTTTGGGAGAGGACCAGTTCCAAGCCGTTGAGGGCCAAAGTTGGCTCTTTACAACTTTTCCTTAACGACTATGAAGAAGCAGATAAGTTCTTGAGCAAGCATCCACTCCCCGGATCAGGCTGGCTATTACATGGACTCCAACAGGACTCGCTGCCTTCACTCCGTTTCCGTGATGAAGTTGACGATGACACTACTCCGCAGTTTAGATGGACACCTGATGTTTTACAACAGTTTCGAGAGGAATTGGAGAAACTCGTGATATTGGACTACATAATGAGAAACACCGATAGAGGGCTGGATAACTGGATGATTAAATTAACATGGGAAACGACCCTGGCAGGGGAAAGTGTGCCCAAGTTGAAAATTGGTGCTATAGACTCAGGACTGGCATTCCCTTGGAAGCATCCAGATGAATGGAGATCTTATCCGTTTGGATGGCTATTCCTACCTGCAGACGTTATTGGCCAGCCGTTTTCAGATGCCACCAGAAGACACTACTTACCCCTACTGACCTCTACTGTATGGTGGGAGGAAACGTCGTTGCTGTTCAGGGAGCTATTTGCCAAAGACGACGACTTCAAAGAGCGCATGTGGAAGAAGCAATGGGCCGTGCTGAAGGGCCAGGCTTTCAACGTTGTCGAGACTCTCAAGAACCCGACCCAAGGCCCCCTCGAGCTTGCAAGACGTACTCGAATCCTCGTTTGGGATGAGATCATGGAGGTACCTGTGAGCGTTCCCACTAATGTCGTCAACATTGCTATAGAGACACCACTGTGTGTAAGGCACAACAACAGAAACAAGCCATCTCCAACGCTGGATCCTATTCAAGAAAACCTTCCAGCCAGTGCACTGACTAACGATGAGCTGAAATCACCATCCAGCAGCAGAGTTCGCTCCAACTCGTGTTCCGAGTCCAACGGCCTGATGTTTGCACAGGAATCCATGGCCAGTAAGAAGGTGATCATCGAGAGACTACAGATGGTTACATCTAAGCCTCCTGTTTTCACGTGGTGCTAGTGTACCACCTCGTAAGCGAATATTTACTTCAAATCTACGCATACATAATTGGATGTTAACGTAATTGGATGCTTAAGCGTATAAAACCCATAGAATTTTTTTTTTGTAGAGATGAGGTTGGTGCGGGATTCGGCTTCCGGCTTTTTCATCAACACTTTTCCATCCATGGATGAGTTCTCTCATCACAGAGCTGAGTCATATACAGCACGGAACACGAGGATCACGCGATGTTTGAAGTTAAGAGAGTGCTGTCTATACAGTCGCACGTCATCCATGGGTATGTTGGGAACAGAGCAGCTACGTTCCCCCTGCAGTGTCTCGGATGGGACGTTGATGTTATCAATACGGTCAACTTTTCCAACCATACAGGGTACGGTTCAGTGAGAGGGACGAAATCCACGCACGAGGAGATCAACGAGGTACACAGAGGGCTTTCCGATATCGGGGTTGTGTATGATGCGTTTCTAACTGGTTATATCCACGGTGCGGAAGCGTTGGAGGCTGTTGGTGAGATTGGACGTCGGATGAAGGCCGAGAACCCCCAAATGCTGTGGCTGCTGGACCCGGTGATGGGGGATGAAGGAGAGCTCTACGTCAGCAGCAGCGTGATCCCAAGCTATAGGAAGATCCTGATGCAAGGTGGCGTGGACATCATCACTCCAAACCAGTTCGAGGCCGAGCTGCTGGTTGACTTCGCCATCGATTCCTACGACGCGCTGCAGAGAGCACTCGAGGAGCTACACACCAAGTTCAGGGTCGACCACGTTGTGATCTCGTCGCTCAAGATCGGAGACGACAAAAGCATCAAGGCCGTCACGTCCCACCGGACTCGCCAGCACACTCGCCAGTACATCTTTGACATCCCCTTCATAGAGTCCTACTTCACCGGCGTCGGCGACCTCTTCTCCGCGCTGCTGCTGGACCGTGTCTACGAATACTCCAGACTGGCCCACAGAGACTCGTACCTACAGCAGTCCGTCAACGAGTCGCTTTCCGTCATGGCCCACGTCCTCAAGGTCACCAGCGACGCAGCGTCCAGGGAGCTGGGCTCTAACGTCGTATCGAAGATGGGCTCCGCCGACACCATGAAGTCCTGCGAGCTACGGCTCATACAGTGCAGAGACTCCTACTCCTCGAGAGAACAGCTGTTTACTCCAAGGAAGCTGTAATAAACAACACCATTCTACCGCTCTAACCCGTAAACATCAACACGCCCGGTGGTTGAGGGCCTCGACGGAGAGCTCCGACAACTGTGGCGTTTCCACTCCGATGCCTGTGTTGGCCCTAACCAAAACACAAAATACGTCATCGCCAGCGATGATTGGTAACATTAGGAAGAGAGCCTGAGAATGTAAACAAAGACTCAGCAGACGCCTGGGAGGGGGGTTATAGACCATCACCAGCGCCATCGTTGTCTCCCGCTACGTGTCCTTTTAGTCAGTATCGCTTCTTCGTGCTGAGTAGCTGCTGTGAGAGTGTGAATAACTAGCGATGTCGTGCCACGAAGCCCTGGAAGCAGGCCCGCTGGCACCGAGGTTCCTACCATTGCATCCCAAGATCCCGTTTGAGAGGCTCACTGTTGGCGAGCCTGACCGTAGCGTGTCTCCCACGCCGTCAGCGACGACAGCGTCGACGGAGGACGAGCTGCTGGTGCACAGATGGCACCATGACCACTCTGTGCTGTCGACTGTTGCGTTCCCGACGCTGGGGCTTCTGTTCTGCGGTACTTATGACCACCAGATCATGGTTCTGGACATGGATACGTTTGAGAGAAGAGGCACGTTGAGAGGCCATACGGGCTCGGTGCTGTGCCTGGCGAAGTCGTCGGATGAGAAGTTCCTCTTCTCTGGAGGCTCGGACTCCCTTGTGAAGGTGTGGGACGTTGTGGAGTTGAAGGAGACGCACACGATATACTCGCTGGTTGATATTGGGGACATCTTTTCGCTGTGCTGGTGCGATGCGAACAAGACGATATACTTTGGATGCCAGAATGCGTCGATACTGTTCATCGAGTTCGACTCGGAGATGAACACCGGTGATCCAAACAGTTTACCGTCCAATAGGTTTGACAAGTTCTTTGACTCGAAGGGCCCTACAGGTGCGATATCGTCGTCGAAGAAGTCCGTGGAGTTGCAAAAGACCACGAGACTGATCGAAGTCCCATCTTCTGGTATCATGTCGTATGCCCATAACGGGTTCATATACACCATGAAGGTGTTTGATGGTACTTTTCTCATCACAGGAGGTGGTGATGGCTTAGTCCACATCTGGGATCTGAGATCAGCGAAGGGGCCTCAGTTGGTACGAACTTTTGATAACGACGACAGTGTGCTATCCATAGCACTACAGGGGAATTTCCTCTATTGTGGTATGGCAAATGGTCAATTGAAACAGTGGGATCTACAAACTTCTCAACAGATTATGACTCTCCAGAACGAAACAGACGATTCTGATAACGATGAAGAGGACAATTTAACCATTGCAGTGGCTGATTATTGTATATTTAAGGCTTCAAGAAATGGTGTTTCCAAATGGAGATTTGGCTCCAGTCCAAGACACTTTTGGGAAGCTCACCAAGGCCAAGTATTAACGTCTGAGGTTTTTACAAGAGACAAGAAGACTTACCTCGTAACAGGAGGTGATGACTCATCCGTGGCGTTGTGGAATATCACTAATGCAAACACACCTACTCATGCACATCGGAAATCAATTGTTGATACTGATAACGAGTCCCTGTTACAACACCTGAATGAATTCGTGTCATTTAGAACCGTTTCTAAAAACCCTGAATACTTCATTGATGAGTCTAGAAGGTGTGCTCATTACTTGACAAATCTATTTACAAAGTTTGGAGCAGAATCTGAATTGTTACCAGTGGACAACGGAAATCCAATCGTCTATGCATGCTTCAAAGGTCAGCAGACTCAAGACGGTTCAAAACGCCCAAGAATCTTGTGGTATGGACATTATGATGTTATTGAAGCTGAAGATAGCCTTGCGTGGAAATCTGATCCATTCAAGATGAACTCTACAGATGGTTATCTGTACGGTAGAGGTGTCAGTGATAACAAAGGTCCTATCCTTGCTGCCATCTATGCTGTTGCTGATATACTTCAAACAGGAGAGCTAACGTCGGATATCATCTTTTTGATTGAAGGAGAGGAAGAGTGTGGCTCCTTTGGATTCCAGCAAACAATCAAGAACAACGTTGAGAAGATTGGTGAAGTTGATTGGGTCATGTTGAGTAACTCATATTGGCTTGATGACACTACGCCATGTCTGAACTATGGATTGAGAGGTGTCTTGAGTGCCACTGTTGAGATCTCAAGTGATAGCCCAGATCGACACTCAGGTGTGGAAGGTGGTGTCTCCAGAGAGCCTACGATGGATCTAATCAAATTGTTCTCCAAGCTGACAGATGACAACGGCAGGGTTCTAATCCCACAGTTCTACGACACGATAAAGGAACTGACACCCGAGGAGGAGAAACTGTACGACCATATCTGCTCCAAGAGCACAGTTCCTATAAACAAGGAAACACTCTTGGCCAAGTGGAAGTTCCCTTCTTTGACTGTCCACAAGATTGACGTCTCCGGCCCCGGCAACAACACCGTCATCCCTAAGTCATCCACGGGCTATATTTCACTTCGTATAGTGCCTGAGCAAAACATCGACGGCATAAAGCTCTCCTTTCTGAAGTTCCTGAAAGAATCGTTTGCACAGTTACAGTCCGATAACCATATGACGACAAAGATCATCCACGAGGCAGAGCCCTGGCTCGGTGAAAGAGGGAATGCAGCCTACAAGATCCTGGAGAGTGAAATACTCAAGGAGTGGGGAGCTGAACCGTTCTACGTGAGAGAAGGTGGCTCCATCCCCTCGGTTAGATTCCTCGAGAAGATATTCAAGGCACCAGCTGCCCAGGTCCCATGCGGTCAATCTACAGACAACGCCCATTTGGATAACGAGAGGCTACGTGTTGCCAATCTCTATGCACTTAGACGTATCCTCAAGGGCTCATTTAAACGTCTTCCAAAGACTCAATTGGCATAGAGAGAGTATCTTTCGATATACTCCTCGTTATATTCTGGCAACGTTGTGTAGTGCGTGAAACACCCGTACACCCGTACACCCGTACACCCCGGTAATCCCCGCTCATCCCCGATAATCCCCGGTGATGCAGTACGCGACATGAGTGCCATAGTTAAAGGCATATTTACACCCTTTTGATGCTTGCGAGTGGTCAATTACCCGAGATATACACCCAAGTAGTAGGATGGTTCAGTTTGCTGATCTTCCACAAGACGTGCTCGAGACGTTCATCTACTTCTTAAGCCCTGAGGACATCACCTCTTTGAAATTGACGTCAAAATCACTGTACTATCAGATCAGCAACTCCTCCTATGTCTGGCAGCAGCTGTATTACAAGACCTTTGGATCCAAGCCGACGCCTTATTCCCTGAACAAGTGGTCTGAGCTCTATGAGAAGCGCTCGAAGGGGAGGCTTTACTGCTGGGGCTCGATGGTTGGGGGTCGCTTAGGGTTCAACTCCTCTGACATCCCTAGAGATCACGTTTCGAGAAGTGCCTTCAGAACAGGGGTTCCGGTGCCTACTTTGGTTCCCAAGTTGGATACGTTTGTGCTAGCTGACGTGTCAGCTGGTGGGTTCAGCCATCAGCTATTGACATCAGCCGGTGAGATTTATTCTTTGGGTAGCTGGCACAGCGGACATCGCAGCGTTGGTCCGGACTCAGCTGATTACGAAGTGACACAACAGCACGCGGAGCCCACAAGAACACTGTATGAAGGAGGTAGCGGTGTGCCTTTCCCTCCAGATCTTGCTGCAAGGCTAAGAAGAGCCAGACCTCTGATCACTGGAAGACGTGGTGGAGGTCGAATCAACGATCCAACAATATTACCGTTCCCCTTGACATCTACGAGTCCAGTCCACCAGGAGGCTTCCACCACGAGAACTGATACAGCTAACAGGTTTCTGAACCATGAGCATGCGCCTCAGAAGGGCTCCAATGTCAAGTTTATCTCTATAAGCTCTGGTAGATGCCACTTCATCGCGCTGGATAACACGGGTAACGTATGGAGTTGGGATAACCCTCGAACAGGATATGGTATAAACATCCAGTTCTTTGACGAGTCTGGCAACAACATCATTGACAAGGGCCATAAGGTGCTGAGATGCCATGCTGGCTGGAACTCCACTGCTGCCTACTTATACGGCTATGGACTCGTATATTGGGAGAAGAGAAGTGCTCTAGAGGAAGGGAAACCGTACGCAGTAGCACACCACACTCTTGTTCCCAATACTGGCATGATTAACGGCGAAGACAAAGTTATTGACTTCATGGTTGGTGATGGCTACCTCGTTTACTTGACACAACGGGGTGAATTGTTCAGAAACGACATGATTGGAATGGAGTCTTATCCTCTGACCAAATTCTCCAAGGTTCTAGTGGAGAACTGTGACACCACAGAGCCTAAGTTTGTCAGATTGAGTGGTAACTTCAACACCTTTGCATGTTTTACGAACGATGATTTGGTATTTCTCGGCTCTAAAGATGGAGATGAGCCCGAACTGGTCCAAGAGCTGAAACACAAGAATTGTATTAGCGTCGCCGTAGGCGACTATCATCTGCTAGCGTTATGTAACGACGGCTCACTATACTCATGGGGCTTGGAATCAGCAGGCTGTGGCTGTCTTGGGCTGGGAACGGACCCACAGGGCTCTGAAAGGGAAGATCGTGGTTCAATTAGGGTTAGAAAGCCTACATTGGTGGAGACTGAAGGGAAAGTCATTGCCATTGCAGCTGCCGGGTGGCATTCCAGTGCAATTGTCATTAAAGACGACTGACCAAGCCCTTAGATAGTTAATTCGAAAGACCGAGATACTTTGCATGATGCGCAGCATGTTGTGCAGTGAATGAAGAGATGAAGTAATAAGAATGATCGAACCCTTCTTCGTAGTTGACGCTGACTTTGCCCTCGAACGGAGTGCCCTTGGATGCCTCAACCAAGTTCTCTGGGAGCAATTGGTGGTCCCTGTAGTAGAAAGGATCAGCCTTACCAACATGGATCAAGATCTCTGGAGATGGACCTTCGTAGGCCTTGATCAAGTCTGTTGGGTCGTACTTAGCCCACTGGGACTTGTCATCGCCTAAGTAACCACCAAAGTTCTTCTCACCCCATTGACACTTTGAAGGGTTTGAGATTGGGGCGAAAGCACTGACTGATTTGTACTTTGAAGGGTTTTGCAAGAAGCCAGAGAGCGCACCGTATCCTCCCATTGAGTGGCCAGTGATTGAGATGGTGTCAAAGTCCAGCTTGTCGAATTGCTCAGCCAGCTTTGTCTGGAGCTCACCATGGACGTAGGAGTACATTCTGTAGTTGGTCTTGAACTTCTCAGTGGTGGCATCCACGTAGAAACCAGCACCTGAACCAAAGTCCCAGGAGTCGTCTTCACCTTCGATACCAGCACCTCTAGGAGATGTATCTGGGAACACAACTGCAAACCCGTACTTATCAGCTTGAGGTTGCCAGAAGGCCTTCTCAGAGGCATTGTTGGGAGTACAAGTCAGTCCTGACAAGTAGAGCAGCACCGGGATCGACTTCGAGGAGGCAGAGTCATATTGCTTTGGCAAGTAGACGTTGACCTCCATCTTCGTCTTGGTCTCTGTGGATTCATGGGAGAGCTTCAGGAGCTTCCCTTCGAAGGTGTATATGGTGGAGTCGGTGGTGAAGGACATTGTTGTTCAATTGGACGGATTGCGAGAGAACTGAAAGGGAGAGATGAGGATTTGGCAATGATGGGTCCCCCATCCACGTTGGTATTTATATATCTTTTGTTGTAGAAGCCGGGGAGGGAATATTTTACCCTTTTGGGTTAAATTTGGCACTCTACGGTCATTTTTCCAGTTTACGCCAAATTTGCGAGCAGTTGTGCAAAATACGTGGCCGGACGGTGTTTTACGCCAAAAGTGCGCGCAAGATACGAAAACGGAAAAGGGCTATATTGGCACGTTATGGATTGTATATACAACGACGGTGTTTTACATTCATTTCTTACCAGACTTCTTGATACCACCACCCACGAGCGGCTTACCGCCTTTGATTTGGGCAGCAGCAGCCTTTCTAGCAGCTTCGGCTTCTTTTTGCTTCTGTTTGAAGGCGAGGTCCTCCTCGTCGAGGTCCTGAGGACCTTTCTTCTTTTGCTTAAGAGCTATATCATCGGAGCTGTTAGTGACTTCTTCTTTGCTATCTCTAACATATTTCCAGTACAGCCGATACAATTCACATACGCTTGAGTTTACCACCTTGACGACCAGACATTGTCAGATACCTTTTCTAGTGAACGATTCCAATGTTGAAGCAGAGGATGATGTTGCTGCTGTTGGGCTAAAATTTTTTCGGGGTTAACCTCCTTACATAAGCAACTGTTTTACCCGTCGGGAAATTGGCAGAGCTCATCGCCCAAGCAACGTGAGACCTAAACAGCGTAAAAAAAATTTCAGTGCAAGTGGTTGGTAATATGAATCAATCATAAGCTACGAGATTGCGCTAGATAAATGGGTAGAAAGGCGAAGAAGTCACAAGTCAGCGAAGCGTTGGAGAGTGGTGTTCTTCCACTCCTCGAACTGAAGTTCGAGGCGCCATTGTTCGCATTTGCAGCCCATCCTACAAGACCTATATTGGCCTTGGGATTGGCAAATGGATACATGTTCATGATTGAGTATGATACTTCCAAATTGGCGTTGACGATGCAAGATTTGAAAAGAACATACAAGAAGTCGAAGGCTGTGGAGTCCAAAACCAAGCTGAAGCAATGGCGAGTGGAAACCTTGGCCAAGGATAGCGAATTGGCGGATGGCTTGAGAATCATTTGGAAGACCAAGAGACATAAAGGAAGCGTTAGATCTATATGCTTTAACAGCGACGGCGAGGAAATCTACTCAATTGGATCCGATCACGTGTTGAAAAAGGCCCATACCACAAATGGTAAAGTCATTAAGAAGACCACCGTGGAGAATTGCTCGCCAATGAAGCTCTACAAGTCCGAAACACACCCGTTCTTGATCATTGGCGACGAAGAAGGCAATGTCCATGTCATTGATTCTGAAAGCCTAAAGCTGAAGAACGTTGTCCAGAAAGTTCACGAAGATGCCATAAACGCTATAGTTCCTATGAAGAAGAAATCTGTGTATCAGTTTGTCTCTGTCGGCTCCACCACCGTGTCGCTTTGGGATACCAGAAAAACTGCTTCAAACATAACGTCTGAGAACCAAGAGGATGAGATCTTGAGTGCCTGTTTCGTCAACCCGGAAGATGGGGAAACGCTGGTGTGTGGTATGGGCGAGGGGATCGTCACGGTGTGGAAGTACTCCAAGAATGAGTTTACCGATCAAATCTCAAGAGTCAAGGTTTGCAAGGATGAGAGTATTGACTGTATCATCAGCACTTTGCAAGACGATGGCTGCTGCTGGTGTGGCTGCTCCAGCGGTGATGTCTTCAAGGTAGACGTTAAGCGTGGCAAGCTAGTTGAGAGCAGAGTGCACAGCTCCATCGACGAGGTGGGCTTCTTAGACCTAGACTATGAGTACAGGCTGATCAGTGGAGGCATGGATAAATTGAAACTATGGAACGACAGCGACGACGCATCCGACACATCGCACGGATCTGCAAGTGATTCCCTTGCCGAGCAAGCATCTGACAGTGATGATGACAGCGAAGATGACAGCGAAGACGACAGCGATGACTCCTCAGCTGAACATCCGGCACAGGCCGTAACTACAGAATCAGCAACCACAACGCACGCTGTCCACACCGAGCACGCATCATCCGACAACTCCTCCAGCGAGCCGGAAGTCGAACAGGCAACGCCAAAGAAGAAGAAACAGAAGCTCACCACAAAGCAAGTGCGTAATCTACAGAAACACGAGCATGGCATCAGAAGATTCGACGATCTATAAACATTATTTAATAGAAATGTGCTCATGTTGAGAGAAAAAACCCGTATAAGAGACGAAGGCCGATATGCCGGTTGACGCAGGAATGCACGAGCTTTTCCTTTCAACGCAGCTTGTTAGGAAGCCCAGCGAAGGATCAAAAAAATCATGGGCGATTTGGCTACTTTTCAATATCACAGCCATTGGATGGTTTGTAGCTTCCGACTCGTATCAGTAAGTGCTGTGGATAATTCACACGATGGCCAAATCACACACGGTGACGTTCTCGTATAACCCTGAGAAGCTTGTGCTGTTCAACGGCACGAGCGAAAGACAATCACAGGCGGAGAGGCTAGTGGAGCAGCTGGGGCTCGAGGAGACAGGTGTTCTGGACAGTGAGGGGGAGCTGAAGTGGTTGGAGTCGAGTGCTGAGCTGAGTGACATTCTGAGACAGTGGCGACAGCTGTATAAGGCGCTGGACCGTAAGAAGCGGATGCTGAAGCGTGATGGACAGGTTGTGCGGACAAGCACGGGCACCAGCACAGGAACTAGCACCAGCACAGGGACCAGCACCAGCACGGGCACGGAGGACGACGACGAGGGAGAGGAGAAGGTGGACTACACGAGCAGTGGCAGCACTGACAACGAGCGCAACAGCATGCGCAGCGACTCTACACAGACCAGCCCGGCCAGCGGTGGTGATGCCACCACCGGCATCGCTGGCTCGACGCCTACCTCTGCGAAGCACACTACCGTCTCCTCCGATGAAGGCGATAGCCTTCACAGACGGAAGAGGCTAAGAGTGTGACACGTTCAGCCTACAACATACTCACCGTATGCCGTATAATACTAGTTTTAACTTATTTGAACCACCTCCTTGTAAGCCATGGCCCGTAGTTGTTGTTTAAAGCACTCGTAGTGAGCGCCTGGACAGGTTGGAGTTCCTGGTGCTGCGTAGCGAGCGAGGCCTAGGCGGAGGGAAAACGCCGGGCTGCTGGGCAGCCTGGCTGCTCCACGCAGCTCCTCCAGGCAGAACCCCCCTGGAAAAAAACATCAGCACACAACAACAACAACAACAACAACAACTCCTCCAACCTCACGGGCCCTCAACACAACATACACAGCAAAAGATGCAACCATTGGTGTCGGTATGTACTGAGACTGCGACTCTTCCCACGGAGCACTACTAACAGCACGGCGTATGGCGAGATAGGCTGGTAAAGCGTGGTTCTGTACCGTTCTCTCTGCCTTTGGCGTGGTGATCCTCTCGTTCATAGCCTACCTCTTCTACACCAACCACGAGTCGATGATGGGCTCGATAAACGACCCGGAGGATGGCAAAGCAGTTGCTGAGACCGTGGGCACTGCGGCACTGGTGTACGCTGGGTTCTTCGTGTTCTGCGGTGCGCAGATACTCATCTACAAGAGAAACGCCCGTCAAAGCGTTGCGCTCCAGTGAGAGTGCCTGTCTGCTGCCTAGCAGCACAGCACAGTTCATCCGGCTTAAATAGACCATTTTTTAATCCAATCTCTTTTACTTTCACCATGACGAGTAGTGGCACGGGCCCAGTAGGCTCGGGAAACCGTTTCCAGGGCCAATTGGGCCGTGTGCCTAGGCTGGGGGGTGATAACGTATGCGTCCGTGTATCAGGGCAGTGAGGGACATAAAACACCCAATTTTGCAATTATATAGAGCCACCTCCTCGCAACAGGAAAAAGAAACAAAAGAGAAGACTGCAACGGTTATAGAGGTCGATACTGACGTGAGTTCGGTCCATTTCATCTCATTTCAGCTTAGCCAAAGATGCTTAGACACAGCAGAGGCCTGGCTTCGCTTGCGATAACTGATCCCCTGGTGCTGTACAAATCCCTGGTGAGCCAGGGGAAGCTGGTGGCAGATCAGCACCAGCTGAGAACGGTGGTGGAGCTGCAACGACTCCACTATAGGGTGAAGGACTACGAGCCTCCTGAGTGGGCACAGCTGGAGATCGAGCGCATGTTGGCTAAGGTCGATACACCGACGAGATGGAGGCCTCTACTGCGGAGCAGACGTCGGGACCTGGTGAAGGTGCTGTCTGATGAGGATCTGAAGAGCTTCCCAAGTCCTCACGGGCTGTTGATCAACGGTGGTGTCGGCACGGGGAAAACGATGCTGATGGACATGTTTGCCCAGTCGTTGCCTAAGAAGTCCAAGCAACGCTGGCACTATCAGAATTTCATGCTGTGGGTCTATAACGAGATCCACACGATCCATTTGAAGCGACTGAAGATGAGATCAAACACCCGTGAAGAGTTCATCCTCTTTGAAATCGCACAGAAGATGATATCTCAGAACACCGTGCTGATATTGGACGAGTTCATGTTGCCAGATCTCGCTGCTGCAAAGATCGTGAAGCTGCTGTTCACGTACTTCTTCAAGCTTGGTGGTGTCCTAGTGGCCACTTCTAACAGGATGCCAGAGGACCTGTACGCCACTGATTTCAAGAAAGCCGACTTCAGGTCGTTCATGGCCGTGTTGCAATCCAGGTGCTACTCATTGGATATCGAATCAGACAAGGACTATAGACAGTTGATGCATCAAGACTCGAAAGGCTCCAATGTGATTATTGGCAAAGGTGATATTCGTAAACTGGCCAAGCTACAGCTGTCAGATGGCTCGGACAAGAAGATTTCTGTCTATGGACGGGAAGTCACGATCCCATGGCATCATGAGGGCAAGGTGTACTTCAAATTCGAGGACCTGTGTGCTGGACTGTACGGTCCTGGTGATTACATATCGCTGGCGTCGAACTTCCATACGTTTGTCATTGACGAAGTGCCGGTGTTAAAGATGTCAATGAAGAATGAGGCCAGACGGTTCATCACGCTTTTGGATGCACTCTATGAGAGCAGATGCCAATTGTACTTACAATTGGACACTCATCCCGATGAGCTCTTCTTCCCTGACTCCAAAGTTGGTGAAAACGATGGTGAAGATGAGCAGAACAGAATTAGAGTCCAGGAAGAGGAGGCGTTCTCTAAGACCCATATTGCACTGACAGCACCTTATAGACCAAACATATCGAACTATGACGATGACAAGATCTACTATAAGGAATGCTCTACGGGGAGTTGTGAGCTAACGTCTATAGATTATGCAAAACAGAAGACGTTCACAGGTTCTGACGAGAAGTTTGCGTACAAGAGAGCACTTTCCAGATTGAAAGAGATGGACTCAGATGCCTATAAATCAATGGCATGGAAGCCACTTCATGAAGTGATGAGACCATGGGAGGGCAGTCGTTCAGGTGTGGACGGTATGTGGGAAGAACAAGACGAATTCGAATACGTCAACCATGCTTCAAAGGTGGCACCAAACTTTGCTTATACGCATTTCTGGTCAATGGGACTATGGGGTAAAGGCGAACGGTTAAACGATATGGCTAGACGATGGATTAGAGGAGTATCTGCGCCAGATCATCATTATTGAATATTCATGAATACAGGTTATAGATATAGTATCAACTCTGTAGGATCCATTGGTATGTTTGGAGCAACAGGTGATCATTCAATCTCCTCGACACAGCTCCAGGGCTTGCCATTATAACAAAAGTTTTGGGCAACTTGTTCATCGCACAATGTCAGAAGCACCACACCGTTCTCGTAAATATGCGAATGCATATCCTTCCATGCCTTGATTATATCAGTTTTCGACTTCATGAGAAAGCACACTCTCTGTGGAAACTGGCCATTGACACGGATCTTGAGGTATCTGCTGCCAATTGACTGTAGTTTGTGAGAGAATGCTCCACATAGTTCATCAACACTGGGTGTAAAGTTCTTGGATGTCCTCCTCTGCTCTGTGCCATTGGGCATCTCATAGTCTATGAAGATGTAGTGTGATGGGATATCCTCTGTAGAAAGATTATGAGCAGCGATGGTCTTTATGCTGACTGTCCTGGTATAATCTTGAAAAGGTGATATCATCCCTTTTGGTACTGATATTGGGATATGGCTTGAAAGGTTTGGTTTCCGAGCACGATTCTTCAAGTGAGGTGTAACAACCTCAACATTATGATCATCGTTATGGTCAACATTATCAACCACATCATCCACAACAACAGCATCATCATCCGATATTACTTGACGTATAACCGGTCGAGATTTGTTTGCTGTCTGATCACTCGAGTCGTTGTCATAACCCATAACACCATTACAGTGATGATCGTCAATGCCATTATTCACATTGTAAGTCTTGGTACCTCCATCACTGTGCCCATCATCATGGTCAATATCATCAATGGCATGGGCTTTATTCCGTTCATATCTGTTCGCAGTCTCAGACAGACATGTGGCTTTCTTAACAGTAGTGTCAGAATCTTCCAACAAACATGTGTTTGACCTTATAGCCCTCTTAACTCGTCCATTGTGTTTCTCAAAGTCCTTAGTGATGTCACAGTCTATATAACATTTCCCATTCCTTATGGCATAGGGCAATGTGGCCTTCAATCCACATACAAAGCTCGTGCTACCACCTCTAATGCACAGTTCTTCGTTCTCCAATGAGGTTGAGAAGTTTGGACCAAGGCTGCTGAACAAGTAGTCCCACTTCACAGGTCGACAAGCATACTTCATAAATTGTCTATCAATTTTGGCATAGAACTTCATGGGATCATGGACATAGAAGCGAGACGATACATACGACTCAAAGCCATACCTCTCCAGCAGCGATGCACACTGTGTATCAGAGTAGCTGTTCACCATTTCAACAACAACAAGGTACTGTCCCTCCCGTAGTTTGTAGAAATTGATGATCTGTTCTTCAAATTCTCTGTTTAGCTCTTCAAAGTCTGCATTGGAGACACAATCCAACACGTACATGTTAACGTGCTTGTCTTGGTGCTCACCGAGAACGACATTCTTGAACGGTATTACCTTCACACGATGTGTTTTCCTGTGCTTTAGTGATCTTTGAGAATCAGAATTGCTCTGGAGCGCAAGTCCCTTGGAACCGTGGTCCTCTTTCTCGTGGTGGTTGGGACTAGGGTGATGTCGTTTCAACGGCTCTGTCTTCCTGCTCTGTGAGTGTGTACCGTGGTATCCCGAGCGAGTCGACTTCAGACTGCTAGACGACTCTGGGTATCCACTACTTATGATCACTTTCGGCCTGTTTATAGAAATCGACCTCTTATTGAGTAGCCTGTGCGAGTTCGGATGTCCCTCTCTATAGTCCGATATAGCACCCAGACGCTCGTCAGGACTCTCAGCTTTCATAGCTTGACAGAGTCGACTGATCAATGCCACGTTATCTAATAGAGGTAGTGCTCAATTAGCTCGTTGATGTGGGTTTAATAGTAGGAGGGGGTATTGAAAGCGTATCCAATGTTCGTTCTGCATTGTGCTCGAATGGTAGTTTGGCGATGCGATGAATAAAATATTATATAATATGATGTAATAATATAATATAATAGTATTATATAATAATATAATGAACATCAGATACCCTATGTACAGAGCCCAGTTAATCTCTCAATGTTAGGCCATATAATGTGATGGTAGGACATAGCTTAGCTTGAATATGTATAATATCAGATACTTCTTCCAATGAGTATATCCAATATTCATAATTCCGTATGATCTAAAGTGTCATATAACCATGGAGTGTACAAACGATGAGGTAGCAGCTCATCAGGATACTTTCACTTCACATCCTCGCTGATGTTTCCATAACACACAGCATGAACTGCTTTCCTGAGAAGCTTGCTCATTGTTGTGTCGACAGTGTTGTTTTCCAGCTCAAACAAAAACATGACGATATCAAAATGGGTACTGGAAAACTTTGTAGGCTACTACTCTCTTCGCAACTTGAATACATGGTTAAGAGTATTGTGTTAAAGCTCTGGAGCCATATATAAGTGAACTTAGATCTCTTAAGCAGCAACTGGCTATCCTTGCTTCTATAATATCCTTCTTTACATTAAACTTCCGGCTTGAGATTCACGACCAAATGATCTATTCATTTCAAAGAATAACAAATGGAGGGTCATTAAATCTGAATCTTTCGATATTGGCTCATTCCATAGAGCTTGATGTTTATACAGGATTCATAAATATTGCTAACATTGCCCGGGTTCGTTGTGAGCTCTTTACATATGCTTCGTCATTCTCCATAAGAATCTCCAGTTAACTGGTGAAAACATACGACCTCTTCAGGTGGCCCTTTGTTGCTCAGAATACACTCTGTTGGTTTGTCCTTTCTACCAGAGAAGTACCATTTTGAGCTTCTTGATTATTGTGATGCCGGTATACAATTCAAACTGGTATTCATTCTCCCACCAAGAAGTGTATACTCAAAGCATTTATGGACCTTTGTAAAACCTGAAAGTGTAAGTTCCATCCATCTTTCCCAATTGATACTGCCATTGAAGTGTGAACCAATCTATCTTGAGCAATATCACCAGCATTGGTATATGTCCTTCTTCAATGTTATATGCGACTAGCTCCACCTTGTAGGTTCCACGAGTCTTCTGTAGAAACAGAATATACAATTCCCTGGTTTAACAATGGTACAATACAAAGAACGTTCTGTCTTCTACCAATGTACGACAAATATACCAGCCCTCTTCGATACCAAACCTCCAACATGAGAAGGAAGAGTCGTAATGGTTCTTCCCATTTGCATTAGATCTATCAGCAAAAGTCGAATCACCTTATACAGAGAAACAGAAATAGAGGCAACTTGACATTAATTCCAGTCAATTGACTCAAAATAGAACATGAGCTATTAGATATAGCAAAGAACATTGTAAATACATGTAAACGACGAATATGCAGCATGGAGCAAGTCATAGAACAATACCAAGATGCATGCGTACGCTTACGCAGCTGTTGGTGGATCAGGCCTCAATGAGCTTTTGATCAACTAACATTTGGAACTTATCATGAATCTGATCACTGGATGATAGGATTCGAATAACTTTCCAATCTGGATATGTAATATCGATGTTTGTTCTGATAAACAGTTTCATTTGATCATTAGAACAATACCCGAGATCCACCATCTGCGGGAGGAGATCCAGGCACACTTTTGAACGCCATGAAGATAGCGAGGGCTCAAACACACTGACGAACGACACTCCTCCGAGTTCTTCTTTCAGGGTTGCAATTCTCTCCAGCACTGCTCGTCTCTCCACCGCAGAAATCTCAATAAATGGTACTATGATTTCCAAGTACTCACAGTTCTCAGTGAAGAACTTACTCAAAGCCTTTGTTGTAATACCGAGTACCTTTGCAACAGTGAACTTTGCCCAGTTGATTGATTCATGAGTATCGTTTCCACATGCAACATCGAAATGGTGTAATTGTGGGTTGTAACCAACGACATGCTCTTGCTTTGACAAGGGAAGAAAAACAAGCATATAATCGTCCACGATGATCTTTAGTCTCTTTGATAGCTTTTCAGTCTCAAACTTACCAACATGAGACTCCTCTGGGAAATGTACTGTCATTCCGTTAGAAATGTCCACCAATGCTTCATGCGTCATTCTATTCGTCCCGGGCTTTCTATGTTTCCCAGATTCGCATACAAGAGTTGCCAATGCAGACAGCATATCACTCGTCCAATGAGAGTGTCTCATATGTTCATCATCGTCAGCAGAATGTACTACCATTGTTACCAGCTCCTCTAATTAACCACCAGTTAATAAAATCAAAAGTGACATAAGAAAGAGTCACGCAAAATTTGTTCGCTCGCTCGAGATGATTTTCTGGGGGTCCAACAATGCTGCTTTCAGCCTCATCTCTATTGGCTGTTTCTTTTTGTTAGTATTTACTTTAAATGGAAGACCCCAGTGTATTCATGTGATCTAGTTAAAATGTGTACAAACGATTTTTGTTATAATAGAGAGAAACCAATCATGTCAAATGCTGGTGAGATGTATCATGAAACACTCATCTCTTGGAACTTGTTCTCAACTATGAGAGATTTGTCCTCAGATGAATCGTTGTAGGTGTCACCTGTATTCCCGTTAGCAACGGCATTGTTCCCCTTTTGCGAGCTCACGACGGTTCCATTCATTTCATCGTCACTCCTACCGTAGAGCTGCCACCACCATTTCACTTTGTTGTAGTTTGGGATTATCAACGCCTCCTTGGGCTCGAATGACTTGTTTGAAAACTCATCTCTTCTCGAAAGGAAATAATCCCAGACGCTTCTAGTCTTTAATCTCACCTGGGTGGTGAATCTTTCTCGTTCGTTGTCGTGGAGGAAGTTTCCATATTGACACGAGTAGAGGTGGTAGATTAGTCTTCGCAAGAACCTCTCGTTGAACTGAAACTCGCTTGGATACTGGAGAAGTAGTTGGTATATACAATCAACAAACTGCTGGAAGACTGGGGATGTGAATTTCAGGGCTCTTTTCCTTCTAAACCTCGTGGACATGGTCTTCAAGGCATTGTTGCTCTCATCTAATTGAGATCTGAAGATGCTCTCAGAGCTTAGATGTCCACATCTTTCGTTAAATCTATGACCAAATGAGATCCATTCCTTTTCGACTATTGTGATGAATCCATCAATGGTTCTGAAATATGGATCAACACACACTTGTATGAGGGAACTCACCTGTGCAGTTCTATCCCATCCGTCAGAACAGTGTATCAAAATGTTAGAATGGTTCAAGGCAAACGACTTCACCAATTTCTCAGTGCTGCTCAACAACAAGGTCAGAAATTTCAGCCATTGGGATCTGTTCAGGTCTTGCCTGTTCAGTTTGGAGCTGACATCAACATTTTCTAAACATTCACACATCTGTGTTAAAGAATCCCTCATCACGTGGATGTTATCTATACCGAGATATACCTTTTCAGATTTCTTGTAATAATCCATATTTTCAGAGCCTCCGCCTAAGGCAAACTGTGCCATCGCATTGGTTAAGGGTCTTGCATCCACAAGGATGTTGACTTTGGTATCTGAGTTATCACTAGATCTAAAGATCTCGTCAACCAATTTCTCGTCTTGGATGGACCTAGACTGTTTTAAACCAACCAACGGTTGCGAGCACCTAGTTATGGTACATCCATTGGTCTTGTTATAGTAAGACAGTGCTGGGATCCTGTTTTTCGACCGGAACCTTGAGGCGTGGATCAGCACGTTATCAGATATGGTCTTTGGAACTATAAGAGTCTGGGGATAGGTATCACAGAACTTGAAGTTCGAATTGATACTTGACGCTCTCCAGCTCGATGACGAGCCTTGTGTGGTATGGTTGAAGTTCAGACCTTGTCTCTCAAACTCCGATATTGGGTTGTAGATGTTCCAGGAGTCAAACGACTTTTCAATCGGATTCGGCTGGTATATGAACGCATAGAGCTGTGTTGTATCGGTCAAACAGGTCAGCTTCATGATCGAATCAAATACATCCGTACACTCCTGCTCGTTGACAAAGTCAAACGACAAGAACTGGAAGTCCTTGCAATTGATCTTGATGGTGGAAACTTTGAACAGGTTCAACTCCTCACCCCGAGCATTGTGCAACTTGGGCAACTGCGCAACTATGGAGCTCGACAAGTCGTCCCTCGACCCGTCCTCCTCTTGCAACTGCCTCAGCAGCCTCAGCAGTGCACTGCCCTTGGAACACTCCACAGAGCTGATCATTGGATAGCACAGCCACAGCTCCCGCAGCTCATTGGGCTTTGGGCTCAAAACAGTAAAGATAAGGTGGTGTGTTGTCAGGTGTAGAGACCCGTGGATCATCTGTCCACGCTTGTGCAGTACGACATCGTCAACACGCGCAACTCGTATGAACTCCATCCTCACAGAGCTACGTGAACTTCTATCGCAAGCGCCTTGTAAACAACAATAGCGCTGTGGCGAAAGTCCTCTCCAATGCCCATTGCGAGCCTGTGTTTGTATGCTTTGGCGAGCCCGCGATAGGAAGAGTTTGCGGGAGAGGACCGGGTGGTGTGCGGGTGGTGGTGTCCAGGTGTTTCATTTCCGGTATGTTTACCCCCGGATTACCCTGACTCTCAGCAATGCGGTCTCTCCCCTTCGGCCACTTCCCGTTTAAGAAGTCTACGTATCTCGTGCGTCTGAGGCTGTTTTGACACATAATTTACTGTGATTGGCTGCTAAATTTATTACGTTACTTGCACGACTAAAGACGCTTCAATTTATACCGCGAGCCATGGATAGGCCTGTGTGGTTGCCTTGTCACTCATTCTGAGTCCTCTGTTCCCCAGAAGCAATCACCAATCCAATTGGTTGCACTTGTTCAGCACAGAATACACCACCTTACCAATACAAAGCTATAGCAACGTACACTGATGGGAATACGCTACTCCACGTACATCGACTCTGAGAAGACACAGGCCACCACCTTTGGCTGTAGTGGCTGTAGAACACACCTGTCCACCTCTGGTTTGATCCTCTCCAAGGACTACAGGGGTCACACGGGCGACGCCTACTTGATGGACCAGGTTGTTAACGTGACCCTTGGTAGAAGGGAGTTCCGTACGATGATCACGGGAAGATACCTTGTGAGCGACATCATGTGCCACCAGTGTGGGCACCGGGTTGGGTGGAAGTACCACCAGACCGACGAGAAGAACCAGAAGTTCAAAGAGGGCCGTTATATCCTGGAGGTGAACACCATCGTGAAGTGCAAATGATAGTGCCAAGGCACCATCATGAGGTTCTGCCCTTCCTCCTCATACGTTTCAGTTATGTGGGGAAGGGGATGCTTTGAAGACGATTGGGTATCTTTGCTCTGGATTAGAAGGTGCTGGGACACCTTTACACGGTTTTTTTTCTATTATATATGTTTACATTGTGATGGTATGCTCACATGTTCAGGTGGCACCTGTTCGTGAAGCGTACAGACATATACACAGTACATCCAATGTTGAGTTGGGGAACTTGGAGGATTATTACCTGTTGGATGGTGGATTGTTTGGTTTCAACGGTTATTGGTTATTGAGGGCTCGCTATTTATATATCTTACGTACCACAAATAGTTGTACATCGAGAGCGATTATTTCATTTGTTTTATATCATAAAGAGTAGTGGATAGTAATCGTTTGTTCCGCGTCTGGTGAAGCACCATGTGCACCGTGTAGAGCATCCTCGACTAGTGCATCAGAGCTAGTGACTTGGTGCATTCGGTGGATACAACCAGTATTTTCCTTGTAGTTGGCAGAATTGACTACTCAGGTCATTCTAAACGGCATCTTAGAAGCACGACCATGAGAAAACAGTAGGGATACCGGTGTATTTTCCAGTGATCCTCCTCTCATGTTTGTATTGTGTTGATTTGATAACAACGAAAGGTATACTGGCCATGGTTCCTGACTGTCTGTTGAGTGTAATTTCTCTAATTCTTCCTTCAATATTCCAACTGTAGAAGAAGGAGCATAGCTATCAGTTGAAATGCCGACTTTCCCAGAAAGTTCAGCCTTCACAAGTTGTGACATTATAGTACGTAGAGTCGACGTTTGAATCTCTTCACTGACAAATGTATTGGAGTTGAAGAAGATCATCAAAGTGTCTCTGATTTGGCTGTAACTCTTATTTCTCAAGGGGAATAACCAGATAAACTGACTATATTCATCACAAACAAGCAATATCCATTTGTAGTCGTCTTTTTTGCTTTCAACAACCTCAATACACAGCTTCTGGAACGGCTGTGTGATGTTCCCAGACCTATTGGTAAGGGTTAATGGCATAGAAGTGTAGTTACACGCTTTACAATGGGAGCACACAAACCAGACCATGTTTCTTGTCACGTTGTCAATGTGCTTTATAGCATCGTAAGATCTCTTGACTGAGCCATGCTTAGTAAGAACAGCATGTCCATAGTAGCAGTAGTTGATCAGATCACGTGGGTTGATAATCATCGATAAAGAAGGGCGTGCACCTTTCTTATTGGGCCTCACTCTCCAAATTAGTTTGGGGTTTCTCTTGGATCTAACATAGTGGAATCTGGCATCTGACATCTTACGCTCCAGTCTTCTCGATGCACTAACGCTTTTCAGTTCATTGAAAACCAATGATGGATCAATTCCTGAAAACGTACATATGAAATCGATGAAATCCCTCTTCTTGAATTTTAGGCGTTCAAACTCGTTGGATTGGACATCCGTTGTCTCGTCAACTGGCACGGCACTAGGAAATTGTGTCAACAGAGCATAGAGCCAATCCGTCAACTGAACGTGCTTTGAATCCTCCTTGGCTTGGACAGAGATGAACTTCACAACAGACGTGGTATCGACAAAATCTCTAGTGAATCTTTCGACAATTCCTGATTCCTCCACCAGTTTCAATACACTCTCAGGGAAGATCAGCCTGTCCCCGTCAAGATTGCGGGTGTAGTTGCTGAAGTCTTGAACGTCTTGTATAAAGCGTAGCTCGGTGTTGGAAGAAGGAGGAATTCCATTGAATGTGCCAGTTCCAAGTGATCCGACCAACGTATCGAATTGCTTGCGATAATCAGTGAATGTAACTTCAACTGTGGGGTCCGTCTTGGAATTGACGATAGCAGTAAAGAATTGGCTTGACTGCTTTGAATAGTCACATATGATATTAGCAATCAGCAATATTGTCACCAATTGACTCTCCGCAGCGAAGAAAGCGTCTTCGAACCGAAGTTTGCGAACTCTTAGCGATGTTGTCGGAGCAATCCTCAACAGAGAGACCAAAGAAGCTGTGAACTCCTTAATCAGCTCAACTCTGTCAGGGGTGATTTGGTCAAATTCAGAACAGACGAGAACAAGCTCTGGGATCCCAGATTTGGGGTGCGTGTCCAACATCCCAACACACCATGCTGAATCGCTGATCTTGATCGGGAACAAAACAAAGGGGAATTCGCCAGTAGTGGTGACTTTCTTCAATTGAACAAGTACCTCGTCATGGCTTGCGTTCGAGGTCATTGGCATATTCTGGGTGTCCATAAACGAAGGGTCCATCAGGATCAACGGGCGTCCTTCAACATTCTGAGGGCCTGTGCAGTTCACTATGGACACCAAGCTAACACTATCGGCCAGAAACTCCTCCAACAAGGACCTCAGTTGGGAATCTTTCAAAGAATTAGTAGTATCAGTGTCTATCGGCCCATCAACCGTCCGATTCCAGAAGCTCAAAACACTGTTCATTGTATCTATGCGTCTTTGTATGCGTGTTCCTCTGTGCTTTGTTGTTGTTGTTATGGGGATGATGAAAGCGTTTTGACACCCGGTTTTTGGGGTCGACCAGATTTCAGATACACATTTTCGGAATGAAGCAGGGGCTGCCGCGTTCGTTGTTCCGGACGTTCCAGAAACGTGTATTATTGGCTCCTTGGTCCGAGTGCTGGCATTTGTCTGTTGAGTGGTTTGGGGGGAGCGCACTTTCCTCAATTGTTCAGTTGAAGCAGCCTTTAGAAGCAGTTCAATTGGTGACAAATGACGACGAAGATCGAGATGGATCCCTCAGTTGAGGACTTCTTTGCACGGATCAAAGAGCTGGAGAGGGAGGACGAGCAGGAGAGGAAGCAGGAGAGGAAGCAGGAGAAGAGTAACATGACGGAGGACACAACGGGTGCACCTGCGAAGCCTCCAAGGCCACCGAGACCATCAAGACCAGTCATTGATGAGTTTGACGACGACGATGACGATGAGGAGGATAACATTCCACTGAGTGTTGATGAACTTGTGTATGAATCTGCCTATAACTATGACAAGTCCAACAAAACCACTGATGAAGGTGAAGCACCACCACTGCCGTCGAGAACGAGAACCGGACTCACAAGACATTCTCATAAGAAGTACGACGACCTCGAGATAGTGAGGTTTGACGACTACGTTTCTGAAAAGAAGCCGTATAGACATCGTGAACAGCATGCTGTATACAAAAGCCATTCGAACAGAGGTGGTGATGCATCGTCATCGCCAAAACCCTCAAAGACGAAGTACGAGCTGTCGGAAACTGAAAAACGTGATATTGACAGTGTTATCAATGGACTCATCGGTGATAATCCAGGTGGACACACCGTTGGCAAAAAGGACGAGGAAGAGGAGGAGGTGAAACCTCGCCTTCCTTCAAGACGTAAAACATCAGAGCTGAACAGTGCGAGAGCTTCATCCCCATTAAGTGGTCCATTTGACCATCCTGACGACAATGTCAAAGAGAATAAACCGCAATTGCCAAGGAGAACTCTTGAGCCAATGTCGATTCCAAAGCCCAAGCCAGCTGTGAAGCCAAAGAGCTCAACCGTGGTTCGTGCTGAACGTTTAGAGCCGTCAAAACCAACAACGGCACGCCCAAAGCCACCAGCAGTAAAACCAAAGGGACAGTGGTTGAAGTCTCCTTCAACGCTCCATCAGGGTGTATCCACTAAGCCAAACTATACTATTGAAAAGATCGCCAATGAAACCACGTGGCTTGAGTCTGCAAAGAACAACCCGAGATTAGAGAGACACACACATACAGTAGACAAGCCAAAGGTCAATCCAATTCCACATTCTAGCTCAAATACTTTATCGAAGGTTGAACAGGCAAATGAACAAGCTCAAGCTGAAAGAGAGAAGAACTTGCAAGAGCTGAACAGCCCAAAATTGAACCATGTAAGACATACTCCACCACCGCCAAAGTTGAAACCCAAGCCAGCTGCCGAGCTGATCGAGACCATCGTTCTCAAAAAGGTCAGACCTACTCCTATAAATAGTTCCAATGAAGAAACAGATGCGCATGATATGTCTCGCCCCAAGCTGAAGCCTGCTGTTCCCGTGAGAAAGCCATCTACCAAGATCCCAGAGGCCATGCAGGCATCCAAGAAGTTGAAACCTCCGGTTCCTGTGAGAAAGCCTTCTGCAAAGGTCCCAGAGGCTATTTCACATAAGGGAAATTTGAAAGCTTCAACAGACTCGAAACAAAACTCATCATATGAGGAGAAAGATTCCGTTCCTGAAGCTTTGAAGAAGGTAACGGCTTTGAAACCACCCCCACCTGCTCGCAAGCCTTCCACTAAGCAATTAGAAGCTCTTGAAGTCTTAAATAGTTTGAAGAAAAAGGAACCACCACAGGTCAAACCCAAACCAAGGGTTGTGAGTGAGTCCAAACAGATACTGGCTGCACAACTAAAGGGGTTGAAGAGTGTTAAGGCAGACCCACCTACCAGAAATTCGTCCGAATATGATGAGAGTGACTGCGAACAGACCGTTGAAAGTGAGGAGAGCAGTGACCCAAGACGTGCAATAATTGAAAGAGTTCTACAAAGATCTCAAACTGCACCAATAAGACTTCCAATTGCCGATAACAGCATCAATGATAAACCAAGAGTTTTTAAGAAGGCTTCAACATTTGACTCTGCACAGTTACAATCCACCGAGAGCTTGAACCATTTGACAAAAACCAGAAGTAGAGGTCCCAAGAGAAGGGTTCCAACAAAAAACAACTTTTCAAATACATAGAATTTCATAGACGTTTGAAATGCTGATTGTTGATGGTACTGTGGTAATATATCTCTGTAAGGGTCTTGGTAAATGAAGGCTTTCTTCCTTCGAACCGTGGAAGCAGTGTTATCTTCCTGATGTACCGACGGTTAAGTTGAACGGTCGTCATTGCTCGACCAACTCAAGCCTCGAACATGCTTTGGTTCGTTGGTAGGTCTATCACCATCCGGCTGTGCAGGTATTGACCGTTTACTTTTTTTCAATTTGAACAAGTCATGTCCAAATATGTCTGTGGCCTTAATACCTTCCTTTGGTGGAGATTTCACCTTGTTGACGCTCTGACGAACAATATGTCTTTTTCTAACTATTGGTGCCTTCTTGGATACTCTTGGGCGTTTTAATGATCCAGGGACATTTGATCCATGATTACTCGTATCCCGATTAAGTACTGGAGTCGGGTTAGTCTGTTTCGAAACTTGTAATCCGTTGTTGTCTTTCATCGAGTGACAGTTCGGCTCATAAGGAATGATTTCCAAAGCATCCTGGTTCCTTGTATACTCTCTTTCCATGAGAACATCACCAGCATGTACATTTGTAATAAGTCCATCAAATTCACCTTGCTGTGTATCTTGGAATCTATATTCGTCGTCGTCGTCTTGATCGGATATAATTATTGGTCTCTTTTTGACCCCTTCACTGGAATTCCCCATGGACTCATCCTCATCATTTCCAAGGATTGCGCGAGTTCTCCTTTTCAGTATTAACGCATGTCCTTGGTGGTCATCATTTACTTCTTCATCATTTACAGAAAACACAGTTAATCTGTTTTCTGGTTGTTTGTTTATGGTATTATCTGAGGTGGACATCTCATTGGATCCTGTTAGCATGATAGCCTTTCTCTTATTGAAAGTGTTGTCCATTTTACCTATTGATGAGTGTTGAGAATGATTACTATCATCACCAATAAGATCATCATCCTCGTTCACTTCCTCCTCAAGTCCAGTGTCATCATCGATGAATGAATCGTCACCCACTGACATGCTTTCCCCCTCGCTGTCGGAAATGAGCTCATCAATAGGGTTCGACATTTGACTCGATCCTTCATCATCAACCACATCCTCCTCCTCATCTTCTGCTTCCTCTAGCACTTCATAGTCAGAATATGGAGATTCACTGGGTACACTGTCATTATCGACCTCTTGTTCATCGTCTTCTGATTGATCTTCCTCTTCATCCTTATCTACCGCTTTCATTTTCATTTTTCGTTTATGTTTATGGGGAATAGGTTCACTGATGATTTCAGTATCAACAATCCCGGTAACCCTGGTGCCTCCATCAGGTTCAGGGTTCCTTGTGATGTATCCTCGACAGTGTTTTGAGCCGCAGTAACACTTTTCAGGGTCTTCAGCATTCTCGAAGTTATAATCATATGTTATTTCCTCACCAGCAGCAATATCCTTCTTAGCGAATAGACCAATCCTTGGAGTCTCGTCTACAACCCAATTTTGCATTTCAGCATTTGGGTCACAGGAATGATTCACGAACCTAGCCACGGAGCCGTGTTGACCTGCATCAATGATCAAATTATCATCAAGTCTGATGAAATAATACTGCGATCTCTCCTTATATATGGTTTCGACCCTGTCCTCCACTTCAAAGAAGTCTATAACATCGCCTGTATACTCTACAATGAGAGTGCCCCTTGAGTAAGGCCTTATAGCGAACAACCCCAAACCCTTCTGCTCAGTTGGTCTAACTTCCCAACCAGTCGCATACAGGATTTTCGATGTCATCTGAGTGACCAAGTTGGCAAATGCCCTATTTCCACAATCTTCATGCTTAAATGAGCAGTTTGTTGCGTTACATTCGCATTGCAGAGAACGATTTAGACAAGTATCATCACAAGGAGGTGTTGTGCAATTGCAAGATGGCCATGTCTTTGCCTTCTTTGGTCGTCTCGAGGCTATCCAGTTGCACTCTTTCAAGTTGTTCTCCCAATGGAAAACCTCGTTTTCATCCGCCACAGTTGGTCTGTAGTAATCCCAGGGCAATTTGAAGCATGTCTTTGAATTCAGCCATTTAAGCCCGTCGCCCAACGGTAGTGGGAACTCGAAAATAGCATTCTTAGTACTTGCACACGATCCAGAATGCAATCCATAGAACGTCCTGAGCTTACCCTCGAGTCTGAAGTTCAGTACCTCGTCTTCAACTGCCTTATCAGCAGCAGAATCTGATGGGCTGGAAGCATCACCAGCTGTGTCAGGCTCCCTCTCAACTTCAGAGTCAGAGCCGTCGTCCTGATCAACATATTGTTTCCATAGCTTGCACTTCTCCACAGCATCCAGCAGTACAGAATCGTCCTCTTTCGGGATCTCTGAAGTCTTGAAGAAGGCGTTGATAATCTCCTTCGAATGTCTCCTAACATCTGATCTCGATGTACGGTATAGTGGTAGCCCGGCTGTATCACCATGGTCCGTCAGCAACGCGAGTTCACGGAGCACACTCTTATTCGATCTCTTGTAATTAGGCATCGCTCTTTGTATGCCAGACTCGTTGCCGCTATGATGGGTGTTTTGTTCTGATTGTTTGTTTACTTTTTTATGTTTGTTTTGTGGTTTTGGTGCCTACGTTGTTATATTTTGATGTCATTTTCGCTACACTGGCTCACCGTTTAAAAGCGCTTCGAGGGCCCAACACATGGCCACTGGATGCTCATAAGGGTGGCTACAAGGGCTATACAGGATCGCTGGATACTTTCATCAGTCTGTTACTCTTTTGTTTCATCTTCAGGCGATGACTGTGTTGGTGTAAACTACAGGTAAGTATTGGTGTAACTACAGGAGAATCTTGCTTTAAAACATAACAGAGAACAACATTATCTATATAAATGAGTTCAGATTTGATGAGAGCGTGCGACATAGGGCGGAAAGTCCCTCTGTTGCACATATGGAGAATACACACCCGCTCACTCACATCACAGCAATATCTATGTACATAGCCAAAGACCTGTCTTCCCCCGCAGAAACTCGAAACAGCACGGAAATACACCAGTCCTTGCGCAACAGATTGGTTCCATCTGTATACGAAACCAGCTCAGGAGCTCGGTGCCCTCACCATGAACCCTTACGGACACCCGGAAGCTCACCAGCCAAAGCCTTCTCTCTGAACTGGTATCTGTTGATTCTAAACTCCTTGATGATACCTCTGGCATGGCCAGAGAACACACAACGATCTTTAACGGTGTTCATACGTGTATAGTTTGGCATCGTGGTCAGCTGCAGCTGGGCCTCAAGTCTGGCCCTTGAGGGCAGAGCAGTGTTTCTAGCAATGTATTTCAAGGCCTGGATGGTGACTTCATTCTCAGCAGCCATCTCACGCTTGAAGTTGTCACGCAACACACGGGCATTGACATAGCAGGTGGGGTTTTTGACCTTCACAGGGAAACGGAAACCTCCCATCGTGTGTGATATACGGGTTTGTTAACGGGTCTGTTGATGCTCCCAGTGTGTTTCTTTTGCATCGTCCGTTGCTGGAGGTTTTTTCCCTCCCCTCTGTCCCTCCGGTGTTGGAAGGATTGAGATTCGAGGGCTCATCGGACCGGATTTAAATATACTTTACTTCATTTCACTTTCAATGGCAAGAAGGATTAGAGGCTCATTTGGCCATCTGTTGGTGTGGACAGGGCTCTGTTTGGTATTTCATTACAAGATTTCGTTCTTAATTACCAGGAGTGTCTCAACGAGCCAAATGGCTAAGTACTATGCAGTTCGAAACGGTCGTAGACCGGGGATCTACTCTACTTGGGATGAGTGCAAACAGCAAGTTGACGGGTTCAAAGGTGCTGTATACAAGAAGTTTGGTGATCTTAAAGAGGCCACAGCGTTTGCACGAGGTGCTGGATCCTCTTCATCAATGACTGCAAGGCCCTCAGTGTCGAACCAACTTCTCCAAACCACTAGACCGGTACCCAATGTTGCCATGAATGACCTAAAGAGGAATGCACCAAGCCATTCAACATTGAAAGATGATTCCTACAACCCTACACACAAACGACAAAAGGCTTCATATTACGCGGTCAACTATCCAAACGGTGAGTCGTCGATATTCACGACATGGGCTGACTGTCAGAAGGCTGTGCGTGGTTCCAAGGGAATCACGTTTAAGAAGTTTGACTCTCTGGACTCTGCAAAGAGATTCACGCATGGCTCAGATGACAAGGCGTTTTCAGAAGAGCAGAAAAGCACTGCACTTGACCACATAACTTCAAGGCATGGACAACATAGAGTCGAGTCCCACAAGAGCCAGGACGTGAAGTATGTATTCATGGATGGCTCCTATCTACCTACCCTCAAGAGATGTGGATACGGTGTGTATTTTGGGCCAAATGATGCGAGAAACCTATCTGAACCAGTAACAAGAGACTTTGACTCAACAGATTCCTTTGTTGGTGAAGTTTATGCAACTAGGGCAGCGCTGTCACATATAATGCGAGATATCGAAAAGTTTCAGACAGGAGACACATCCGAATTATTGCCCAAGTATGTGTTAGCAACTGATTCAGAGACTGTAATCAACATCTTGACCAAATATGCACCGACCTGGACTGACAAAGATTTTGAACAAAGGTCGGCCGGCTTAGTGCTGAAGGAGGCATACGACAAGTTCCTCAAAGTGCAATCTTTCTTCAACCTTCATTCCAAGGTGTTTGATGATCACAGATTTGAAATCAAGTGGGTTAAGGGACATAGTGGTATCGAAGGCAACGAGGCTGCAGATCAATTAGCTAAAGCTGGTGCATTAAAGTCAAAAACTTAGTGAAGTGTTACCTATCTATGTACAAAGGTCTAAGCCAATACCGGTAAGAATAAATAACGAACAAATGAGCATTCAAGGCTTTGGTCGGTTCATGATCAATAGCCAAAGTACGAGATTGGTCTTGCCTTAGGCTCTGTCCACAGTTTCTTTAACAAGGTGGTGATACCTTCGTCTTTGGTCTCGAGTTCATAGACACCATAGAGACCAACACACGTACCAAACGCTAGTAGTCTCATTGCGTATGTGTGCCAGACTCCGTAGATTCTCTTTGGAATGTAATCAATGATACAGGACTGGAATCCGGCGTTCGAATGCACTAAGATCAAGGTCGACAACAGGGTATCCAGCAACGGATAACTCGTACCAGAGACGAAAGGCAGGACCGCTAGTGGTACCATTGTAACAGCAACTATACGCTCATAACTCCAGTGGTATACACTGTGGTAGAAATCTGCCTCTTGGGTGGGCACCGGATCGTTAACGTCACCAACGATATGTCCCGGTGGTTCACTCGTGAGCTTGAACTTCTCAAAGTTCGGCTTCAGCGAGATGGGTCTCACAAACCGTCTACTCAGCACGGAAACTGATCTCTTTGCACAAATACCAGGTCTGAACATTCGAGCCGATGGGGAAAGCCAACCAATGGGAACGTCAAATGGCGTGGAGAACAGACACAGCTCCATCTCAAGTCCTCTAGATAGAAATTTTCCTCTGGCCGATGGCGCATCGCACTCATACCTATGTGTCCCATACCAATCACTCATACGTGTCCCTATCGTGGTTACGAGCGTCTGCGCTCTCGCAAACCCTCCCATTCTTACTGTCACGGCACAAAAATTGGCAGCAAAACGCTACACCCAAACACACAAAAAACAAAACACAGGTAAACATTACACAAAAATTCGCAATTCCGCGTCTTTCATTGGCTGTCGAGCAATTTGGTGCGTTTAGGGACGAGGGAGGAAGGTGGGAAAAAACCGAAAACCTTTCTGCGAGAAATTGTACTGGAAAAGTGAAATGGAGAGAGATTCCTACTCTTTGTAGTTTCACATCAACATACTCATTTCCACACACTGATACACCATGCTCTCTGCTATCAGAAGCTCTGTCACCAAGAGTGCTGTCCTCAAGCGTACCTTTGCCACCTCCTCTGGAAAGACCCAGTACACGTCTCTTCAGAACGGTGTGACCATCGCTACGGAGTCCAACCCAGCAGCCACCTCTGCGTCCATTGGTCTCTACTACGGTGCCGGTTCCACTGCTGAGAATGCGTGGAACAACGGTGCCTCCAACTTGCTGAACAAGGCTGTTGTTGGTGAGAACACCGCCGAGGCTGCTAAGAAGGGACTCGTCTTCTCCGCCAACACCGAGAGAGAGTACTCATCCTACCTTGTCCAAGGCTCGTCCTCTTCGCTATCCGATGCTGTTGAATTCTTGAACTCCAAGGTTGCGTCCTTTGAGTTGAACGATGCCACCGTCTCCAAGTACCGTGAGTCCCTTGCCCAGGAGGTTGCAACTTTTGAAGAGACCCAGTTTGGCGAGAAGGCCTTGGAACACTTGCACAACACTGCTTTCCAAAACACGCCATTGGCCTTGCCAAAGAGAGGTACCTCCGAGACCATCTCTGACTTGATCACCAGCGACTTGGCTAAGTTCCACAAGGACAACTACGTCAGCAGCAACGCCGTTGTCGTTGCCACTGGTAACGTTGACCACGCAGCCATTGTTGATTTGGTTGAGAAGAAGTTGTCCATCCCATCCGGCATTGCTCCAAAGGTTGCTGCTCCAAAGTTCTTGGGTTCTGAGGTTAGATTGAGAGACGACACCTTGCCAGGTGCTTGGATCGCCCTTGCTCAAAAGGGTGCCGCCGTCAACTCTCCAGATTTCTACGTTGCCAAGGTTGCTGCTGAGATCTTTGGTTCCTACAACTACCACGAGCCAATTGCTAAGAACTTGGGTGTTAAATTGAACGGTGTTGTTAACGAAAACCACTTGGCTGATACCTACTCCCACTTCTCCCTCTCCTACAAGGGTGCCGGTTTGTTTGGTGCTCAATTCTTCATCACAAACATTGGTCAAATCGATGACTTTGTCCACTTCTTGTTGAAGGAGTGGAACAGACTCTCCATCTCCATCACTGACACCGAGATTGCCAGAGGTAAGCAATTGTTGAAGAACAAGCTTGCCTTTGCTTTGGACTCACAAGCTGCCGTCAACCAATCCATTGGTTCCCAAATCGTTGTCTCTGGTAGAAGAGCTTCTCTCGAAGAGGCTTTTGCCAAGATTGACAAGGTTGACTCTGCTGCCATCAAGGCATGGGCCCAAGCCAACTTGTGGGATCAAGACATCGCCGTTGCAGGTACCGGTCAAATTGAGGACTTGCTTGACTACAACAGAATGAGAAACGACACCTCCATGATGAGATGGTGATTTATCTTTGAAGGAAGATAGAAAAAGAAAAGAACAAATAAACATAAATCCATTGTCATATTCATGCTTGCAACGACCTCATAAATTATTTCCTTTTTTGTTGTACCCTTTTCCAATTCTTCATCCTTTCAACAGAATCATCATGTCATTTAACTTGAACAGATCATCATATAACACACAGCTTTTCTCTTCCATTACAAAGAACAATAACAGAGAAATGAAATGTGCCATAGGATGTAGACTTGTCGTTCTTCCTTTTCATCTGTGTGTGTGTTGTGATGGTGAATGCGGATGGGGTGGAGAGGATGTTTTAGAAGAGGAAGAGGAGGAATATGAAGAAGAAGGAAAACAGAAGACAAAAGAGAAAGGTGAAGTAAATATGTATAACGAGGGGTTCTTGATGTTGTCTTTTGGATGAAGCTCTCTACATTTTTATACAAGCCTTTTTTATGTGTCTTTTTGTTGAAGTCTGTATATATTAGTACGCAATTAAACGTTTGAAATCACTTATTATTCAAGTGTTGTATTATAAAGAGTTCTCCCCTGCGATACCATCAAGGTCCATGTTATCCTCTGGTGACGTTGTGCGTGGCTGCTCTGAATGGTCTGTGTATACGTTGTCATCCTGTGTAACTATTGTGCTATGATCATCTGGTATCGCTTCAACTAGTGCAATACCATTCTCGGGCTCAGTGGACTCTTCTTTGGATAGCTTGTGCTTCTTCTCTGGTGTCGACTGGTCGTGCGATTCGCCATCAACTTTCCTCTTCTTGTAATCGTCTTCAGTCTTCAATCCCGCCAGCTCTGGATCTTGGTCTCGATCAGGATCATCAACAACTAGTTCTGCTTGTTCTTCAAAAACCATATAATTTTCACTCCCAACTTCCTCAATATCTTCCTGAGTGAGCCAATCAATTTTGGTCAGCAGCACAGTCTGTGAATCGTCGCCCGTTAGTGATTGCTGAACCACCGTACCGTTAGCAATGGTATCTTCGGTTTCTGTAGCGTCGTCTAGGGGGAATGTTGAATGCGTAGACGTGACCGAGGTAATGGTGTATAATGCACGAAGGAACTTCAAAGCTGTACTATACGTCTCCTTCGGGTCTAAAAGCACTTCGGCCAACCGTAGCACTGTGAAAGGTGGACTTTCGACAAATCTCTTCTCGATGTTGGAGATGATCCGTGACCTCAGAGTACACAGCACTCCATGTGCGGTATCATCGTGTCCCAGTGAGCCTGACGCTAATAAGCCGGCAGCCGGTTCGCCATAGATGGAATCGAGTACAAAGTCTATCCTTTGCTGAATCAGCGGAACAGCATCACTCCACTTCACTGCAGAGTTCTTCACAACAAACCTCTTCTCTTTAATGATATCCTGTAATAGCATCAAGGCTGCACCATCAGCTTCGTACCTCGGTTAGTATACAATGATCATTCCTCTCCGTTCCTGGCAAGCATCTACTCACCTGTGACTTCACTCATGACTGTAGCTCAATGACCACCTATGAGCACGTTCTTTCACCTCCAAGTACACTATGTTTTGGATGTCCAATGAGCAGCTTGTATGTGTGCGCGTGCCTTTGTTTTGACTCTTCTCTGTGGTAGTTACCCTTCCCTTTGGTGTGGGACAATCACCGGTAGCGCACGGGCTCAAAACCATATATATGTGTGTGTTTTTTCTTCTTCATTCGCCCACTTGGGCGGTCCAAGCAGATGAAAAAAATTCAACACAGCAGCGGACGAGAACCACACAGAAGAGGGAAACGACCGTCAAAAGAGGCCAGATGTTTAGATCTGTAACGACATTACGAGTTTCCACTGTATCGCTGGCTAGACCTTTGAGGGCTGTGTCGAGTGGATTGGGACTGAGATTTCAATCCACCATCAAGAACACTTCACAGGATGAGGACACCGAGAGCTGGCTCAACGCAGTTAAGGAACTGAAAGCACGTTATCAATCAGAAGGTGTTCCAGATTTCGAATCACCTCACATGCAACAGCTTGTCCAGGAGAAGTTTGAGCCAAATTCTGAGCAGCTGGCCAAGTTTGAAAGTCTGCAAGGGAAGCCTATCCCACAGAAGATTGACTCAGTGGTCCAGCACTGTACAAATATGATCATGAAAGACGGTAAGAAGGCCAAGGCTGAGAGAATAATGACAAGGGCGCTGTATATTGTGAGATTGCAACTCAGAGAAGACCCTGTTGAGGTGTTGAAGAAGACTCTGGACCAGCTGGGTCCGTTGATGGAGCTCAAGACGTATAAGACCCGTGTTGCTAAGAACCTCACTGTCCCTGTGCCATTGAACGAGAGACAGCGTAATAGAAGGGCATTCCTCTGGATTATTGAAGGTTCCGAAAAGAGAAGAAGCAAGGACTTTGCTGTGAGACTCGGTGAAGAGATCATTTCTGCTTACGAAGGCAAGAGCTCTGGTTACGACAAGAGACTACAGATGCACAAGGCCGCTATGCTCCATAGAGCTTATATCAAACTCAGATGAAGACAACACCGTCTGCTGTAAATAGGGTGAACACGAGGGAATACGCACATGTGTGTATTTGCTCTTTCAAAATATATATATAACTCTTTCAATCAACGCCTAAATGATCCAACTCAACGTCTTTATTGTTCTCTCTAATTGAGTCTCCAATCTGGGAAACATCCTCTGTGCTCGTGAATCTGCTCAGGTCGTTTCTACTCGGGCGACTCTCGACATCCATGTCAAAGTTCACATCCTCGGGCTCCTGGGGTATTGAACTGCGCAATTGCTCATATCTCTGTTGTCTTTTCTTCTCTAGGATCTTCTTATGGTAGACAACGGATAGGACAACAGCAAGTAACGACCCGCCAACGTTGCATGCGATATCCCACAAGTCGAATGTTCTGTAAGGCAGGAGCCCCTGGATGAACTCAGATATTACGCCACCGCCTAGAGTACACACTACCACGGTCAGGTTCCTTATGGTCCTGGTGCTCTGGGCGTCGAATAACCAGTAGAACATTGTCGTCAGGATAAAGAACACCGTGAAGTGTACCAGCTTGTCATTCTGTACCTGAACATCTGCAAACCCAAGATAAGCTGCAATTACAAGCAAAGCAACGAAAACAAAGCAGTTGATTTTTCTAAGTCTCATTTATCCTTACACAGCTCACTAGGGCAATCACCGGCACTGCAAAACCCAATTGACACCTCTGTCCCGGTTCTAAGATAACCATGGAAAGGAATCATCTTCAACATACACAGGTTGGAATTTACACATCAGTCTGCCATTTGCCCTCACGGGTCAATAAACCCGCGAGTTTAGAGTTCAGAAAAACAAACCACAAAAACCACAAAAACCACAAAAACCGCACAGAGTTAGCCGCCCACACCCCTTTTTTTGTTTTTCCTTTATATTCTTTTCTTTACCAGGAAAGCAAATAAAAACACACACACAAAATCAGAACAATCAACGATAAAATCCAATTACTTTAGTGGTTTCCCCCTTTCTTTCACTGTTTTTGTGTACTTTTGCTTCTCTCGCCTTTGCTATTTAAAGTAAACAAATGAGCGATCAACTCAGAACACTTAGACAGCCATTTACCGCTGAAGAGCAGAGACAATACGACTCCCTTTTCCGTGAGCTGGATAAGGACGGCACAGGGGTGGTTGTCGGTGAAGATGCCCGGGCAACTTTTGAGAAGAGTGGGTTAGCGCCAATGATTTTGGGAGAGATTTGGCAATTAGCGGACCCTACCAACCTGGGTTACTTGACACAGTTTGGGTTCAACGTTGCGCTTAGACTTATTGGCCACGTCCAGAGCGGTGCCAAACCTGATCGGGCGCTTATCGATATTGCCGGTCCACTGGCCAAGTTTCAACCACCGCAGCAGCAGCAGGCACAATTTCCTCAACAGACACCACAGCAGGGCGTGAACGGGTTGCCGCCATTGACCAATCACGATATCTCCAAGTTTGTTCAACTGTTTGCAAGAAATGCCCCATCCGGGGTGATTTCTGGTGATCAGGCAAGAGGGATCTTCTTGAAGGCCAAATTGCCAACGAATGTTCTTGGTCAGATCTGGGCTTTGGCGGATCGTACCAATAGAGGTCAGTTGACGAGAGATGAATTTGTCATTGCGATGTATTTGATCCAAGGTTCTATTCAAGGTGCTATCAAGCAATTGCCGCAGTCGATCCCACAATCAACATGGGATCAGGTCAAATTCTTCCAATCGCCAGCTATAAGCGGTACCGGCTCCCCATCTTTACCACAGAGTCAAACTTTCAGCCCTCAAACTACAGGTTCTCAAAGACCATCCGTTTCGAGGGTCCCATCCTCTTTTGCAAATGCCTCTAGTGATTGGACAATTACTCCTCAGAAAAAGGCACAGTTTGATAACATCTTTGAAGGATTGGACAAGAACTCTCAAGGTGTTTTGGGTCCCAATGATGTGGCTCCGTTTTTGATGACCTCAAAGCTCCCACAGGATGTCTTAGCGACGGTTTGGGATTTGGCGGATATTCATAACACTGGTCAGTTTACAAAGGATGAATTTGCCATTGCAATGTTTTTGGTTCAAAAGAAGATTGCAGGCTGTGAACTTCCAGAGATTATCCCGGACTCTCTGCTACCATCAACACACCCTGCTGTTCAACAACAACAACAACAGCAACAACAGCAAGCAGATAAGCCAATCCCACGCATCCCATCAAGAGATACAAAACCATCCGCTTTGAGTGATTTAGTTGATTTGAACGACGCATTCTCCTCACCAAGCCCAGCTGGTACAATGGATTCTAGAAATGTCTCCAACTCCACCGTTAACTATACTCCTATCGGTACAAACTCCCAAAGACAATTCGTTCCATCTTCATCTTTTGGGCAAAATCTTCAAGCACAAAACAAAGAGGCGTCGCCAGTTACAAGTTCAACTTCTAATGCTCCTGTTGTAGCGCCTATCGTTGCGCCAGTTATCACGTCTCCTGTTGGATCTCAAGTACCAGCTTCTTCGACAACTCAACAGGCGTTTGGTAACGTTCAACAGAAGTCAGCATCTACTTTTGAACAGCCAACCCAAGCTGCTGCATCAGCTAGTTCAGGGTTTGTATCTGCAGCAGGCTCAGGAATTTCAGGGACCGCTATGTTGGCTGGTGCTGGTATCGCAGGAGCTGCAGGGCTTGCAGGTGCAGCGCTCTCTTCAGGTGCTGGTTTGTTCAAGAGCAACAATAAGAATGTGAACAATGACTTGCTTGCAGATTCGAACCCAGAGATTTCTGGTCAGTTGTCAAAGGCCACAACCGATATGGCAAACTTGTCAAACCAAATCGGTTCCCTTACTACTCAAACTACTCAGATTCACGAAAAGCGTACAAAGGCTCAAAATGAACTGGCTAGAATTACAGCATTGAAGACTGATATTGAGTCGAAATTGGCAAGGCTTAGAAGTGCTTATGAACAAGAAGTTGCGCAAACTGGTCAAGTTGAAACTGCATTGACTGCGGCAAAACAAGAAAATGAAAAGTTGAGACAAGAAACATCTGTTGCTGAGGCTCAGTTCAATCAGGTTCATACTCAACTCCAAACGTTACAAGCTGAACTCGAAGAGTCACATCAGAGTAACGAGTCTTTGAAAGAACGTCTAGCCTCTTTACATGCTGAACAAGCAGAGGCAACACAACAATTGGAAAAGACACAAGTGGAGTTGAAACAGTCAAAGAGTTTAGCTTCGATCAACTCGGAACAGGTTAATGTGGCTCAGATTACATCTAATGGAATCAAGGCTGAGATTGCAGCATTGTTGGCTGCTGCTGCGGAGCTTGAAACTCAACATAAGTCATATTCTGATAAGCAGCTTGAGTTGGATTCCCTTAAGAAGGAACTCGATGATAAGCAACAATCATTTGTTGAATATCAACAGCAATTCGATTCCGAATACCAAGCAAAGGATCAAGAGTTACAACTCAGAAAGCAACAACAAGAGCAGAATGAAGCTGCAATTCAACAAGAGGAGGAACGAGTTCAGAAATTGTTTGTTGATCTGCAACAAAGACAAGCACAATTCCAAGCTGCAGAAGAGCAATTGCAAGAACAACAATTTGAATATGCTCAAAGAGTTCAACAGTTTACGGAAAAGCAAATCAATGATGCAACAACCGGCTTTGCAAGTGTTGCTGAAGACGTTGTTTCTCCAGAGGGTACTTCAAAGCAACCATCCGGTAATACTGCTGCTATCATCGGCGGTGCCGCTACTGGTGCTGTCACAGCGGTTGCCTTGGGTGCTGCTGCCGGTTCAATTGGTGGTGATACACAAAATGATGAGGCTAACACCCAGTTCAGCTCACCTGTTGGTGCAACCACTGATCAAACAAGATCTGTTACTTCTGACCAAGACGTTCCTTACCCATCTCACTTGGAAATTGAGAAACAGGAGTCTATTACCTCATCGGTTCAAAACAATGCTCCACAGTCTGTGCGTGGTGATGATATTGAAGAGACTGCAGTTACTGAACCAATCAAGGAAGAACCTGCTTTAGCTGAGAATGTCTTGAGTAAAGACTATAACTCTGAACAATCCGGTAATGTGGGTACTGCTGCAGATGATCCAAGCTCTGGTGCTGGGTCTTTTGAGATCGTCGAGGCTCAAAAACCTGCCAACGTTGATGAGGAGCCAGTTCTTAAGGGAGCTTATCCTTTGCCTGGCTCTCTTGAAGGTACATCAGAGGTTGAAACTATTACCCAGAATCCAGTTGATGTTACTGAGCCTGCTAAAACTGTTGCCTCAACTGAAAATACTGACTTTGATGACTTAGTCCCAGCGGCTGAGGAGGAAGAGAATGAGGAAGCTCCTCAAGCTGCCGCAACAGAAGTGGCACCGAAATCCACAGAAGAAGAATTCCCACCAATAAAGGAACTTGAAATTGATGAAAGTGACTCTGAAGATGAGTTCCATGAGACCTCTGAATCATTGCCACAGTCAACCCCAACAAATGTTGTTCCTGTTGCAACTTCTGTAACTGCTGCTCCAGCTGCGCCTATTGCTGTGCCACCAGCTGCGAACGATGACTTTGATTTCGACGATCTTGAGGAAGCTAAGGAGGGTGATGATGAAGATTTGGACGATCAACACTTTGACGAACTTGAAGATTCCAATTTTTACAGATCGGATGTTGCTCAAGGACAAGTCTCTGATCAACAGGGTGCTGTACCTGCCCAACAGGGATCACAGGATAATGACGAATGGGAGCAGATCTTTGCTGGTTTCGGCAATCAACCACAGCTGAGCGCACCTACTGTTGCTTCTCCTGTGCCTCAGGCATCCCATATTTCCACAAACAAGACCACACAGGTCCATGTACCACCAAGAATTGCAACCACGCCTCGTTCGCTTGCCATCCAGGAGCTCACAGGTATGGGATTCTCTAAGGATGAAGCACTTGCTGCGCTTGAAAGGGAAAAGTGGAACTTGGAGGCAGCAACAAACTACCTTTTAGACAATGCTTAGGGTGTAAATTATATAACTGATCTTGTAAAATAAAAAGTATCATAAGCTACACATTTTTCATTATATTTTCGTTCTAGACTAATTAATATTCCGTGGTTTTTTATATATGATATTTACAAACAAATCTGTTGAATTAAACTTGCTTACCACCGATGAAGTCACTCCAGCGACGAACCTCAGCTGGAATCACAACTTTATCCTCTTCGAGTTGGTCGAGTTTGGTGTGAAGCTTCTCCTTCAAAGCAGTAGCAAACAACAGAGAAGTTTGTGGCTCGTTGAACAGTGGAATACCAAAGTCAATAGCGTTACGACGCATGATGTAGTCCTCATCCAGCAAGTCCTCAGCTCTAGCACGAGCCAAGTTGAAGACACCCTTGATGTCGTACTTTTGGAACACTTCACGCAAGGCACGCTTGTCCGTCTTTGGGAATTCGATAACTTCAACCTCGTAACCCTCTGGTAAACGTTCTTTCAAGTACTGGGCAACCTCTGCGGAGGCAGTGTAGTACTTGTAACCTAATGGGGCAATGGTCTTAGCAACATCACCCAAAAACTCTTTGGTCAAATCACCACCGAATAACAGACCGGATGGTGGAAGTGGCAACTTGAAGTTCATGACGGCTTGCAAAGCAGTCCAGTATGCCTCAATGGTATCCTTACCAAATGCTGCAATTTCACCGGTGGAGGCCATATCAACACCCAAGAATGGGTCGGCACCGGCCAAACGAGTGAAGGAGAATTGTGGAACCTTGGTGGCAACATAGTCACGCTTAACAGACATCAAATCTTGTGGAGCAACCTCCTTACCCAAAAGTGCCTTGACAGCAACGTTGATGAAGTTTGTACCCAAGACCTTGGAGACGAATGGGAAAGATCTGGAAGCTCTAATGTTACATTCAATAACCTTCAACTCTGGGTGGTCAGGGTTAGACTCAACATCATGCTTGATGATCTGCATGTTGAACGGACCAGTAATGTTCCAAGCCTTAGCAACCTTATCAGTAATGTCTTTCAATCTGGCCATAACAGCTGGAGACAAGTTCTGTGGAGGCAACACTAATGTTGCATCACCGGAGTGAATACCAGCATTCTCAACGTGCTCAGAGACAGCGTGGACAAGAACTTCACCCTTAGAAGCAACAGCATCAATATCAATCTCTTGGGCACCTTCAATGAACTTGGAAATAACAACAGGGTGGTCTGGAGAAACCTTGGCAGCATTACCCAACTTGTCCTCCAATTGAGAAGCATCTCTAATGACAGACATGGCAGCACCGGACAACACATACGATGGACGAACCAAAACTGGGAAACCAACCTTAGCGGCGAATTCCTCTGCAGCTTGAACAGAACTCAATTCTTTCCATGCTGGTTGATCAATTCCAATAGAATCCAAGATAGAAGAGAATTTGTGACGGTCTTCAGCCTTGTCAATGTCTCTTGGGTCTGTACCCAAAATCTTAGCACCATTCTCTTGAAGGGAAAGAGCAATGTTCTGTGGCAGTTGACCACCAACAGAAACAACAACACCCTTGGAGTTCTCCAATTCATATATATCTAAAACTCTTTCAAAGGAAAGTTCTTCAAAGTACAATCTGTCAACTTCGTCGAAATCGGTAGAGACGGTTTCTGGGTTATAGTTGATCATGATGGTCTTCTTGCCATTCTCTCTCAAAGCTCTGGCAGTGGAAACAGCACACCAGTCAAATTCCACAGAGGAACCGATACGGTAGACACCGGAACCCAAAACCAAAGTACCAAACTCATCAAACTTGACATCGTGCTCAGTAGCATTGTATGTAGTGTAAAGATAGTTGGTGGAGGCAGGGAACTCAGCAGCCAAAGTATCAATTTTCTTAACAAATGGCAAAATACCAAAGTTTTTTCTTCTAGCTCTAACTTCCAACTCGGTAGAGCCAACAGCCAAAGCGATCTGCTTATCAGAGAAACCCAACTTCTTAGCTCTAGAGATGACGTCTCTGTTCAAACCAAACAAAGAACCAATACCCTCCAATTCTTTTTGCATGTCAACAATGTTTTGCAACTTGTACAAGAACCATTTGTCGATCTTGGTCAATTCATGGACTCTGTCAACAGTGTAGTTCTCATGCAACAAAGCTTGTCCAACAGCCAACCAACGACGGTCAGTTGGCTCAGCAAGTGCCTCATCCAAGTTTTCAAACTCAGCACCTTGGAAACCGATGAAAGAAGAGTCAATTTGACGGATGGCCTTTTGGAAGGACTCCTCAAAGTTACGACCGATGGCCATAACCTCACCAACAGATTTCATAGAGGAACCAATATCTCTCTTAACGTGTTGGAATTTAGACAAATCCCATCTTGGGATCTTGGTAACCATGTAATCCAATGAAGGTTCAAAGTTAGCAGATGTAGTTTTCGTCACTGGGTTTGGCAACTCTGGCAAAGTGTAACCAAGAGCAATCTTGGCAGCAGTGTAAGCCAATGGGTAACCAGTCGCCTTGGATGCCAAAGCAGAAGATCTGGATAATCTGGCGTTGACTTCAATGACACGGTAATCTAATCCATCTGGTTGCAAAGCATATTGGACGTTACATTCACCGACAACACCCAAGTGTCTAATGATCTTAATAGCCGCAGATCTCAACATGTGGTACTCCTCGTCGGACAAAGTTTGAGAAGGAGCAACAACGATAGAATCACCAGTGTGGATACCCAATGGGTCGAAGTTCTCCATGTTACACACAGTGATACAGTTTCCGACACGATCTCTAACAACCTCGTATTCAACCTCCTTCCAGCCTTTCAAAGACTTCTCAACCAGGATCTGTGGAGCAAGGGATAAAGATTGGGAGGCCAAGTTTCTCAACTCGTCGGCGTTGTTTGCGAAACCAGATCCCAAACCACCCAATGCATACGCAGATCTAACAATGATTGGGTAACCAACGTTTTCGGCAGCCTTCAATGCATCATCAACAGTGTCAACGGCAATGGACTCGGCGATTGGGATGTTAATCTCGTTCAAAGCCTGGGCAAACAAGTCACGATCTTCAGATGTCTCCAAAGTCTTGATTGGGGTACCCAAAACCTTGATGTTGTATCTGTCAAAGATACCCATCTTGTCCAACTGGACACCAACGTTCAAACCTGTTTGACCACCAAAGGTCAACAGGATACCATCTGGTTTTTCCCTCTCAATGATGTAAGTAATGTACTCAGCGGTAACTGGCAAGTAGTAGATTTCATCAGCAAGCGCATGAGACGTCTGATTGGTGGCAATGTTCGGGTTGATAAGAATTGTCTTCTTGTCCGCCTCCTTCAATGCCTTGATGGCCTGGGAACCGGAGTAATCGAATTCACCAGCCTGGCCAATGGACAAACCACCAGATCCAATGATGAGCACCTTGGACACATCAACGAGTTGATGTGCATTCTCATCACTGAAGCCAGAAAGAATACCGGCTCCAGCATACGTAGCGGCCTGCTGTGCAGTGTCGGCTCTCAATGCCGCCGTGGTGGTCAATCCTCTTCTGGAAGTTCTGCTTCTTCCATTGTTGTTGCTGTTCACCACTGACACTCTGGCGGCGGCTCCGCTGACAGCGGCGGCGGCAGAGCGCAATCTTGGCGCAGAGGCAATTGCCCTCTTCGTAGCATTCAAACCTGAGCGTCTTAACAACATAGCAACCAAGTTTAACTTAAGCGCCCTATTAAAGAAGAAAGCTCCTTGTTGTTGTGTTTTTCTCAAATTGTGGGAGAGAAGAGCAGACGATCGAAATTTTTTTTTCTTTCGCTCTTTGTACCACTGATAAAAGAAGAAAAAATTTATACGGCGGCGGTCATCGCAAAAAAAAACCACAAAAACGAACTCTGAGTCACAAAGTAATTATCGGTAGATGCACGCTGGGGACCCACTGGCGCTGTAGGCTGGCGCTGTAGGCAGGGGTGTGCGGGCAGAAACAATAAACACCCGGTTGGTGAAGAAGAGCCATTGGAGGGAGGAGTAAAGAGATGGGGAGATTAAAGAACGAGCAATCTTGGTTTTAAGCAGTCGGTGTTGTATCAATTGCTTATACTGAGTGCTGTGTGTGTGTGTTCTATATGAATTGACTGCTTTAGAGACATCAAATCACGCTTATGACGTACCTGCTGATGTTGCGCTAATACAAGTTTTCGTGGAGCTCAGCAGTGGGACGGGCCTGATGATGTCAATGGGATTGCCTAACGCTGTGATCGTTAGGCGTACAAGACGATGAGTCAGTGGGAATTTCGTGGTGTATGTTTGCGATAGCCGTAGTACTCGGTGCGCAGTGCCTAAAGGTGGGTTTGTGAGAATCGAATTGCGTCCATTTCAGTGCTGGTTTCCCATGCTGTTTCGTGTTCGATATGGTGGTTCTATGGCCTGTGGTTCTTAGGCCGGTGGTTCTTAGGCCGGTGGTTCTTAGGCCGGTGATGCTTAGGCCGGCGTAACACGGCTTCTTAACAGCACCACACCCGCTAAAGTCAGAGCCTCACTCAGAGCCTCAGTCCTCACACAACATCAGACCTCATACGGGCAAGAATAATGCAAAAGAATAATTAATTGAAATGTATATACCATAAATAACGACTCACCAGACCTGGAGATCCTCGATGTACTCCACTCTACCGTTGGTGACGTCCAAGTTGTTGGAAACAGCGTATCTGATGTCATCAACCATGCTGCTGTGTCCGCAAGCAACAACGGCGGTATGGCCGTTGGCCTCTTGTAGATCCTTAGCAACAATCTCTTCCATGTTTGGTCTGCCCATTCTGAACTGGATGAAGGAAAGCTCCTTTGGTGGCATCGAGTTGCCCTTGTCCTCGTCATCGTGAGATTCGTTCTTCTCGGATTCATCCCCTGAAGAGGCCTCGGATGAGTGACCACTGAGGTGTCTTGTGCCGTGAGAGGAAGATGGATCACTGACATAGATGATGACCTCGGCGTTGGTCTTCTTCAGCTCGAGAAGCTCATCGTAGAACCAATCAAGAGAGTTCCAGTTTCTGATGACCCAGTAGAACTTGACATGCTGCTGCACTCCTCTGCGAGCACAGTCTCTGATATAAGCGTATGACGAAGAGACACCGGTGGAACCTGTGTAGTACAGAGCAGTGGAGAATTTGTGCAATGGCTTTTGTTCGCCGTATGGACCTTCGAGAAGAATTGGGATCGTGTCAGTGTTGTTGGCATTCTTGATCACACGGTTGTAGATAACAGAAGTAACACCACCTTTGATCTTGGTGATAAAGGTAACAGTACCTTCGTCACAGTCGATACAGGTGAAAGGGTGGGATTGCCAGAAAGTTTTTGGTGTCAAGTAGTGAAGATAACCGTACGATCCTGGGAAGCCCTTCCACAGCTTATGACGTGGAACGACAACCTTCAAAACTTCATCAGAAACAACAGTGACCTGTGCTTTTTGAACACCGAAATAGGACAATCTAACAATTCTGATGAAACGGTCGAAACACCAGACAGCAGCCATAGTGTAGGCGAACATTTGATACTCGAACTTTCTAAGATGGATCCATGTTCCGATAAGGAAAAACACAACCAGGGCAATGTGGAGCAGTAAGAAGACCTCATACTGAGTTCTTCTGAAGGCATAGCTGGCTTGGAACATGATTACACCTGCACAGACCACTGCGACGGCACCCCAACGCATCCATGGAGTCTTATAACGAGAGGTCAACTTGCCCATTCTGTCGGAGTTGAGGTGATAAGCACCAGCATGTGCAACAACCAACAAGAAGTTCACTCTGGAGGTCCACTTGTGGAAGGTCAAGAATGTGCTCTGACTCCACCCTGTAATCCAAATGAGGAAGTTGTTTCTGCCAGCAAAGAGGAAACTCAGCAAGAAGGTAAAGTTCACAATAATACCAGTTCTGTCACCGACGTATCTTGAGATTTGAATGGTCTTATTTGGCCAGATGACGTGGTTTTCGACAAAAGTGTAGCCAACGGCAGAGAAGATAATGATAAGCACGGTGTATATGAAGATCACAATTGATTCAATTCTCAAAGGAATGTAACCTCCAAAGTACTTGAGGAAAGTAGCTGGCTTGGAATGTTTTCTGCCGAGCGTAGGAGACATCGAAATATATCTTCTAATCAAGTTGACTGGGTGTGACTTCAAGTTACCTGCAATGAAAACAGTTCTGTTCAAAACGTTGTAGATACCTCCAAGTAACACCATCAAGCCCCAGAATCCAATCAAACCAGAACCCATCCACATACCCCAGTCTTCATTCTTGTATCTAGCAGTGTATGAGTCGTAACCGATTTTGAAGGACTTCTTGTTCCACTGCACTGGAACGTACGAAATAGCACTACTGTTGAAACCATCAATAGTACTTGGGTCAACCATATACTCAGTAGCGTTGTCATATTGCTTCTGGAGCTGTTGACGTGTGTAAGTCTTATTGGCGTTCTCCTTACAGTACTCAATGACGAACTCGTCCATTTTCTCGTCGTAGACGGACGAGTGGTCATAGATACAATTCAACCAAGAACCGAGACCTTGTGGAGTTTTACAAACACACTTGTATGCTCTCTTTGTATCACCTGGACAGAACATTGCCTTCAACGCAGGTCTACAGGACTGAACAATAAGCTCATCCTCAGAGTAGTGCTTGTAGCCATCACCAGCTGACGCCAATGGCAGGGACAATAGAGAAAAAGCCACCAATTGGTAATTCAGTTTCATATTGGTTGACTCTGTTGGTTTCTCGAGACGATACAAAGCAGAACAGACATTTTCCCTGGCAAAAGATAAAGCAATAACACAGCAATGTGTCCTGTATTTATATCCAAGTCTCTCTATGGGATTCAGATCAATCTGATAACCTTCTCCCTGCTTTCGTCTCGCAGTACTACTCTGTATGAAAGTGAAAAGATTTTCCAGTCCCTTATGTACCTGGCTGTACGAAACAGTCGACATGCATATTAACTAGAGAATTCCACTTTCTTACATAACCTTAAATGCTCATGTTATGGAAGAAAGATCCCTGCACTACCATACCGACAACAGCTGCTGAGGTTTAGCACATCTGATAACGATCTACAATCAGCATGCGGTATAACAGCACAGTGCTTCAAGCGAATGTGAGCATTCTCGTGGATAATCAAAGAGAACCTTCGCAAGCCAATACTGGACAAACTACCCGTCGTATCCAAGCTTTGGATATGGCAAAGATATACAGCATTTCTGCCAAGAGACGACACATCTCACTAGACAAGCAAAAAAAAAGCTTGTTCAACTAGATGCAGAGTACATATTACTAATTGTGAGTACTGACGCCTCGATTCTGCAGGACCTGAGGCTCGCTCATGCCCCAGTTGGAGGTTTAAACTCGTTGCCTTTTCTCCTATTGGCTGAATCATGCATGGCCGTTGAAATTTCCGAACGTACGATGGAAAAGATAACCTTAACGCCTTTGGCGGAAGTGTGCATAATTCTGTTTTACCTGAGGGGAGGGCTCTAGACCCCAAGGTCCGTGGTGCCGTGAACACGCAATGCGTGCTTCTTCCACTCGGTCTAGGGTCTGGAGCCACGTACACATTTGCACGCTCTAAGTGAATACATCTGATACATCATTTATCTTGTTGCTTGAAGCATCAACGTGTTATTTGGAGACTGTGTTACAACCAGTCCCGTCTTGTTTTAATTGGAGGGTATTGGGTGCCTATGGACTAGGGAATCATCAGCGGGCGTATACTCAACAGTAGTGAACACGGGCAGAAGTGGACAGGTGTGAATGCCAAACTCTATTATACTACGATTAGTACTTTTCCTTTTACCTAGTATTGAACTGATTAATCTGATATAGAGATGCCTTGCAAATTTTTTTATGTCTCCATAACAACGGCATATAGACGTTGTCTCCTGAGATGTTTGTTGCATAAAGGAGCCTTTAATGACTCCGGCCAGCTTGTGCACTTCATCGTACTCTTCTATACAACCCTTTTGTTGGGATCTCTCTATCCAATCAACAAATTAGCTCGTCATGGACATTGCCTTCATGAATGCTTGCTTGGACTTGATGGTATTGATTGGTGAGGAGTGGCCAGTTATTGTGCAGGCGGTGCAATACCACCTTAAAGCATTCCGAGTATTGGCTGTATTCGAAATCTCTTCAACTGACTACAACCTGAGTAATTGAGGATGCACGATGTAGATCATATACGTATGAAGTGGGAGTTAAATAACAATTCTGATCCAAAGGATGGATGAACAGCGCAATACCGAGGACGCACAACGGGAGTAATCGGAGGAAGAATAAGTCTGTTGAAGTGTCTCTCTGAGCGATTTCAGATACATAGCCTCAGGGCCTCATGTTCCAACCATAAAGGGTGCCTGTATGCCAGGATCCAAAGAGAATCACAAATCTTGCAGATTAGCTGTAATTAGAGGTACTAATGTCCCTGGACTTGCATTTGAATTATACGGTGTTAGTTCAACACATAAGATTTACAATCCAATCAGGTGCAGCATAAATCGGCCTTGCTCATATTTCCCATGGCATTACCATTAGCTGCTACATATCGATATTGCGTGAATGTGTAGGGATCAAGTTCATTTCAATCACAGGGCTGGCTGTTAAATCATATACATGGAGGTGAACGCAGCTTACCTGTTAGCTATGCCAGCAACTACTAGGCCCCACAAAGCTCGTCACACAACCAAATACATTCTGTTCCGTGACTCCGTAGTAGCAAGTGGAAACGACCTTGTAGTCCTCAAAGCTTCAGAACATGAGCAAATCAGTCACCACTACAAGCAAGTGAAATGCTTCAACTGTCTAGGCCAAATAAGCATGTTAATAGCTCACAACAACTGCAGCTAACCTGCAATCGACTCATGCAATACAAAGGAGATTTTGATCGCCGAGATTTCAGTTGTGAATATTCAGCGTCGTGCGTATGCGTTGCCCCAATGCACTATGCAGAAAATGGACTCAGGACACAGGGTCTAGTCCAGCATAATTGGGGTGTAGCACAGCAGCTAGGACTACAACGCAATTCCAATGGTGTATAAAAGACCCTAATTACAAATCATTCTCCACGGTTGTGCACATCATGGCCAATCAAGAGGTTGGAAAAGGTCAGGTAATCACCTTTGTTCCTTGTCCTGTGTGGTTTGTACGTTGCAGTGTGTAATGAGGAAAGCTAGACCCTTTTGCAGCTTAGTCCATTGATTGGCTATGGGCTTTCTCCCACCTTCTAATGTATCTCTTACGTGGTACAATATAGCAACGTAGGCAGCACACGACAGAGGAAGTCTTACCACAGCATTACGTTGAGCTGTTGAGGATCCACCTTGAGTATCACAGGGCTGGAAGTTGTGTTGGTTCAGCAAAGAATATGGGAATGTCATCAAGGGTCCGTGGTTCTGGAGTACTTGGTCCTGGAGTCCTTGGTCCTGGAGTCCTCGGGCTCTTGCGTCTATTGTCTCCAGCGTTTTTATCTTTTCTCCATCAGGCTACAAGGTATTATCCATACATGGATCATTCAACCAAGTAGCTTCCACCTCAGTTCCTATCACCAGCTAACACATTCTACGGGCTCGACCTGGTGAAAAATTTTTATATACCTCTTTGGAGCAGGGCGCATGTCTGTATGTATGCGGTATATAAAAAGCTGCAAGTAGGAAGACTGACCACCGTCCACCTTTGCATCATGTCCAATGATGTAAAGCAAATGGCTCTGGTTGAGCAGATTGTGAAGGTTGCCTAGTTTATGCTGGACTTAGCCTAGTGGGTGCTAGGGTCATTGGCATTATCTGGTTCCATAATCACAGCTTTAGTCCGCTAGAAATCACTGAGGATTCTCTAACGATATCACACACCTACAGCTAACGCTTAGATGGTATACGGAGCATTGAATGCCCAAAAGTTACATAAAACGAAAACACTAGAGAGAAATGATCAACATGGCAAGAACTTCAATCAGAGCATCAGAGCAAATCAGAGCATCAGAGCAAGTCGTCATCTGCAGAGATGATTGCCTCCTTGATCTTTAACAGAATTGATGTTCTCCAGTTGTCAAGCTTGTTGAACTGGTCATATTCAAACACCACATCAGAGAACTTTTGAGGATCACCATCTTGCACAGCCTCGATTATGTCTTGCATCAACTTGTACTCCTTTGTTGTTGTGAAACTACGGTCCATGGTGGATGCCTCCTCGAGGTACTTCATTGCCGCAACTCTGTCATCTGCAGCGAGATAACACAGGACAATCTTAACAAAGTAGTCTTTCAGACTCCATCTGGATAGATTATTCGACAATGCGTTGTTTGCAACCTTCTTGTACACTTCATTTGCCTTGACGTACTCACCTTGCAATGCACTTGTATCAGCACATTTCAAAAATGCCTTACTGGCCAAGGCCTGTGCAGAGTCACTTTCAAACCAATCGCCAGCGTCTTGGAACGACTCAATGGCCTTTGGGAAGTCCATCAACTCCTCTTCGTACACCTGGCCCAGATCCATCTTATAGTTTGCAGCTCTACGGAACTGACCTCTTGCCGTGAAGAATCCAATCGCCTGTTCTAAACATTTGACAGCTTTAGCAGGGTCCTCCTGCTTGTAGGATTTGAATGCATCAACAAGTGTATTAGCAGCTTCGTCCTGGTTTCCACCTTTGATTTGAGCTTCGGCGGCTTTCTCAAATGCACCGCCAGCCAATGTTCCTTGTTTCTTCAGCTTGTACTGATTAGCGGCCTGTATGAAGAGGTCGGACGCCTCTTCGAATTTGTATGAATCGCCGCCAAACACACTGGAGAAGAAACCACCTTTGGAATTGAGCTTCTTCTCTGCCTGATACCATGCGTTAGTAGAGTCTTAGAGGCCATGTGCTCCATCTTATAGTGGAGCTATCGTGGCAAAACTTCAGGCCATTACTCCAAAACACTGGGCAAGGAGTGATGGCATCGTCAGCCTCCTGGCTTTCTTTACAGAACAACTTACAGATTTAATCAGACTCTCAGGATCAGACATGGCTTGTGCTCTTCGTTGATTCTTTCCTTCCGTCTGGTGTAATCGTAACGCTTGTTTGTATTTGTTCTGTTGCTTTGAGTATACGCTCCACCGTCTGGCTGCCACCGAAGGGAATCACCACACTTTGGCAGACGAGTTCGCGAAGGCTGATTTCTGGGTGTCCGGGTTTATGTTGGTGTGCAGGTGTTGTGGTGTCCGGATGAATGGTCTGTGGTGAAAGTCCTGTGTAGAAATGTAAACAAAGGATATCACGAATCATACACTTCGTATGAATGTTCATTATACGGTTGACTGAGCGATGGCAGGGACCACTGATCACATAAGATTCAAGAGACTAGAGCAAGTGTGTTTGAAGGCTCTTGAAGAGTCGCAGAAGGTACTCACGGACGAGAACGTGTACTCATGCTACCCAAACCTGGTGTGTACGCCCAACGGTAAAGATCTTGTTGATAAGGTAAAACAACAGTTGATTGATTCGTGGAGAGATAACACTGTAAAGGAGTTCAGGTCCATCTTTGAGGAGAGAGATATTGAGAACAAACTAAACGAATTGGATGACCTGATAGCGAAAGCTCAGGAGAGAAAGAACAATGGCGATGACCCACAGGTGCCGTAAGTTGTTGTTTACCACCATGTCTGCTTTATTGTTCATTTCCAGAATACTAACATTTATCGTTGTTTGTAGAATCAATGAGCTTACACCAATAACGATAGCATCAAGTCACCTTATATCACTTAAGGAAGATAACATGCTTAAATTAGAAGATCAACTTGAAAAGCTACAATCTGCCAATGAAGAACTTTACAAGGAACTACAAGAATACGCAAAACAAGCTAGCCAACTACGATCAGACATTGTACAAGACATCACTCGTTTGAAACAGGTTGATAACGTGCCCACGGATGTCCAACTTGAAGAGCAGATAAGGTCACTCGTACTGCTTCTTAAAGATTGAGCCTTGAGTCTACAATGTAGAGATGTCAAATATGTACGTTTCTGTCTGATTTTTTTTTTTGTATGTTTCCTTTCTTTTAGTAGATCTGTGAAAGATATGTCATCATCTGTACTTGTTACAGTCAAAGTCCCATGTTGATAGGAGTTTTGCAGCTTCACATGTCTCCTTGGTCCATCCATTAGTTCCATAAATCAATGGGCTGTAGAAGACAAAGAATCTAGCTGCAACAAGTAACAACACAATTGAAACGGAGTAACCGAGAGGTTTAGTCTTAGAGAAGACGTACGAAACCAAGATATCCAAGAACTGAGCAAGGGCCAGAATACCAAAGTAGTAAGCTGGTAAGTAGTGGTGTAGGAACATTTGACGACCCATGAAGAACGATGGGAAGTAATGGACGGCCCAGCCAACAATGAACTGGAAGATCTGAATGTTGAAGTTGAACACGTGTTTATCACTTGCCACTGCAACACCCAAATGCCATTTCAGAACTTCAACAACAACGTACACGCTAAAGCCAAAGATTATAACAGAAGTGGCCCACCATATTGGGGCATTACCCATGAAGTGGACTTGACTGGTTGCACTACCCCAATAGTTGATACCACGGGTCAAGAATGGCCAAGTATGTGGACTTGATTCCCAAGCATGAGGAGCGTTCAAATTCTTGTTGATGTTCCACATTCTCTTGTGAGACTCAACAAATTTATCCCACAAAGAAAGTACAGGGTAGTTAACTCTCTTAGCATCTGCTGGAAGGAACTTATTCTCGTTAGTTTCAATGTACCAGAGCGATTTAGGGACAACACCTTGAGTAGCACAAGTGACTTCTTGTTGCTTGAACCCCCACTCTGGTAATTTCGCATCATGGGAGAACAAATAACAACCTGTCATGGCATGACGCAATCTGAAAACAGATTTCAACGCTTTCAAATCACCTTGAGCATCGACATCCTCTGTGTATTTCTTTTGAATCTCAACGACGAAGTCATCATTTGGATCACCACCAAATCCGTCATAACCATAACCAGACACCTCCTTTTGCCAGTCTTGATGTTCAGAGACTGGAGGCTTGTGGTCATGAGAGTGGAGACGCTTCTTCGTAATGTGATGTTTCAATCTAATCTTAGTACCATCGTGGATCTGTTCAAAGGAGGTTGGAGCTTCAGAAACGTTGTAGAGTTCAACTTCCCAAACGTTGTTGCTATCCAAATGTGGATAGAGCGTAACCTGTTGTTGCTTAGAACCAGTTTCGTACAAACTATCATGAGAGTGTAGATAGCCACCTTGGGTGGCGATATGGCGGATTGTAACCAAGGAACCAACACCAACGTTCTCCTGGATGTTCTTTGGGATCTTGTTACCCTCCAAAGATGCTCTGAAAGCGGATGACATGAAGGCAGAGCCATCACCCTCCTTATTCAGCAGGTTGAAGTGGATAGCGAAGAACATAAGGTAGAGCAAGAATGGAATACCAAGGAGGAAGGAACCTCTAATACTGGCCTGTTTGACGGTCTTACAAACCGGAACGGTCAAATCACCGAGGATAAACCACAAGTCAAAAACGTTGAGCAATCCGATCCACGCAACGGTGAAAAGACCAGACCACTTGGAAGACGCAGCCAATCCTAATGCGACAGAAGTGGAAATCAATGCCCTGTACCACTTGTAGTTGTATGGAACCTCATTTTGAAGTCTCTTGTAGCCATACACTGCAGCGGCGATAAAGAAGATCAATGGGGAGTCCAACAGGATGAATCTCGAGATTGTCACGTAGGAGTTCTCCACAATGAACATCAACGCAGCCAAGAACGCGATGGTTGGTCTCACACCAGAGGCCTTCAAAGTCAAGAACACCAAGATTGCAGTCCCGACACCGAGCAAAGCAGGGAAGGAGCGCATGACGACATAGGGGGTCGACTCAGGGTAAACGTCACCAATCTTTTCGAAATCAAAATCGCCTTTGAACCCGGCCAACGACGCAATCCCTGCGTACATCATCTTAACCAGAGGTGGGTGAACGTCAAGGAAGAACGTCCCCTTGATGTACTTTTTGGCAAACCCACCGAAATGCACTTCGTCAAACACAACCGAGTCTGGCGACGCGATGCTTCTGAGTCTGACCAGGAGACCCACAGCGGCAAGCAGCACCAGGTACACCTTGTCCTTCACCGTGGACGCGGAGCGGATCGTGCTCAGCTCCTTAGAAGGCGTCGTCAACAAGAATGGACGCATCGACCCATTCTGGTACTCAAACTTCTCAACGGGGTCCTGTCCCTCAGCAACAGCAGCTGGGGTCGCAGCGGCTTTGGCCTCCTCGGGCCCTTTACCCTTCTGATGAGACTTGGACTTCGCCATCGTATTCTACTCAAGATACAAGACGTATACGGTTGATGGTACTAACACCAAGTTATTCAAGCGGGAGAGGGAACGGAGAAGAGAAGTTCTTCGTACTGAAAAGCGCGCGCGTCCAAGCGGTGTGATTTTTTTGTGTGTGTGTGTTTGTGTTTGGCCGAAGGAGTGAACACGTAAAACATTAGCCTGGTCCCGCGAATATTCCCTCTTTGGGCCATTGTTGACATTTCATTGTTGTTTGCTTTGTTTACTTTGACACAAAACGCTGTGTTTGGGTCGTAGCGGAAGGCCTTTCCGGTGGTGATGATGGGGAATTTGAGCGTATGTTTGGTTTTTGAGCTGTTTGTAGCCGGTAGTACTGGTTTGTAGCGTGCTAAAGCTGCGATTTGTAGTGGTGCGGTGATGAAGTTTGACGCGGTGAAGAGGCTCGTGGTGCCGATCTTGATGATGGGCCTTGCGCTAAGCCAGCTGCATTTCAGCGATAGGGTGTATAGCGATTTGGTGTACTATAGCTACTACGCGAAGCTAGCGGACTGTGTGTCCAAGCCTGGAAGGCTCAGCGTGGGCGTGCCGTTTGCGCAAGGTGGGTGCAATGTGAAGTTCTGTCAGCACGAGAGGACGCTGGGGGCGGTGATCACCAAGATTAGAGAGGCTCCGGAGGGGGAGACTGGCAGCGCCATCGTCGTGCTTGACGAGCGCAACGAGGAGATCGTCGTGGCGTTTAGAGCGTCCACGACGGTATCTGACTGGTTAAGCGATTTCATGATCAGGGTAGTGGACTACGAGCCAATATCGCAGAGCTGGGATAGAAGCGTTCCGGAGTGTAAAGGCTGTAAGGTGCACTCTGGGTTCTACAAGGATCTAGGCCGTATAAGTGAAGACTTGGTCAGTGATGTCCTCCAGTTGTATACCCAGTATCCAGCCTATAAGCTATCGATCGTTGGGTTCTCGTTAGGGGCGGCGTTGGCAACGTTGACAGGGATCGAATTTAGGGCCAGAGGGTTTCAACCTTTGGTCATTGGGTATGCGCCACCAAGGATGTTCAACAAGGAGATGGGCGCTTGGGTGAATGAGTTGTTCCATTCAGAGAACTTAACACTGCATTTGAAGCAAGGCGGTGACTTCCAAACTGGACTCATTACGGTGGTTCATGACGAGGATTACGTGCCCAGCTTGCCTCCAAACTTGGCCCAAGCAGGCGTAGAGTTCTTCATAGCGAAGAAACACTTGCCGCACACAAAGGACTCTGTCATGTTAACAGGGGTGGACTATTTGTCAACACAGTATGAAGAGTACGATGAGCTTGCCCAGATATCATTACCAGATAAGTTCAAGGAATGGTTACATGCTTATGAACATAGGACTTATTTCATCACCATACACAAATGTGATGACGTTGATCAAGATTGGATCGAATTTGACACGGATACAGTCTATCGTTAGATTTCACTTACAGTGCTATAACCAACGCCTTTCGCAATGTTGTCTTGATTGTTCGATTATTCAGTTTGTTTTATTTTATGAGAGTAACCCGGTATCTTGTAAGATGTTTGAAAAGATGCTCTCCCTAACAACGACAAACACAAGTTTCATGCTGTTCCGATCAGTGGCCTGTGTAATATATGGGTAGATTGGTAACCCGGACCGATTCACTTTGGTGAATCTCCAAAGGATATACTTTGCAGCGTTGTTTGGATCATCACCTCCTTTGTAATCAGGGAAATGCTTCTCCAATGGTGAATACGGTAGCTTGTCCACAAAGATATCAATCTTGTTCAAGAACAGAATGATGGAGCACCTTGAGAACCAACGTGAATTGACCACGGAATCAAATAGCGTCAAGGACTCCTCCAGACGGTTCTTGTTCTTATCCTCTAATAACACTTGATCGTATTCGGACAAGGCAACACAGAAGATGATTGCAGCAACGTTATCAAAACAGTATATCCATTTCTTTCTCTCTGATCTTTGTCCACCAACGTCAAATATATGTAGTTTTAACCCGTCTAGCTCGAATTTGAGATCAAATATACCAGATGTTTTCTTTCTGGTTCTTATAACATCCGTGTCATTCGGTATAAAACCAGGTTGTGATATTCTCTCCAATTCTCCAAAAAAATAAGAGGCAGAATCCATCATGTAGAAGTCCTGTCTATGTTCTCTCAGCAGTTTCAGGGTGGATTGAGATTTCCACAGCTTGATAATCTGCTTGGCTAGTTTAGGATCAAAAGACGCATTTGGATCCATTGGAGCACTTGACTGCGAAATGTCCTCGAGGTCCTGCTCGCTTAACCATTCGTCGTCTTCATCAAGTTTAACGTTAAACGTTGAATAAGCTGCAACCAAATCCTTTGCAGATGAAACGATATTACTAAAGATGAAGGGTTTGAAGTCGATCAACTCCTGTTCTGTGAACCCATTGGAGTGTAATATCCTCAACTGTTGAAGAATCGTCGACTTACCACTTTCTCCAGTGCCCAGCAATAAAACTTTTGTATACTCGTGTGAATCTTTGGCATTCGTCAGCTGGCCGTTCTTCATAGACGTCGCCTGCGATGATATTGAGGGAACAGTAGATTGCTTTCTCATGGATAATGCCCCGTTGAAAGCTGGCAATGACCCGTCCTCGCCAGTGCTATCAACACCAATGGTGGGTCCACCTGTTCCCTCAGCAACACTATTTTTTTCACTCGGTGCGCCATCACCACCAACGCCATTCACTGTGGTTCCAGCTCTATTCACTGGAGTGTTCTTCTGGTTAGACCCTCTACGGCCAGCACCGGTGGTGACCTTTGTCCTATTGTTAGCTGAGTTTGGCTCAACGTCCTTGGAACCACACACTCCCATTGTGTCTTGTTGTTGTTTCTGTAGCAGTCAAGCACGAACGTTTGTCTTTTGTATCCGAGATGTAGTGAGATGTGAAGCGCAATACACCTGTCTTTCACACAGACGTAGCACAACTAGTGGCTGTTTGTTTGTGAAATGTGTTCACGAGCAAATGTTGGAACCCTTTCAAACAGTCCTTTGCTGCCGGCGATGGTTTTCCAACAGGACTAAAATTAGTATGCGAAACCAAACACCACGGAGAAGGCAGGCACAGACGAAAACACCAGCAGTTTCGCAGTGAAGATAACGAAAACGAAAAGCAGAGCAAAGAAACAGAAAAAACCGGCCGACACGCACAAGAAAAGAAGCAAGTGGACACAATTCAATCAGTGGAGGAACAAATAACTCAAAACTCGTCCTTGCCTAAAGGGGAAATGACGGCAAACTGACTATAGGAATTGCGATTTTAGGGTCACCGGTACAGTCAGAAAAAAAAGCAGCTGAGAAAGTCAAGAACGAAAAGTTGGAAAAAGAAGGGAAAAACCGAGGGGGCATACTTGGTAGGAGACACACCTGCTGTTTTTTTTGAGGTGTACGGATGTATTCCATTTTGCGTATAGTTGCGTAGGGCAGCTGTTGCTCGATACGGATTGAGGTATTCTCTCACTGTGTGTAGGTGGGTGTGTGTTTTGTTGTCTTCCCATTACCGGTGGTACCAACAGGTGCCTAAAGGCTCTGAAGTGAGCGCCCCCAACTGCTCCAAACAGCAGCTGTGGAAATACGAAAAGTGGACTCTTCTCAAGTGTGCACATTGTGTCAGTTTACATCTGGACACCACACAGTGGGCCTAACTGCTTCGGAGGACCTACTGGGTGACGGTTTGAACACGGCATTCAGAATCGAATAGCACTTGGTTCTCCTTCTATGTACGTTCACAGGCATTCCTACACCGCTTTATATAACCATTGCGCAAGCAGCTCCCACCAGCTCAATCACCCGGCACCCTGGTTCGTCCTGTTCAGCCCTCTGTGACGTCATATGGTTTAGCACCGATGAGCTCTGGGGCATCGCGAGGTTGGTTTCCAATCCATCGCATTGTACTGTGGTTGTTATCCATTATCATCCGCCATCAACATGACCATGACCTCCAGGGCGTGGATACCACTGTTTGATATCAGACAGACAAATACCGTAATCAGTATAGAGAGATGTGTATCAACGTCTTACTAAGTACCCATATACCTGCTTTGTGTCCCGTACCGCCGCTAGCGTGCTCAGCGTTGAGTGCTACGAGGAGATCAACAGAGGACACAACTCTTCAACGCTGACTGGAAGGTGAACCACCAGGCGTTGGCTCTCTCTTGACATTGACGGGATATACACGATGGTCTCTTTAGCCAAAGCTGTACGTCTCTTTGAACAAATTCACTTTGAGTGGGCTCAAGGCGCCAAACAAAGCGCAAAGACAGACATAGTCCAATGTCTCACGATGTTGAACCAGGTCCTCAAGGAGTATGGCGAACAAGGGAAGGAGTTGGGACAAGTACAACGCATATGCCGTGATGCTATGGAATTGTACTCGCTGATTAAACAGGACAAGCCCTTTTCTCTTGATACCTCCGTCCAGTGGCTATCATCAAGAATCAACTCGAGCTATATATGGCCACCTGTGTTGTATGACAACATTGTTGTTGACGTTGAGGAACCGTTACCAGACGAATCCACTCTTCCTGAGACGGTCAATGCCTCATTCCACAAGATTATGGAACAGGACTGGTCAACATTTGGCGTGTCTCAAATATATCAAGACCTACTGGAGGACTGCTCCTTCGTCACTGCTCTTATATCACTGTTAAGGAATAACTCCCAGCAGTTGATGTCAGCGATAACACCACACGCGTCATCTGAGAGGTTCGGTGTCACGCTTTACTTCAACGGATGCAGGAGACTTGTTGAGATTGGGAATACCTTACCACTTGTCGAAAACGATACACATTCGATGTTTGTGCGGTCAAGTACGAACAATAAGTTATATTGGCCAGCTTTATTGGAGAAAGCATATCTAAAAGTCCATGGCTATGGATATGACTTCAAAGGTTCAAACTCGAGCATTGATACATACATGCTGTCAGGCTGGATCCCGCAGTTCATCGTATCCTATCAAGTGACTGATTTAGAACCAATTTGGGACCAACTCTACGAACCGTTCATCAACAACAGAGTTGTGTTGGCTCTGGGTACTGCAAGCGACTCCTACAGCGGAGAGTATAAGTCGAACCATGACTATTCTATTGCGGAAATGGACGGCGAGTCCAGAAATATCGTTATAAAGAACCCCTGGAGACGAAGTGAAACTGTCATAAGATTCAAAGAGATCTTTGATCATTTCGAAACGTTATACTTGAACTGGAACCCGCAGGGACTGATTCATAAGAGCATTAATCTAATATCTTCATATGATGGCAACATTTGGTTTAAGTTCCCACAGTTCAAAGTATCAAACAGCTCAATCTCCAGAACATGTAATGTTAAACTGCTATTGGAAAGGCATTTGAAAACAAGTAATAATGATGCCTCTATAAACGTTGGTATATTCAAGACAAGTGGAGAAAGACTTTTCCGTAAGGGAATACCAAAAGTTCAGACGTTTGCAAACAATACAAACTTCCACACCTCCGAGTTCACTCTGGAACCTCTGGAGAGTGTTACAGTCGTGGTATTCCATGAAGCTACAAGTTCCCCAGACACATTCACTCTGCATTCCTACTCCACTGAAACAGTTGCGTTGACAAAGGCTGCTCCCAAGTTCCCATATACAAAAACACTCGAAGGACATTGGGATTTAGAAACCTGTGGTGGTAACTGGTCGTTTCAAACGTACGTCAGAAATCCACAGTACGAAGTAGTTGTTCCAGAATGTGAGGAAGATGTCCAGGTGACCATGTCGCTTCACTGCGAACTGGACTCTGTTCTCGTCAATATGCAATTGTTCTTTGACGACACGAGCTCTCCTTTCAAATCCCAGTCACTTATAATGGAGAAATATTCACCAGGCTCAATGACATGCAATTTGACGTTAACGTCGCAACAGAGGTATAAACTGGTGGTGTCTACATATGAGCAGGATATAATGAAAAACTTCAAGCTCATCGTCAACTCCTCGTGCAGCTTACAGATCCAGCCTATCTCTACAAGGCTGGGACTCTATGTCAAGCCGTTCAAATTCCAATGGAAAGGGAAGAACAGGTTCAAACTGCTGATGAAAGTCTCGAGAGAGACCGTCATTAACGTGCACCTATGGACACCACAGTCGTCTATGTCAAACTACAGACCGAAGATACGGGCCAGTCTATTCTACAAGAACGATTCATCGCCCATTCAAATTAACAACGACTTTGACGACCACCTCTTTGGCATCTGGTTGAGAAACCTCAAAATTGATAGCAGATCGCCTGTTATTCTGCTGATTGAGAGGTTTGAAGCTGGTTACGATGAGCTTCAAGGGCAAATTGGAAGTAACCACAAGTTGGAATTGGTATGAAACCACTCGTTAAATTCCAAGTCAATCACCGTAGTTATAGCAAAGTAGTAGCGGGGAAGATGGTGAAAAAAAAACTGTTAGAGAGCATCGCGATGCTCGTCTCTCTCTTAAAGACATAACGAAGCTCCACAAAAGATACTAATTGAATGGCAAAACTCATCAGAAAACAGAGCCTATGGTCACGAATCAAGAGCTATCCATTCGACTTGCTGCTCGAATTGAACGAGCAGAGAGCATTGATCGATTGGGACTCGTACTCTGAGACTGTTGCTCTTCCCCTTGGGGCCATACTGACTGTTGTATACTTCTTCGTAAGGCTCTGGCAAGACCACAACACCGTCAAGGAGACGAAGTCCAAGTACTTTGACTATGGAGACACTCCCTTAAGAGATTCCAGGTACTTTGGTGTTGAAAAATCTCCTATTGAAAGGCTCGTATCCTTTGTCCAAGTGGTGGTGATATTGGTCAACGTCATCAACACTTTACTCTTCATGCTAAAGACAAAGAAGTACGCTGTTTATAACAAGGACTCCATCCATCACTCAGCATCTACACGGAAGGTTACGAGGTCTTCCTCGAGATCAATATTCGCAAAGCTTTTTTCCTCATCTGCCCCAGATGATGACGTTGATAGCTACTGGGAGATCAACATGTGGAACCCTTCGAAGTTTTCAACGTACTTGTTTGTATCGTTCCCTCCTTTCAACGTTGTGTTCCTCTACATGTCCCAATCCTCTTTCTCCAACTTGTTCTTCCTCTTGCAAACCTCTGTTGTGCTATATCTGGTGATTATCAGAGGCTATCTGGTGCTGATGGAGGATAAACAAGTCCTGTTCCAAGAGACATTTGATGAATACGAACGCAAATTCGTGAGACCAAAGCTGTCAGTGGCCAGAAGAGAAGTGGCAGTTGATGCTACAAGAGGTCCTTACGACGATGAGATTGGATCAGTCCAATACTATACACCTGGAAGAACGGAAAAGGTGTTCAAGACACATGATCTCAAGGGTAACGAGAGCGTTGAGCTATTCAGCGATGGTGAGTTTACACCCGTGAAGAGATCAGCTACCAAGCCTACAGATTTGCGAAGATCATTGTATACACCTAGTGCCAGAACTAGAAATTCGTATGCATTACATCATCAACAATCACCATTATCGAGGAAGTATAGTACTAGGCAATGAAATCATAAATCTTCCCACCCAAATAGCCAATTGTTAACTTTATTAACCAATGAGTTTCCCTGTTGTGACTGTTGTTGTAGTTGGTGCTGTTTCAAATCCTTGGACTTGTAGAGGCCCAGTTTGGCACTCTTAGGCTTGACAAAGATCTTATCATCTGTCTTTAGATTGATCTTGTGGGAATTAGAGGCAAACTTCAGCATTGGCTCTTCGTCGTGATGAGCACCTGTCTGCAACGATATGTCAGTCTCCCCCACGTTTGAGCTGTTGCTAATCGATACCGATGCAATGTTCTCAACAGCGTCTTTGGAGTATGGGACGCACCCAATCATAGAGCCATGGAACACGGATCCATTCTCTTCGAGTGCACGGATGGCAGATGCCTTGTTGTCATAGGTCAACTTAACCCATCCACTGCCGGTGAATATTGGATAACTCTTTCTTGGAGTGTCGCTTAGCTTCTTGTGGAAAATGACGCTTGTTCTAGTGGCTTCAAAATCCTCCAGGACATTACCAAACTTGGCAAAATGTGCAATTACTTCATTTGCAATGGATTCAGAATATCCAAACACCAATACTGCGGATTCACCATTTGTTTGGCCTGTGTGTGATCTTGTGGAGTCGCCATTTAACGTCTGCTGTTGTGGTCTGATCCCATTAGACCCAATTGGGGACTTCTTATCTCCAGTTTCAAACAAATGATCTGGAAGAACGTTCTTTGAACGTTGAAAAGCTGGGGAGTTGGAACTAATACCAAAGATACCTGAATCGTCACCACCTTTCACACTCAACAGAGAGGTATTACCCACCTGTAGTTGTTGCCCCTGCTGTTGCTGCTGCAGGTTCTGCTGCTGTAGCTGTTGCCCCTGGTGTTGCTGTTGCTGTGGAGCCAGATAACAATCAGTATAATCCTCACGTTGCAGATCCATAATGGTCTTTGAAGGTGGTAAATCATCAGAGAAAGCATTCACATGGGATGAGTTTTCAGTGTTATTTCTTCTCGTTCCAAACGTCAGGCTGTTCTTGAACCCTGTAGCACCATCGTTGGCTTCAGTGGACTTAGTCTTTGTCAAAAAAATGGAGTCGCTCTCCAAATCGTTATTTGTTTCTCTCTTCAGTGCTCTCCCAGGAGTGCTTCTTCTCTTGGGGTTATTACACCAGCCAGGCTGGGTCCTCTGCGGCCCTCCAACAGACGACCCATTCGTCTTCTCGTTTATAGCAGCCAACGACAGGTTTGTGGAGTCAAACCCAAGGTCAATTGATTGCTTGTGCGTGGGAGTTCTTCTATTTGGAGAGTTGTTGTTCAGATCATCAGAAGATCTATCACCGAGCCCCAACGCCCTGATCTTCAGGTTAAACCCGCCACGAGCGGAGTCATCTGAAGCCTTCGTGTCAAAGTCCCGCTTATTGAGTGTGGTGAACATCGTTAGAGGCCAAATAACCCGATCAGTCCGTCTTCTTCCAGCAAATTCTGATGTTGATTGAAGTACCAAAGAGTGTAAACAAATGGAAGAAACCGGCTGGAAAAAGTTTGAAGATCAAAACAAGTGAGATCCGGTGTCTGCGCACACGTGCTTGGTCACATGATCATCCCGGATCTTGTTTTTCCCACCACCCCCAGTGGCAAAACATCAACAAACAACAAACAACAACAACATCGTCATAAGCATCGTCAGCACCAAAGAACCCATACCTGACGTCTACACGGCTCATATCTCGCACACCAATGACCACACCAACGTTGAACGATGCCAGAGAGGCCGCATCTCAGGGTAACCTGGTGAAGGCTGAAGAACTGTACCATGAAATCATCAACTCCAAGCCGTCAACACACGATTTCTCCAACCAGGAGACGGCGATCTACGAGCTCGGTGCGCTGTTACAGAAGGAGAACGACACTGTCAAGTTGGGTGCACTCGTGCCAGAGGCCAGAAACGTTATTGCGACATTGGCAAAGTCCAAGGCAGCAAAAGTGATTCGTTACTTGATTGACCTCTATGACAAGATTCCTAATTCCACAGATGCACAGATTGACTCCTTGAAGGAATCAATTGAATGGTCTACAAAGGAGAAGAGAACGTTTTTGAAGCAATCATTGCATATTAGATTGGCAACGGTGTACTTTGAGAAGAAACAGGCTTATCAGAGCGCATTGGCGATCATAAATAACTTGCTCAGAGAGTTCAAGAAGCTTGACGACAAGTCGTCGCTGGTTGAGGTACAGTTGCTCGAGGCCAAGGTGTACCATTCTTTGAGAAATATGGCAAAGGCCAAGGCTGCATTGACCTCGGCAAGAACATCGGCCAATGCAATCTACTGTCCAACGGCTACTCAAGCCGAGTTGGATAGTATGAGTGGTATCCTTCACGCTGAAGATAAGGACTATAAAACTGCATTCTCGTACTTTTACGAAACTTTTGAGGCCTACAACACCCAGGGAGATGAAAAGAATGCAGTTAGGGCTCTAAAATACATGCTCCTGAGTAAAATCATGTTGAACTTGATTGATGATGTTAAAAAGATCCTGTCCTCAAAGTACGCTTCAAAGTACAACTCCAAGGAAATCGATGCGATGAAGGCGATCTCCCAGGCATACGCTAATAGATCCTTGAAGGAATTTGAAGAGGCTCTAAACCTGTATGGAAAGGAACTCTCGTCTGACCCAATCATCAAATCCCATTTCAACGCACTTTATGATACACTATTGGAGCAGAACTTGGTCAAAGTCATTGAACCCTTCTCCGTGGTTGAGATTCAGCACATTGCAATGATTGTTGGACTTGATGTGAAACAAGTCGAGGGAAAATTGAGTCAAATGATCTTGGATAAAGTGTTCTTTGGTGTATTAGACCAGGGCAATGGCTGGTTGCACATCTACGATGAACCTCAAAGAGATCCAACTTATGATTCATCATTGGAATTGGTTAAGCATATGTCCGACGTTGTTGAATTACTCTACGAGAAGGCTGCTACTTTGAACTAGACTTTTCAATGGCGTTGATTAATGGAATTATAAACCTTCACCTGCTGCGATTGCTGCACAATTAGCAACCAACGCCAGGTATTCTCTCAAACGATCACAATTCTGGAAAAGCGTGTAGAACTTTGTAGATTCACTTGCAACAACATTTGTAAGTTCCAATGCATCATTGAGATATGAAGTGCTTTGATATCTGCTCTCAACGTAGACGTTGTGCAGTTGAATTATCAAAAAAGGAATGTATAGAGAACGAAGTTCTTCAACCAGGGCAAGTTCATATGAACTCTTCGATAACTCTAAGAATAAAGTGGAGATTGTGTCTTTCAGAGAAGTAGTGACTCTGTTGATGAGCTCAATAAAGACAAATGATGAAACTGTTTGAGGTTGTGATGACTTCTGCCATTCATCAAGGGCATTGAACGATCTCACCAATGAACCATACTGTAAGAGTTCCTCCTTTTCAAGCGTGGAGATCTTCTTCTCAACCAGTGAACCAAGGCTTTCAACATCGTACTGTTTCAAAAGCTGTTTGATGGAGTTTCTTGATGCAAATTCCTGTGCCGCTTTGGTACGTCCATTCAACAAGAATCTTCTGTAAAGGGTCAGTGATGAGGAAATGGCATCTGAAAACATACGTGCCTCAACAAACCATTCAACACCTCTCATTAATTTGGTATCGACGTCATCAATGGGTTGTAGGGAAACACCTCCACCAACTTGGTAATGATCTTCAGTAATTGAGAATACCCTTGCAACCGTTCTCTTCAAGATGTTCTCCAATGGTAATCTGTACAATCTACTGAGTTCTAATTGGTTGTTTCTCTCTTGTGTGTCGAACAGATCAATCAGGAACAAGGAGTAGGCGTCTCTTGCCTCAACCTCTGGTAAGAAGGATACATACAGAGGAATCCAACTGTATTGCTCGTAGAGTCTCAAGATCAAGATGTAAGTTGTTATAAGCTTTGAATGGTCGTCCACTGCAATGGCGTTAGGATCAATTATCGAGAGGAAAATTGCCAAATGTGCGATGACTCTTAGGGTATATGACTCGTTCAGGAGCTCATCAGTATCCTCTTTTCCTAACATCGAGCTTCCAACAAAGCTCAGAGAGGAATGTACAATTGCTGGTATGTTCTTTGTGATAATTGAAGCCATGAGCACACGAAGTGGATGTTCACTTTCGATTTTTCTCTTGCTTGCCACGATATTCAGCACATCCTGTACAGTCATTCTGCTCTTTGGGAAGGATACCAGTAAGTCCTCCTCTGGAATTCTTCCCTCGTTTACCAATGCGAGCTCCACCTCGTTTGTTAAGATATGGTTGAAATATATCAAGAGGTCAGAATCCCAACTAGTGGACGACTCTAACGGAGACAAATCACCAGCGAGGAATCCATAAATCGCTCTTTCATATGTGCTTATCTTGTCAGACTTTGAAAGCCTATACACTGTGCTTCTCCAAAGTGCCCTTTTCTTGATTCCATGTGTCGCTTCTTCAGTGTCATCAGAGATGTCCTTGTCGATGATTGGATCCAAATAGCTGTTCACACCGGTCAAGATCATCTTCATGGTCCAGTTATTTGTAGCCTCGCATTCCAAAGACGCTTCCTTATAGTGTCCGCTTAGAATGAGTTGGAAAATGTACTTGTAAAAGATGTTATCCTGTTCAACATCTCTAGGATCCAGTTTCAGATCAGAGCGAATAGGAGCATCACTATCGTAGCTCTCAAGGGTATTAGACATCTGGGAGTTGAACCACTTGGTCCCAGTGAGCTGCGGTCTCTCAACTTCTGGGGAGTTGCGTTGGACCCACTGGATTATTAGCCAAAGCTCGTACAACTCAGGCTTACTTCTGAAGTACTTCTCCTGGTACACAACGTCCGAGTTATACTTATGTGTTTCAATCTCAACGGGCTTCTCCGAGTACCGGTACTTCAGCAGATTCTCAATGAGGTCCCACAGTCTCACCTCCAGGTCCCAGTCCTCACACTCAGATTCGTCACGGCCATCCTCAATGGAAGATGAGGCCTTCTGGGCAGCAATGTACCTGAACTGTCTCACAATGTCAAAATCGTCAAACTCATCCTTCTTGTCCGACAGCTTGTACAGCTTGAGTACATTGGCAAACTCAGAGAGAACGTCATGATCGTTGCGAACATCTTCCATAGCATCCAACTCCATCTTTGTGAGCGAAGCGCTTTGTTTCCTTCGGTTTGAGAAGTATTAAATGTTTGATTGGAAATGTAAACAAAGGCAAAAAAAAACCTCGAGGATGGGCAAAGTAGAAAAAAAAAAAAAAACGCTAGGCGTGAATGATTACATAATCAAGTGTCCCAATTAGGAAGTCTACAAAGTGCAATACAATAACAATGAATATCTCTATTTGCGTGTTTATATGTGCAGTTTACATCATCTGTTCGACCTTAGAAACACTCTGTGGTTGTACCAAATGGTGAATAGCGTAAACAATATGACTGCCAGACACATGTACTGCGTTACGACAAACGTTTCACTGTAACAGGCAGCACCGTGGATGCAAACACCATCATCATCGCTATTCTTCTTCAAGGTGTATGCCAACAGCTTTGTCATCTGCATGACAACCAGCAATCCGCTTGTGGTCATGAGTCCCCAGAGGGTGGTGAAGCCATCTGTTCCAAAGCAATCGGCGATGATAGCAGGGAAGGTTCCAAAGCAGAATCCAAAGGCCAGGCCAACGACGAATGAAGGGAGTGTCAGTGCATCTAGCGAGTTGATCTTTGTGACGAGATACTGGCCAAGGAGCATCACACACGCCGAAATAGCAATACACCATATTCTCTGGGCATTCAGCTTACGTCTAACCACGTCCGATATCGGGCCTGATGTTAGTCTCCCCAGAAAGCTTGCCAATGCGATGGTGGAGACTTGAACGGCTTGCACATCACCGACTGATAGCTTGGAGTTTGGATCAGATTGCTTGAGGACCACGATGATATAGCCAACACTGTAGATGTACATCTGGCCAATGCCCATCATGAACCCCAAGATTAAATAAAACTTGAAGAATACCCTTGAAAAGATGGCCTTTGTCAAGTGATGATCCCATATTGGAGAGCCTTCACGGACGAAAACTGGTGTATCTTCAACGGCAACGTAGATGGCATCACTATCCGCTCTAACGTGCTTGGGCAATTGCACTAGGGGTCTTTGCATCTGGTCCAAGGAAAGTGTACTCGAGGATCTTGGAGTACCCCATAAACTGAAGATACGAGCAATACTCTGTCTTCGGCTCCCGTTAGGTGATCCTGTGCCAAACAGAGAAGATGTTGAGCCCGAACGTAGCAGAGGATCCTGCTCACCAACTGCCGTATTACGATCCTTTGGGGCTTTCTTATGCTTCTTCTTATCAACAATCTGTAAAAAGTACGCACATCCAATACAAACACAAGGTGTGAAGATGTAAAAGAATCTGAGTAAGCCGGCAGTGTCATCTTTGAAGAATCTCACATTCACATAGGAGAAGATCAACGATGCCACTGCATAGGCAGCAACAGGCAGTGCGCCGGCACTTCCACGGTGATGAGGCCAATTTGCAGTGGTACATTTGATTGTTGAGTAGAAACTCAGAATGGATGCAAACCCAGAGATGGCCAACGCAACCATCAATAGAAAGACGTCGTTGTTGGCATCGACATAACACTTGTGCAAAATATAAAACGCCACAGCCGTCAACAGCCCACCCAGCACTGACGCGAACTGTGGGCCCAGTGAATCAATGGTGATACCAGCGGGCAGACCACCAAGGGCACCGCCCAAACTCAACGCGGTGGACAGCGTAGCAGCTTGGTCCGCGCTGAGGCCTGTCTGTTTCACCAGCTGTGGTGCAAAGATGGAGAACACATAAGGGGTTCCTGAAGCCACGGCGATGAGCACAGCACTCACGAGCGCCAGCACTCGTGGTTGAATAGGAGCGTTCTCAAACGGCATGATGTGTTTCTGGAGACAAACGTTCAGTATTGTTGGAGGAGGCTCTATAGTGGAGGCTCTATAGTCAAAGCTCAGCACTCAAAGCTCAGCACTCAAAGCTCAGCACTCAAAGCTCAGCAGTCAAAGCTCAGCAGTCAAAGATCAGCACTCAAAGCTCAGTCAAAGCTCTATAATCAAAGATCAACACTTCAAGCTCAGCACTCAAAGATCAGCACTCAAAGATCAACACTCAAGCCCAGCACTCAGCAGCCAAGATCAACGTTCAAAACACGACCTTATATACAGGCTCCAACCCCCTTTGTTTACATCAACAAGCGCTTGCGATAAAGAGCGCAATTAATATCGCAACTTTGGCGCTGTGGCCCCCACCGGATTCGGTAATGTCCGATGGGGAGCTTATCAGGAAACTCTAAAGTACGAAACATCCAAACACCACATATAACCACAGCGTTGATTCTATAGGCCGATGAGCCATAAACTATGTACGAGGAGGACTCCTGGTCAGTTGCTTCCATTGGATTGCTTGAACTGGGGTTGCTGAGAGCAATGCGCCTGTATGGAGCAAAAGCTCACGTGAGGCTTGGAACAATGGATCATTCGATACAGCAAGTCGCATATGCATGGACGAGGACCGCGGTGGCCGTTTGGATATTCATAGATCTGATCACCCCGACTTGTCTAATCTCGACACACCAGTCGAGCTCTGCGAGCAGGTCACCTGGGATGCCTTCGGCCTCCTTACCGAGTAGGAACAGCGACTTCTTCGGGAAGGTGGTGTCTCTACCGAGCACGACGGACTTATCCGTCTGCTCGAGTCCAATCAGCGTGTACCCTTCTTTCTTCTTCTCCCTCATGAAATGGGCAATGTCCTCGATCTTCACCTCTTCCATTGGCATCCAATAGTCCGCAGTGACAGCAACATTCTTGAATTGCGGGTGTGACTTGACCCTCAGGTCATCAACAGTCATGCATCCGGCACCAAGGACATCACAGAGACGGCAGATACCTCCCAGGTTTGGTGGTTTGTCGACAAGAGAACTCACAACAATCAAGTCACTTCTCTTTACAACCCTGGCATTTTCGTCAATGTCAAGCACAGACTCCCATGCTCCGCTCTTTGTCTGCAATGGGGATGCTTGTGCCTCAGTGGTGGTTGCTGTAGCCTTATTAGAATTCTCCGACGCACTCCAGCTTGGATGCTTTGCTTCTCCAATAGGCACACTTAACGATTCCTTGTCATTGATGTACAACTCGAATTCATCTTTGGTGATAACGTCATACTCTCTTGGTGAGATACGACAAAGGACTCCTCCAAAGATGGAAATCAAGTTGAAGTCTTCGTAGACGTCCCATAATAAGGCATCACCGGTTCTATACTTACCGGTAATCTCTGATTTCTTAGCCTCTTCAAACAGACACTTCAAGATATCGTTAACGGGTAGTTTCAACCCCTTTGATTCAATTTCTGGGTATAACGACAAGATCAGAGAGTTTGAGAAATGTCTAACAAGAGGCTTGTTGGAAGCACAGTTAGGAATCAACTTTTGGGTAAACTCATCAAAGAATTGGAAACGCTCATCTCCTGTCAATTTCTGTGAAACGAGAAATCCAATTCTTTCAGAGGATGTAACAAGGGTTGGTTTACCTTGATCTTCGAATAAGTTGAACAAAGTGGATCTGTTTGTCGCACTCCTTATGATATTGATTGAGCATATCCACTCCATATATGCTCTGATCCATGGACTGGACTCCTTCTCCAATTTGCTCAAGAGCAACTGCACCGAGGAATCGAGTAATTCACACGAAACTTTCATAGAAAGAAGTAATAGCGATGCAAATGCATAGACTCTTTGTAGCTCTTCGGTACCATCGGTTCTTTTCTTTGCAACAACAAAACGATCAAGGAGTCTTTGCCAATAAGAATCACAGAATGTTGAGGAAACTTTACAAAGAATACTCACAATATTAACCTTGGTCGAAATCTCTTGAGGTCCATAGACTTTTGAGTACAGATCACCAGTGCCCATAGATAGTTCAGTGTCATATTTAGAAGCAAGCACATTCTTAATCCGAAACATGTTAGTGTTGTCTTGAATCAAGGTTAAAAGGTTGATGATCAGCTCAGGAATCCATTCAGTAACCTCAAAATCAGATGGAAACGCCCTTTGATATTGTAATAACTTCAAAGAAAGACGTGGTAGAAGACATCTTCTCGTTTGGGAAACTGAAATAATCTCATTGCCAATCTTTAGAATCATCTTTGCATTGAACTCATTGTTAATCGAATCCCTCAACAATTTCTGATCAAATAAGGTGTCAATGAATGTCAAGTGCATCTCCCTTTGGGAGAGGATTAATCTCTCTGCAGTGATCTGATCCCAAATTGATTCCAAGATGTCCATCGATGATATGAGGTCAACATCGTCATAACTTTTAAACAAAAGCTGTAGAACTAGACAAGTCGATGTGTATGCCTTAAACACACCGTTCTTCAACTCCAAGGTGAGTATTTCCAACACCCTAGCCACTTGGTTTGAGGATACTGGGGTCATCTTCAAAAATGCTAAGATAATGTTGATGAATGCAGATGCCACCACATCTTTATCTTTGAAGTCTAGCTTCAAAGATGTCAACGCAGTATAAAGCTCCTCAATTTGCTCAAATTGGAAAAACTGGACGTCAGAACAGTCAGAAACTTTTGCAAATATAGCACTAAAGAACACCAATTTATCAATAGAAAGATCTTTCAACACAGATTTGTAAAGTGCATCCAGTTTAACAGATCCCCAACTGTTCTTAAACATATCCAATTGCACTAAATGTGTAGTATTGGAGTAATCAAGCGCCTCTCCTTGGACCAATGAGCTCAAATACTCGCTGAATGATGTTGCCAGCTTTGAATCGAGCTCAATCCCACTCTTCGCTAGGCCCTTCAGGAAATCATCTGATAACGAGTATTGGTTAAACAGAGAATAATAAATCACTTGGAATTCAACTTCCCTTGTGGCAAATGCCACATCAACGTTGCTGCAGTACATGGAAACGTAATCGTGGAAGAATTCAATATTCTCCATGTATAACTCATATCCATTGTATTGCACAAACCTTGTTAATGTCTCCAACAGCAACGGGATATCCGGCATGAGATGCTTCACCAGACGAAGGTGCACGGTTTGTAAGGCAATCTCACATACATCATCCTCCGCAGTGGATTCAAACAGTTTATGCAAATCCTGTGCCATTGATGAGTCCAATACATGTAGGCCCTTGAGCCCCTTCAACAAACCAGATGCCAAGTAGAATCTCGAAGGAGCATATGTGGTTGTGATGTTTGCCAGTAAAGCCATGATGTTTCTAATCACTGATTCCAGCTCAACTGATGATTTCTTCAAAGATCTTATGACATTTGAGATGAAGCGTTCCAATCTTTCACCGTACTCGCATTTGAACGTACTCTGGACTTTCTTCACCTGGAAATGAGAACCTTCCAGTGCGTATTTCAAAAAGATTGAGGTTAAGAAATCGTGAGCAAAGATAGATAGGTCCTTTTCAGGAACAGAGTACATCAACTCGAGGGAGTACTTACGTACTGCCTCCATGTTACCTTTGAATCCAGTACATAACAAGGCTAAGCCCCAAGACGGTTTGATTCTCGAGCTTGTAGAGAGCAATTGTACAATATCTGCCTGGGCAGCTATTGCTTGGTTCAGTGCAGTATCAACACCGACGATTTCGTACAGAGTGCAGAACCTCTTCCAATCTTCCTGTATCTCAGCTTTCCGGTCAATGTGAAACGATATCAAGTTGTTATCCACGTTCGTGCTGAGGAGTTGAATGGACAGCTTTAGAATGGATAAGCAGTATTTTCTATGCTCATGGACGCTGCTTGTCAGCCCTTCCTGGATCCACTGCCAATACTCATCAGTCTGAATGACTGTGTTCAAAGCCTTTGACTGTGTATTGTTCTTTGATGTGCTGATCATGAATCTCAGCCACAGGATAAAGCCGCCCGTGACGTGATAGTCCTTCGAGGAGTTTATCAACAAGGGGATAACGTCCCATGTGAAGCGCTGTAGCTCCTCGTCCGCAACGTTTCTCCATCTCAGCACTTTGGTTGCCCTAAGTGTTGTTTGCTCGTTCAAAACACACAGTGTAAATATCACCAGTTTATCCAGTTGTAACGTTCCAACGGTGCACCCCAGGGAGTACACCTTCTCCAGGAACATGAGGGTGTTCTCTAGAGAGAAATCTGGCTCGACGTCTGAGCCGCTGTGCTGTTCGAATTCAGCATCAAACAACTTCACGGAATCCGGCGCAAGCACCATGTTCCTTCTCTGAGACAAGTACGAAAGAATCAGGCTCCCAGAACGGTTCAACACGTTCAGCATTGACTTGGGGATCTTCACCAGTAACCTGATGAGCTCGTCAGAGCTCCCGCTCAGGTCCTCGACGAGTGAACCCTCCACCGTGGATCCAATCTTCCCAACCAGCGCCTCATCGTCAAAGGTATCGAGAAGCTCGATAAGACCTTGGACGTTTTGCTGGTTCGACAAGTCACTCAAGAGCTCTTCACACACCCTCTTTCTCTGGTCATCGCTGAGGAAGCGGATGATACTCGACATCGTCTACACTTAATACCTAGGGCTCTGTTGATGAGATGAGATGAGCTCCTCCTCGAGCCCAGCTGAAAAAATTCATTCTGTGTGTGCCCCGTGACCGATTCTCCTCCAGGGGGGAGGTCAGCCTGTGTGGGCTTAAGCAAGGCTCACCAACACCTCTTCACTTTGTCCTTTGAAGGAGTGGACAAGTTTGGCTGAGTTGAGCTATCAATTGAGTGAAGAACAATGGCTGACGAAGATAACAGTCCGTTTGCAGAGCCCTGTGTGGATGAGTTCACTGATCTGCCGATCAATAACGATGAGGATGAAGGGAGTAGAGGTGAGGCCGATACCTCCAATGTGGAGGGAGACGAGGCCCATGATGACACCACTACGATTACTACTACTACTACCACCGCTGGTGCTGGCATAATTGACGAGGCGACTACTGCCGTGGTTGATAAGCCGAGTGCAGTGACCGGCACTGTGGCTTACAACCCTGAGTTGTATTCCTCGACACATCAGCACTCGTTTGGTGATAAGGACGGTGTCAAGGTTGAGATCATCGATGCCGGTAAGAGTCGAGAGGGGCAAAGCAGAGGATATATAGTGTATACAATCAGCTGCAACGACCAGATTGTCAGAAGACGGTACTCAGAGTTCGAGTCGTTGAGGAATTCGTTGTTGAGGCTGTTTCCGACGCTGGTGATTCCTCCAATACCTGAGAAGCATGCCATTGCTAAGTACGCCACTGCGCCAACAAAGGCCAAAGAGGACGCTTCCATAATTGAGCACAGACGTCGTATGCTTTCGGTGTTTCTCAAGAGATGTTTGAACATCGCGCAGGTCCGTGAATGCTCTGTCTTCCAGAGCTTTCTGGATCCGAACTCCAATTGGAGCGAGGTGCTGACTTCATCACCACTCTCTGATATTCCAAAGAACATCCTTCAGGCAGACCCGTTGGACCCTGCCAACTCATCCGCAGCGCACTCTTACCTGCCAGTTCCATCAACCTCTGTTGTGTTTGTCCGGGAGAATGAAGAAGATCGTAAGTTTAATGCTGTTGAGAACAACGCTAGAGAGTACGAAACAGTCATCTCTGGTGGTGTGGAAAAGGTCAACAAGAGAGTTATGAAACATCTGGGTGATTTGGCTGATGAATTTTCAGAAGCTGGTGGTGTGTTTAACGCATTCAGCTTACAGGAGTCCTCTGAATTGGCCCCCACTATGGAAAAATTGGGACAAATCCATGATAACTCGTACCTCTCCACTGAAACATTGGTGAACTCTTTGAACTTTGAATTCTGTGAACCACTAGGTGAGTCCGTACAGTTTGCCAGTGTTGTCAAGGAATTGCTCAAGTTTCGACAGCAGAAGTCTCTTCAAAGGGACATCACAGCTCGATCCTTGAAACATCGTTTAAACTACTTGAAGTTGTTAGAAAAGGCTGAGGAAGAGTCTCAAAAGATTGATAAAGCATTACAAGCTGGACAATCCAAGACAGGGCAAATCAACTTTGACCGTAAGGCAGCACAACGACAAGAAGAAGAAAGACTACGGCAAGAGATGGGGGACACAACCCCATTGCAGCCAAAGAAGCAGTCCATGTTCAAGATCCCTGGAATCTCCAAGATCTCCAGCATGATCAAAGAGTCCATGGAGTCCGATTCCGAGGCCTCGAGACAGGCCAACGTCACGAAGACCAAGGAGTTCATCAACCAGTTGAGACAAACATACGCAGCTGCAGATAAAGACCTCAAATCGGTGACACTATCTGTAACGTCAGAGATTGAAAAGTTCCACGAGGAGAAGGACAAAGAGCTGGAGGAAATGATATTGGCATACACGCGTGCCTTATTAGACTGGTCACGTAAGAACTTGGAGTTCTGGGAAGAGGTGAAGACGCTTCAGCAGTCTTAGAACGGTAATCGCTGGCTTCTTCCTCGCCTTGAGCTATGGATACCTCGAGACTCACCATCCAACCTGGAACCTCTCTACGAGTATAACCATAGGCCTCCATGTCTATATATATATAACGATCTGGTGTCCGGGTGTGTATCTCGTCGCCCTGGAAACGCAAGTCCCCTTTAAGGTTCCCTTTTCAAGTTCCCTTTGTATGATTTTAGTACGCTTATCTCCGAGGCAACGCCTATTTACCATTTGCCCAATCGGGAAATATCTGGCCAGTGTAGGCTTCCACTAAGGCATCACAGAACTTCGAAACCTTGGACCTGAAACAAAGCAGGCATTATGAGATACTTCAAGAAAAAACCAGTCAGATCTGAAGTAGATCTTCCTTCCTTATCCTTCTTCTCTTTCAAGCGCAAAGTAGCTCCAAATCAAGCGTCAATTGGCCCAGGCAAGAGAGGTTTCACACATTCGTTTGAAGAACAACGGTCAGCAAGCCCAGCCAATGACACTGACCTCTCCTCCTCCTCCGGTTCCGTTCAGAGTGAGAACCATCTACTCATGGGGCGGTTCTGAAGAGGATGACCTTGGGTTTATCGAGGGAGACATCATCGAAGTTGACGACCTGGGCGATGGGAACTGGTGGCATGGACGGTTGAGGAGAAACAAGATGGCCGGTAACTTCCCTTCCAACTACGTTGAGATCATCAGAGTACCGATACCGACCTCCTCAGTGACGCCGTCTGCTGGATCGCCAGCCACCGTGAAGTCGCATGGCAGATCAACGTCACCGTCGTCGCCGTACTCAAAGTCGTCGTACTCAAAGTCACGGATGGCACGAAGCACAAGGCTCCAAGACATCCACCGTGAGAACTCGCAGGAGGACGACTCTGAGATGCAATTCAGCTTCCAATCTTCCCAGAAGTACTATAAGAACCCTAAGGTTACACAATCGTCAGACAAGGTCGTCCAATCGTCCAACATCTCGTCAAACTACGAGCTTCCACACTCACGTTCAGTTCCAACACATCTCCCACTGGAAAGAGGATACACGCATCAGCCACGTAGAGGGTCCAGGGAGCCTTCTCCTCCATTTGCACAGTCCTCAGCACAGTCTTCAGCACCCAGAGGCTATAGCTACGGTCCTTCTGCACCTCCCATCCCACAACATTCTGTGCCAGTGAAGTCCAAGTCTTCTATGAACCTGCCCACGGTTCAAAGACACGCATCACCACCTGAAGTACCAGTGAAGGACTCCTTCAGTAGAAGTGGCAACACAAGACAGCCCCAGCAGCCTTCACAGGAGTTTGTTCTTCCATATGACCCTGAAACGTTAAACCAGTCCAAATCTGCGTCTGGCTCCCAGTGTTCAAATGTCTTTAGTTACTCCAACGGTTCATACTTCACTGATTCTCAAAGCTCAAGCCAGAGTACTTTCGCCATGAGTGATTTCAGTGCCACCAGTGCAGGCTCATATTCAAGACACAAGTGGGAAGAGCAGCAGAGGGCATCTGTCAAGTCGCAGTCCTTGAATACCAGTGCGAGTGGTAATAATCTGCTTGTTGATGACAAGAAGATTAAACACTCTGGTGGAATCCTCAAGAAGTTCTTTTCTACAAAGGATGCACCGCCGTTGCCTTCTATGGAGCAAATGACAAGGACTGTTAACGATTTGGCAGTCAACGATGAGAAGATGAACTCGTGGATTGAATTTAAGATCGATCTCAACAGGGCCAACTCGCTTAGTGCCAAAGAACGCCAGGTGAGGGAGAAAAGGGTTAGAGAGAATGAAGGATACATCATCTTAGAGCCCCATAAGCAGCTCTCTACGATCAACAGCAACGAGTGCATTGAGACTGATCACAAGATGGACTTGGACTCTATCAGCCTCAAGCACGTTGACAGCTTTGTCCGTCAGTTGAAAGTACAAACCAATATCATGTCACCTGATGCCTTCATCACCAATGAATTTGCCATGAAGTTCTCTAGTAAGCTGGAATATCTAAGAGCCTTGTTTGTGCTGTGTGCGGAAAGCTTCACCATCAAGGAAACAAAGGCAGCTGCTAATAAGGACATTGGCACGAATGTTGATGAGCTGTTCTATCACAAGACAGGGACTCCCTTTGAGATGGCATATCTTTTCAAATACATGTGCGATTCCATTGGGCTAAAGGCAGAGTTGATCGAGGGGTCTTTGAAGACTCCACGAGCCATCGTTAGACACTTCTGGAACGGTGTTTTGATCAATGGTGAATGGAGACTGATCGACGTCTCTATGGGCAATCTTGCCAACCCAATCTACGATATCTTGCCGAACAAGACTGAGGAGTCGAACGAATCCTTCTACTTCCTTGCAGAGCCTCTAAATCTCATCTATACACACATCCCAGATAAGTATGAGCACCAGCACATTATTCCACCGATTGACCCTATGGCTGCATTGGCATTACCACCTTGTTTCCCATCCTTTTTCAAGAATGGGTTGATGATCCACAAGTTCAGCAATGCCCTGACGAGACTTGAAGGGTTTGAGATCTTTGAGGTTGACCTTAAGATCCCCAAGGACATCGAAGTCAACGCCATCATTACAACGAAATCCGAAGCAGTGAACACGTTGGCACAGGTGTATTGGAAACATAATGAAAGATACTGTAAGATCAAAGGACACCTACCAGCAAACAGCAGCGTGGGATTTGTGAATATCTTCTCCGGGTTAAGAGGTGTTCAGAAATCACTACAGAACATCCATCCTTTGTCCATGGTCATTCCAATCACTCATTCTGGAGATTTCAGACCTTTGGACTTTGTCATTCGTTATCCAACTGTTCATTCACAGCTCAACGATCTGTACATCAAACAACCTCAGAACCTCAACCTGGCGTACGGCGCAGAGTACGTCTTCAGCATCTTGCAACATCCATCAAAGGGGATAAATCCAAGTGGCAGAACAAAGATAGCATTACAATCACCAAGTGGAAAGATTCATAAATTCGTTAAAAAGGACGACACCACGCCGTTTGGAACCTGGGATCTCCCCATCAAGTGCAATGAAACTGGTATATGGAGAGGCCTGGTCAGCATCGACACCGGTACATCTCTCTGTGTGTTTGCCGAATGGGTGTGTCAACATTAGCCCTTTGTTTACTACTAATAATACATAATTATAAAGTCATATACGAGATATAAGTATCATTCTAATGTTAGAGGAAGGCAGGTATCTGACGAGGATGGTTATGAGAATAATATTATATTATATTATATTACGACAAATAATATTATATTATAATTATATTATAATTATATAACATAACATAACATAACCGATGAAGCTCATCGGCCTCGAAAGATTATTCCCCCATCGGTAGAGAACAATGGTGCCAACCACCCTACAGCCTCAACTGCTCATCCTGTTGAACTGGTGGACCTATAAGAGACATGTCACTCCCATACATCACCAAGCTGGTTGGTAGTAGACCACCGAAGCCAACCGTTCGAGAAGTAGATCAAGAAGAGTCTACATCGTGGTCTTACTTACAATTCGATACAATGGCACGTCAGGTTGATAGTGGCTCGCCATCGTTGGACGACCAGCTGTTCACAGATACCGTCTACAGCCAGAAAGAGGTTGAGGAGCAGGTTAAGGCCATCTATGACCAATGGCTTGAAAGTGGTGATGTGGCACATCTGTTCAGAGACAAACACATCAAGTATTTGAAGATGGTACTGGGACCAGTACCTCACGTCTTCCAGGCTCTGGACGCTTCACAACCATGGATGATTTACTGGAGCTGCAACGCCTTGAGCCTCATGGGCTATGACATTGATAAGGAGCTAAAGGCTTCAACTGTAAAGAAGCTACTCTCGTTCCAGGATCCGCGTGGTGGGTTCGGTGGCGGCCTGGGACAACTTCCACACGTTGCTGCTACATACGCCTCTATACTGGCACTGTGTTTAGCTGGAGATGAAGATTCATGGTCTCTTGTCGATCGTCAAGGGATGTATAGGTGGCTCCTCACCCTCAAACAACAAGATGGTTCATTTGTTATGCATTCTGGAGGCGAGGTTGATACAAGAGCCGTATACTGTGCACTTGTTGTGGCCTCATTGCTGGACATCATCACACCTGAGCTCGTTGAAGGCACTGCAGAATGGCTATGGAGCTGCCAGACACACGAAGGAGGGTTCGGAGGCGTTCCATGGGACGAAGCCCACGGTGGATACACCTACTGTGCCGTTGGTGCTCTCCTGATCCTGGGCAAGGCAGCCTTTGGAAGCGTCAACCTGGCCAAACTGAGCCATTGGATCGTGTCGAGACAGATGCCACTAGAAGGAGGGTTCTGTGGGCGCACGAACAAGCTGGTGGACGGCTGCTATAGCTTCTGGGTCGGTGGGCTCACCGCAATCTTGGACATCTTCATCCAAGATGAGACTATCAACAGAGCCTCTCTCAACAACTACATCCTGTGCTGTTGTCAGAACGAGCGCTTCGGTGGCCTCAAGGACAAGCCCTCCAAGAATGCAGACTTCTACCATAGCAACTACGTCCTCTCAGGGCTAGCGGTGATCCAGAACAAGTTCTCCCTTGGTGATGAGCAGTTCACTGGCGTGGATTCAATGGTGTACAGCATAGCTTCACAGCCAGTGGGGGAAACGGCTCTGAAAGTTGACGCCACCGACCGTCTCAAGCCAATCAACCCGGTGTTTGCCCTTCCAGAGGGCTTCGCCAATAAGATGAAGTCGTACTATGTAAGTTGACAGGTATAGTAATGGCCAATGTTGTCAGTACACGCTGTTGTAGCCCGTAGGCTCGCGGGTAGCAGGGCGGCTCGCCCGGGAAACGCCGCTAAAAAGCACACAACAACAACATCAACAAACATCAACATCGTCACATAGAGCCTCCACTGCCAGCACAGCGCAACGATGGACACGCTGACGGAGCACGAGCAAGAGCTCGTGCACCAGTTCATCTCGATCACGAGCTATACGGATGAGCCAAACACCGCGATACGGTTCCTGAGCCAATGTGACTGGGACTTGGAGAGGGCAATAATCCTCTACTTTGAAGGGAATACAAGGGCCAATGAACAGCTGAACGAGAACTCGAGGCGTGCTCAGGCCCTAGGCGGTGCAGCCACCGTGCCAGGCGGGTTCCCTGGTGATGAGTTGTCTGTTCATGAGAGGCCTCGTGGGTTGTTGGAGAACGTGAGGGCCAGATTGCAGGAATGGGGTGCACACCATGGCCAATATCTACCAGTGTCCACGAATGAGCTGGCGTCGGCAGAGAACTTCATGGGGCTGAGTGGACGGTCAAAGGTGGTGTATATGCTTCAAATGATGCTGTATGTGCCGCTGGTTCTGCTGCAGAAGGTGTCAGTGACGGTGTTGATTGTGGTGTCCAAGCTGTTCCCCATGGTGAAGACGTTGACTGCGAGGTATTCCCATAGACGACAAGGCTCCAGGTCGGAGCCCAAGGGCGTGGACCCTGTTCAGATTGCACGGAACTTCATTGGAGAAATGAACGTCTTCTACGGAAATGATGAGTCGAAGTTGGACTTCTACGAAGGTGGTTACACCTCTGCGCTTTATGTTGCGAAGAGAGACGCAAGGTTCCTGATGATCTACCTCCATAGTGATGAGCATGACGATACGCGTGGCTTTGTTGAAGACACGCTGCTCAATCAGAGGGTGCTGGACTTTGTGAAGGAGCACGATTTCCTCATCTGGGGTGGGAATGTGTTGGGCAGTGAAGCGTATCAAGTTGCCAATGCCGTTGGTGCCACGAGGTATCCATTTGTATGCCTCTTATCGTTGAAGACTAACTCTCAGGAGACGCCGGAAGGTACTACGACGTTTGCTCCAACGCTTTCTGTCGTGTGCAAAGTTCAAGGCAACATCAGTGCAGACAAGCTTGTTGATAAGCTATCGAGCCAGGTGGAGAGGCTAGAGCCTACTCTTATAAGCATACGGACAGAGAGGCAGCAGAACGAGCTATCAAGGGTCATTAGGGAACAGCAGGATCAGGCATACCAGGCATCGTTACAGCGTGATCGTATGATTGCAGAACAGAGACGACAAGAACAGCAAAGGGAACAAAATGAACAGCAATGGCTCAGATGGAGGGCTACACAACTACTACCGGAGGTTCCCGTTGAACAAAAGGGACAGTACGCAAGAATAGCCATCAAGTTGACCAACGGAGAGAGAATCTCGAGAAGATTCCCAAGGGACTCACCTCTTGAGGAGATCTATGCCTTTGTTCAATGCCACTCCCGAGGATTAATAGGACAAGATGTGTCTTCTAGTGTCTCCAAACCACAGGGATTCACGTATATTTATCCATTCAAATTGATCACGCCTATGCCACGCTCAGAGCTGCAGAGCTCTACGACGATTCATATTAAAGATGAACCAACGGTTTGGCCCAACGGTAATCTCATCATGGAAATGAATGATTAGATTAAAGCACTTGTCCCACACTTACAAATCGTTATCAACAATCATTTCGCAGATTTCTTCTTCTTCTTACCCTTCTCTTTCTTCTTCAGCCCTGTAGCCCCGGATTTCACCACAGACGAGTACTCCCTCCAGAACTTGCTCAGATGCTCAGGCTCCACCTGCGTTGAGATCTTCTGCTTCTTGGACTTATCCTTCGCACCGTCTGTGATTCTTATCAGAATTGGATACGTCTTTGTAGGCTTCGTTATCTTCGAGACCGCCAGTAACGGTGGCTGCGACAGGAACTGGGACACCTGGCTCTTCGAGTCCTCGTCTTCTACCGGGTCCTCAACATTGAGACGCTTTTGCGTTATATACAACGACGATCTCGTCTCTTGCGCACTTGCAAACAGCTTTGCTGCTGCTTGGAGGAACTAACGCGGCAATGTTAGTCTCCCTTGCTTGGAATATCCATCCTACAATGTCCTCACATACCTCTGAATTGCTTAGAAGGGCCATAATACGGCGTTGCTGGTGAACAGATGTTGCAACTGTGTGTCTCGACGGTTCCGTCCGTACTCGAAATGGCGGTGGAGCGTGAAGAAAGCGTGGAAAAAACTATGGAAACACCCAAACACCAAGCACCCAAGCACCCAAGCACCCAAGCGGCGGAAGTTGGTGTAAAACCCGTTGGTGGGATGGCAGATTACGTAACACGCCGATTCGGCCACTCTGCTGCTGTTGCTGTTGCTGTTGTTGTTGTTGTTTTTTGATCATTTTTTGGTTGCTATGGTTCCCTGTTCCTGTGGTTACCATTTGCGGTCGCCGCGTGTTTACCTTTTACCCTTTTAAGAAGCCATACCGATGAGCCCTAAGACCTGAAACCATTCATCAAGTTCCAAGCTCAGCGTGTGAGCCTACTAGCTGGAATTGCTAATTTTGACACATAATTAGCGTCGAGATTCCCACCAGTTCCGAAATTTCATGTAACGAATACAATTGGTCTTCTGGCTGCTCCAACAAGGGCTATAGTAATAGTGGACATAACTGCACAGGAGGAATGAGATATCTCAGTGCAAATCAGTTCGAAGTGTACGAGCAAATTGGCAAAGGTGGGTTCGGCGTTGTGTACCGTGGGCTGGACCGTGTGACCAAGACACCAGTGGCCATAAAGCAAGTGGATTTGGAAAGCACAGACAGCTTCCAGGATCTCCAGAAGGAGATCAACATCTTGAGCCAGTGTCATCTGAAGCAGATCACCAAGTACCACGGATGCTTCGTGAAGGGGTATAAACTTTGGATCATTATGGAGTACATGGACGGTGGAAGCTGTAGTGATTTGCTCCGGCCTGGTCCTTTCAAGGAAAAGTACATTGCCATTCTGCTGAGAGAGCTGTTGGAGGCCTTGGCCTATCTCCATGAGAAGGATAGGATACATCGTGATGTTAAGGCAGCAAACATCCTTCTGAACTCACAGGGAGACGTGAAGATCGCAGACTTCGGTGTCTCGACACAGCTATCCAGCAACTTGTCGAGAAGAAGGACCTTTGTCGGCTCGCCCTACTGGATGTCACCAGAGGTGATATTGGAAGAAGACTACAATTGCAAGGCCGACATATGGTCCTTGGGTATCACCGCGATTGAGCTTGCCACTGGTAAGCCACCGTTGTCGAATATCCCACCGATGAAAGTTCTGTTCCAGATCCCAAAGCACGATCCTCCGAGATTGGAAGGTGACGATTGGTCTCCTGAGTTCAAACAGTTCGTTGCAGCATGCCTTCAACGTAATCCAAACAAGAGGCCAAGTGCAAAGAGGCTGCTAAAACTCAGTAAATTCATACAGTCCGCTGGTAAGAGCTCCAGCCTGAAGGACTTGATCAAGAGGCAACAAATCTGGGATCTAGAACATGACGATCAGAACAGGACCAAGTACTATGTCCCAACCGTGGAACTGAGCCAGCGTGGTTCTTCAAGTGACAAGCACACGCTGTGTAAAGCTAACATCAAGTTCGACTTTGGTGATGATCCTGACGACTCCAATGAAAAGACTTGCACCAACGTTTCAGAGTCGGAGGTCATAATCACCAAGAAGAGCCCACTCAAGAAGTACGGTGTGCTACAGGAGAATAGCAATGTTCTCAACATGAACTCCATCTCTGTATCTAACAGTGACAGCAAAATGGTGCATGCCTCCAGGAGCCATATTTCCCGAAACAGCGTTGAAACGGCATTGAAGGCTTCCATTGAGTCCCTGGACCTACACGACGACGTCCAGCTCGTGAAACTACAGCAGGTGAGCTTCTTACTACAAGAACTGGACGACAACGTACTTTCACAATTCTGCAATAACTTTGCACAGAGAATATCAGCATCCACCACCTCGAGCCTCCGAAGTGATGGTCCACAGCACACCACAACGCACAGAAGGATAACAACAACCGATCCGGCACGTTCGGTATCGAGAGATAGACCTAGAGGTCCGAGAAAGGCGGAGAGTGAGAAGCTCTTGCTGAAGAGATGGGCAGACCAGTACTTTGCCTGAGAGTCGTGAGCATGTATATAACACCTCCATACACCACATAACCATATAACACACATCATATAACTCACACCATTCACACATTGGCGTAGATTCAGCACATCTGTCCAACAGCAGCTTCCCCCTATTCCCGTGGCTGGAGAACGTGGGTTTGTTACCCCAGTTACCACCTCGAAAACCTCATACCGAATATGCACGTCCTGCAGGTGATCTTGTCACAACGAAAATCACCAAGGAAACCCACGTTTGCCTCCCCCACCCCCTAAAATGAGCCTGTAGATAATCTCAAAACAGCATCGCTGATCTATTCGAACCCGGGCCTACACACGTTGTTTCCCCGTGCTGGTGTGGTGGATAGTATAAAAGGGCTCGTCATTCCCGCACATCGTTGAGTCTCGCTTGGAGGTGTTGACGGTACCAGTTGAAACACGCTGTCGAACCATGATGCTTTGTATTGCTGTGCTGTGTGTGATGGCGATGGCGTCTGCCTCGCCATTGCCTCCTATAAAGGAGCTACTACCGTCGCTGAAGGGCTCACCAGTGACCCGTTACCAGTCTGACTTCACAAGGGATATCTTTGTGAAGCAAATCCATTCCCATAATGACTACTGGCGAGACGTGCCCTTGTACACGGCGCTCTCGTATGGAGTCCAGTCTGTTGAGGCAGATGTTTGGCACTTTGAGGACGACGAGGTGCTCTACGTCGGGCACCACGAGGCTGCTTTGGGCCCACAGCGAACGCTTGCTTCGCTGTATATTGACCCCTTGGTTCAGATCTTGAGCCAGGCAAACCCGGAGAACAAGTTCACCAGCGAGCAAAAGAAGCCAAATGGTGTCTTTGACACTTGGTCCTCTGCAACGTTGTACCTGTTCATTGATGTCAAGACCAAAGGCAACGAAACGTGGCCATACGTGGAAAATGCCCTTCAGCCTTTGCTTGAGAAGGGTTGGCTAACCCAGTTCAACGGTACTGATATTGTTCCTGGCCCAGTCACGGTCATTGGAACTGGTAACACACCAGCAGAGTACGTTTCATCGTTGAGTACAAGATCCTTCTTTGTTGACGGACCGTTGGCAAACTTGACAGACTCGACACCGTACACTCTGAACCCGATTGCATCTGGTTCTTTGGCACAGCTCATTGGAGTTGACGGAGCTGATCAGATTGACATCAAGGGCCTGAACGAGTCCCAGTTGGGCCTTTTAAACGAGACTGTGACCAAGGCACACTCCATGGGGATAATGACGAGACTGTGGGACGTCCCATGGTGGCCAGTGGAGAAGAGAAACCAAGTGTGGTCCCAGATACTGGCTGTCGGTTCTGATTTCCTCAACGCAGACGACTTGGAACTGGCCTCTGAGTTCCTTAGCTAGATGTTAATGGATGTGTCTACAGCGTTGCCGTTTCTACTCTTTTCCTTTGTACTCATTCAAACGTGTCTAATAGTATTGCAGCTCCTTTGGAGTCATTTCATATTTAGCCCAGGTTGCCATGCAATTCTCACTGTTCAGGTTATCAAACTGTGAGAACTTCCCACTGGCACATTTGCCATGGCATTTGTCGCTAGAGGGACAATTCATGTAGGGGAAATGTTGGTAACCAATGTCTCTAAACCAATGGATCTTTGACTTGTCAGCAAATAGGGCCAGTCCAACGCTATGTACAGGTGCATCACCCCATCTTTCATAGTAAAATCCACCAGATCTTTCCAAATGCTCCATCCATTTGCTATATGCTTCGCCTCTATAGAAGTCCATATCGCCAACTTCAAAATTGCTCCAGAAATGGCATGTTGAATAGCCCTTTGCAGTCTGATAGTTGTCAGGCTTCTGTAAGTTCTCCCTCAACCAAGTGGTTGCACTGTTCTTATGAAGGTACTGAGGGTTCTCTTTAAGGAACTCCAACGTCGTAGGCCACAAGCTCTGAACAGAGTCTGGTGAGTCGTATAGATTCAGCACGAATCCATACACCTTGTCATTATCCTCCATGAACTTGAAAACGTCATAGTCTATATCGCAGAAGTAATCTGTACTTGGCTCCAGTCGCCAATAGTAGCGATACTCCTGTAATTTTGGATGGTTGTAAAACCCTCCAGAGTAGAAACGACACATGTTGTGGTACGACTCCTTGTTGGCATAGCCAACTCCCTTCTCTTCCAGGTGCTTGATTCCCTCCTCCTCTCTTGCAGGGTCAATGCTGGAAGGCTTCCCCCAGACCTCTGCGGGAACCAGCTCAAAGAAGCACTCAGACTTGGTAGCAGAACGAACCTTCTGTATAAACTTCTCGTTGAATGGACGGTCGTTCAGGAACACATACGGATAGTGGAACTTGTCGTTGAAGGTCTCTTCAATCTGTTTGATTGTCTTCACGATGCCATGCAATTCACTGTTTCTCACCAGCGATACAAACGTTGCGTTTGTCAGTTGATACTCCGCGTCCCCAGGCCTGGTCAGTTTGAGGCCCTTTGGCTCGTCAATCCTTTGTGAGAGCAGCGAGGAGACATAGTTCTTATTCTCCTTCAGCACCTGGCCAGAGGTTCTTGAGCTGTCTTCTGGAAAAGCCGGCGTCATCAACGCTTCAACGTCACCAGCAGCGGCCACTGATCCACCAGTGGATGAGCCACCAGCAAGCCCGCCGGCAATCCCCTCGTAGAAGGAGGACGTGTAGTTGGCAATCCAGTCCATGCTCGGGGGAACAACCCGTTGCTTCACGGTTTCATGGCTGAACGCGCTGAGCACGGTAACCACCGATATAACCAGCAGGATCAACACCGTGCCACGTCTTGCAATCCTCCTAGCAGGAAACATCACCATCTTCTCTACCTCTCTACCTCTCTGTGTGTGTATGGAACGAGCCCCTTCAATTGACTAAAGCTAACAGCTTGGACAGAAAGGTGGGTAAGCTGCAGTCGAACGTGGTTGTGTTCTCGTCATTGGAGGCTATTTCATCTTGGAAAAAGCCCTGTTCTCACGACTTCTATTACCAAATTCCTGGGGGTATTGAACCACTGGAAGCGGTATGGTAAAATTAGCAACTAAGCGATTGCCCCGGTTACACGGTGGCCTTTTGTTCCTCGCTTTGGCGAGGCTTCCGTTTATACCACGCCCTGGTGTCAGGGGTTCGAACTTCGCCGTCGCCTGCTGTAGGCAGTGGACTCATCGTCGAAGTGATATTAGGAGACGAGTGCTCGAGTAGCGGACAGTTAGGCACCACGCTATGCTGGGCTTATGACATACAGCATATGGCATAGAGCATATGCTGCGTACGATCACTAGTACTGGACTGGATCATCACTCTTGACTACTTTGGAGCCACTTCTGGTGCACCCATTTGGCTGCGTTAGCACGAAGCTCCGTATGGCCAGTATGCCCATTATTCAAATTCTGTAAAACCATAACACGCTTCTGAAAGCTTGGGCCAGCGTGATCACTCTATAGAGGCCGCTGCTGGTGAGATCGAGGTGCCCACTGGAACGTGCTCTTTGTCAACAACTGCAAAGGATCAAGTTGAAACCCAGGCAGTGGCTACAGCCCAATTCACACCGCCTTCCCATAACGCTCCCCCTATAATTGATCTACCCACATTAGGACCTGCCGGTACCTTAGCACCACCTGGCCGTGTCCAGCATTGGCTCGTCTCCCTCTCCACGCCCCCTTCGCCTTCCCCTTCCAAAGAACCTCACCACACAATAAGAAGAACGCTTCGTCATGACACCAGATTACGCTTCTACAGTTTACAGTACATATGTGATTCATATAACCTTGTTTCAAAAAATGCCCATATCCCGACTCCCGGCTCACATCCTGTGAAATCAGCACTCTGACCGCTTACTCTGTCCACTGGAGCTCTTCAATTGATGCTAGCTCAGTTGCTGGGAGACGTGGCGTTGTTGCATGGATAAAGTCTCACATCCCACGCCGTTCCATATGGAATCCAGAATGTGGTGCTAGGAGATGCAAAGCCTAATCAAAGTGGATACCATTTCAGTAACTCAACCAAAGTGCTGATCGAACGACTTTTTCTTGGTGGGCACAGATTTATACGAGCTCACGCAAGCTGATGAGCATTGGTAGGGCTGTTCCACTATTCCCAACAAATCCCGTACATAGTACATATCACTAAGGGAAACACAATTCCGATCACCGTGGTGCTACATGGTGATACGTTGTAGCACGCAGACTCTCTTGCAACAGCCACTTGTACCGAGTGTACTTTGGCAGCCCTATGTAAAGCCATGAGGGTGTGCTACAACCGTTGCCCCAAAACCCAAAAACCCATGGTTGCCTCACATGCAGCGGACAAGTTGGTTGTAAGGCTCGTGAGTGCGTATACGCTGTGGTGGGCTACATGGGTCTCTGTACCAGAAGCCATACTGGAAACTGTGGTTTTGTTTCAAGACTCTTTAGGAGGGAGTCGTGGTGGTGATGAGGCTCAGAGTTGCCACAGATGCCGAAGCCGATACCATTCTATGGCGATTTTATCGTAGACGTCTTAGCCTATACAACTGCTTATATTGATAAATGGCGTAGATGAAGTGCCGTGGAATCGTCAGGCCGCACTGAAGAGGAGAAGTTGCGGATAAACTAGAATTAAGTACAGTTCCAGCTTGTACGTTGTTTTTGCATATGCTTACCATTGTACTCCAATGTCTCGTGCGAATGAGATGATTCGCACTGGCCCCAGCAAGTGACATGGGCTGTGTAGATACGCTGGAAGCCGATCGTACTATGTACTGTGAATGAGCGTGTTAGTGGTTGAGTTACGACCATGTGCGCCATGATGTGTCGTAACTTGTTTTCATAATTCTTGATAATTAATAATTGGTTAAGCGTATTTATATAAGAACTAGGGAAACTGGGAAAGGTTTTACATGGACAATGTACATGCCATGCACCGGGATTGGAATAATTAACCAAACGCTTTCCCTGTAAGATGGGTATGAAGTGAACAATGTATACGCAGGATCAACAAGTTGGTAAGCCCTTTCGCTTTCGAAAGGTTCAAAGAGTTAAACACACCCTGCTACATGCGTGGAGATGTTTTCGGTCATATTTGGCTTATGTCCCATTAGACACATACGAATCAGCATTTGCCAGGGTTCAAGGGTTTGTCTTGATTTGTTTTGTTTGGAAGGAAACAAGGAGAGATGCTTCGTCAGGGACGATCTCTATTCGTATGCTCGAGATTGTCGTACACACGTACAGTGTTACAGCTGGAAGGCCATTGTACACATTCTCTTGCACTATTGTCCTATGTTTCGGTGTGTTTTAGGCACTTTGCAAGTTCCAATTCCACGTTATTGACGGTGTGGGAAACTGGAATCAAGTTGTACTTGAATGTGTAAATACAGGGATGTACATTCGGACAAAGAACGTACAACTATGGTCCATAGTGAGAATATCTGTCCCGGATGAGCTCTTCCACATCTAATCTCCAACGTCCGAATTGGACACAATGCATGTAGATTTGTACAAATTCCCACTGATTCATAATACAGAATCGAATGAGACAAGCCAGCCAGCAAATGTAAAAACTAACTGGCTCAACTGTAATCAAACTGTACTTCCTAGACGAATAACGGGTCATGCCTTTACATTATACATGATTACCATCCGAAATGAAAACAAAGAACTATTTGTAATCTTTATACACTACAAGGGTTGGTCCAGATCTTTCCCAAATTAATTCGAATTAAAAGGCATAAATGCATGTTCATAAACAACGTGGATATCCGTGTAACATCGATAAACGAAGACGATGCTTTCGGTAAAGTTTGAATTTCGTAAGCTCGGATGTGTGTAGAATCCTCAAGCGCAATATTTCAAAGATCAGCCATTGGCTATTATAGAGATATTCCGACTGCCGTCCAATGAAACAAGAAAAAGGAACTCCTATCTCATGTGAATGTGAAATCTCTAGATGAACAGGTCAAGTTCATGATGTAAAATGTGCATGTGTGTATGAATGTCGTAACTGTATCACAGAAATATAACTGGTAGGATCTTGCGGTGTAAAGTTCTCTAGTTCAACAAGCTCGCCAGACTCGACGTTGAAGGGACTGGGACTGGCAACTCACGCCCAACAGAGTATGGTTTAAGTGAGGGAAGCTTTGTTTGGAATGGCTGGTTGAATGGAACAGGAGGTAACGTGTACTGTTGTTGGTACAAAGGTTGCGGAGAGTGAGATTGACCAACTATGTATCCAACAGACTGTGCTGGAGGTTGGTGGTGTGTATGGCGAGCTGGTCCCACTGGCTGGTGGTACACTGGAATATGATGTTGTGGTTGGTATTGATACTGTTGTGGTGCATTGTGCAACTGTTGTTGGTGATATTGAGCGTAGTGTTGCTGTTGTTGTTGTTGATGATGCTGTTGACGCTGTTGCTGCTGTGAGGGATATACAATGTGATCTTGACCCTGGTTCCGTAGGGAGAGAAAGCTCTGAGCAACAGCATGTTCGTCACTGGTCATTGGACTCTTTGGACTAACAGAGATAGGACTCACCAATCCAGTCGATGAGTTTGGCAAATTTGGGGATGTGGATGAAGCCATGGCGTTCGTAGTGGTTCTGCGTGATTTTGCCTTGCAGTGTGGGCAAGAACCCTTCTTGCCAAAACGACGTGGAACATAACGGTAACCAGGGTATTTCTCAGCGTGACGCTTCTTCTCTTCTTCAGCCAACTTGTTCCAGTGTTCCTTCTCCTTAGGAGATAGATCTCTCCAGCGACGTCCAAGTTCACGAGAAACATCTGGATTCGTCTTAATCATATCGCCCTCGTCCAAAACTCTCTGATGGTATTGTTGGCGAAAGAGAATGAACGCATTACGTGGTCTTGGAATGTGAGATCCATCAGCTTTGCAGGTACACTTCTGTTGCTTTCTTGGGCTCGATTGCACCGTGAGTGAAGGAGGCGATGATACAGTGACGTTCATCACTTTTGGTCTTGAGGGCTCAACTGGCACCGCCATTGGTTGCTGTCCAAAAGGAACTCGCATGATATCCGCCAAGGGAGGAAGCGTAGGTTTCTTTTCAATAGTATTCATGTTGTGATTTGTTGTCTTGTATGTGTTGATGTTCGCTGTTGGAAATAGTTATTCCGAAACTTGAAGTCTGGTAGAACGGGAAAGGCTCAGGTTATAAATACGTTATTTCGATCATACACAGAGAGGAGTAACAGGGAGGAACTCTTCATGTAAGAAGTTGGGAAACTCTCTTTTCTATATGCATTTTGCATGTCTATACATGTACACACATATCCGTGCATATGCATATGTAATTGCAAAGTTGAAAAAGAAACGTTGGCTTTGAAACAAAAAAAAAAAAAGAAAAAAGAGAAATGTCCCAAAAGGGGACACATGGGACAAGTGGTAGGAACACAGAAGATGTGGTGGAGTAAACCCAATTTATACTTGGCTGCAATTTTGGACATGGGACATGGGCTTGACACGTAATGGAAGTTAGTCGCTATCTTGTCTTTGGACGATGAAGATAAATCGTGAACGAGATTCGAGCACAAATCAACTGTAGAACTCTAATAGAAAGTCATACTTCTATGATTCAGCTAAGACAAATGAACCTGAAGTATTCTATTCATATCTGGGCGAGTGATCGCTATATCTGAGTGGCGAGTGGGTTGTAACACGGTCATTGGTTTGCTGCATCTCATTTCTCTAGCGGCTCAGTAACTAAGGCATACACTTGCAAGAGAGGTTAAGTGGTCCCTAAGGTGATTGACTGCGTGATTCTCCTTCGAATTACTGTATTTTGCCAGTTAAAATTGTGGCAACGACATAATTAGAAGAGAAAATCTATATTCATACATAGCTACTGTATGTAGTCAATGAGTATTCCATTATTATTTTCCTCGGAAGGTTATAACAGCATCCCAAGTTGTGGCAGTTTAAAAAGAATAACTGCAGCACGTAGTCGGTTTTGAATAGGGCAGCATGTTGTATTGAACATATCAACTCTGTGTCCTCAAAGCCAGATATTTTTTTTGAATACAAAAAACAGCTAAGTGTACAGTCCAAGTATGGATCTGCTTTTGTAATTTTTCCATCTCTTCGAACTGTACGTCTTGTAATACGATCCATGTTGCGGCATGATGCACTGGCTCACAGTTATAGTTACCCACTTGTAACTTACAATCGAATGAAAATCAAGGTTGGACGTAGCATTTGTTGATACATACCGAGCAAATAATTATTCACAGTTGATAATAATAAATGGAATCCATCTGCTGTAGAGCATATATCTTACTGTCGCGGTTTGCACCAGGGTATGAAACATTTCATCACCATAAAAAACTACCATGTGTAAGGGTTGAGAAAAACCTAGTCATGACGGAAATCTGCATAGCCCTGGTAAGAGTTATGGGCTTTATCGTTTATGTGCATGTGCGTAGATATAGGATTCAGGCTGTACCTGTGGTGACTATGAACAACTCTGCTGGAAGGTGGGAAGTATTGACGTATAATTCTTTTATACGCGGATGTTCCAAAAGCGAAAACGTGAATCACTCATTTCTAGGGTCCCGTCAACTTTCGCCGCACAGGCTTTATAGATGCCCTATAGTCTGGAACTTCCAGCGCTATACGGGAAGATTTTCAACACAATCCTTCGTCTCCACCCCCCACCTCTTATGCTATATGGATGTAATTAATAACAAGTGTAATTAAGTTCATACCCATCTCTCGTATTTTATGAGGATATCTGTGATTTACCATCAGCAGACATGTCATTCTCCACCTTAGTCATTTGTTGAAAAGATGTCAACATCACAACCCATGACCAAGTCACCAATTTTAACACTTGTTCAGACCTATTCCCAGGTGTTGTATGTATGAAACATCATTCATTACCCATCTGGACTACGGAATAAAAGTGCATGGGACTGCAAGAAAAGGAAATTCACATAGGTTGTGTCGTTCCGCATCTGCTTGCAGAGCCAATGCGGGCTGTAAAAGAAAAACATCAAAGGTTGAACTCGTAGTTTTCATGCTTCAAGCTGTTCTTCTCAAACTTGTAATCATAACCAAAGCAGGCTGAAACAGGTACTATGCTGTATTTCAATAGTAGAACTGCAAATTTAGTGATCCTATTTTGTTTGCAGGCATTCAGCCAAGATTGCTCTTTTTTTTCGAAAGTGTAGCCCACGTCCTGGGACGGACAAGGTCTACGAACGAAGATGGGCTTAATGACCTCGTGAACTTTGTCTTCCAAGCCTTTAGACCGGCGAGGTTTTTTAGCCGAATCAGTAGCATCTAATGGATATGTCGTGACTAGCGAAACAGGCTGTGCCTAAATACCGATACGGCAAGTCTAAAGCATACGTGAATTGTCTTATTGCTCTATAGAGGCCAAACAGTATAACAGCTGGACACCAATAGAAGATATGATTTAGATTCTCTGTTGGGTTGTCTCAAGTTAGAGCCTTCTGTGCAGATTTCATATAGTAATTCGACGCAAGCGCCTAGCCTTGAATCATGTATTTTGACATTAATGTTTCATTCCGGACTCCTTTACTTGCATAGGTTTAGGAATTACACTGTTGACAGGTCTCATTTGTCTCGATGTTATAGAACTAAAAGCGTTTTTCATGCTTATGTGAAATCCTTTCAAACCCCTCCATCACTGTCTGTAGGTTTTTTTGTTAATCATGGATAGTCTTATTTGTCCGGTAGGCGAAGCCTTGGGCTTCTTCATGCTTTTAGCATATGCCTAGAGTTTTCATTTTTTGCCTTGAAACATTTCCTTAGCATTGCCGACATTGATACAGATCAAGAGCTGTCATTATAATTAGTCAGCTCTCAATAGCCGAAGAATTTGATTTGGCTTGGTACAAATCGCTTGAACATGCGAACCATAAGGCACTGGCTCAAGTTAAATTCGAAAGGCTCTTTTGTCCTTAGGCACTACATATGTGACATGGCATAAAGCACAACATTACATACAACTTCTACGAGGAGCATTAGGGCACTTAAACAATTCTGATGGGAAATTATGTTGGGCTTTGTAGTCATAAAGCCTTCTGAAAAGTTTTCTCTAGCATATTCATCAGTTTTTCAAAAACCCTGCGTATCTCATGAGCAGCTGGCGAAGTGGTCATCTGAAAAGTGGCTAGCAATGATACAATCAATGGCCTTCTCGTGACATACTTACCAAAGATGCCTGTTTCTTAACTTACTGAAGTTTTCCAGGTTCTAAGGTGTTTGGATCTGTATACATGAGGGTAGTGTACAAGCAGTTAGTTTTCTATCTCCTCTCTTGAATGATATTCGAATCAGATGATGTCAATAGTTTCATTTCGTATTTTTGTAATATGTGTATATTTGTAACTGGAATTAATTAATGTATAGTGGTACGCTAACGAAATTTGTTGCCTACTATCTTGCAGTCCACCTACAACAAACAGCGGCATATTTTAAAACCTAATAAATAGCAAACTTCATATCCTAAGTGAGTCGAAAAGGTACAACCGTCTTGCTGGCATTACGATTACCGAGTAAATGTCTTCAATGACGCTATTAACTACACAAGTTGACGTTATAATAGAGTTTCCACTCCAATTGATTAAATCAAAACGGTTGTCCTTTCTAAAAAACACTAATCCATATCCGTTTGAGAACTATATTTACCCGGTATTTTCTTGGTTCTTGACTCTTTGTTAGGACCTAGTAGGTTACAGTTGGACAGGAAAGATCACTAAAGATTTCAACATCTACGTAAACGTGTTACTGCCAGATCGACAACAAGTAACGCAAAACAGAGTAAATTAACTGCCTTCCTTTCTTGTCTCGTATCTTTCTATCACTATTATCCAATGTTTTGTTTGCTTTAAGCAAGGCTATACTTTCAGCCCTAATTACTGAAGCATAACTCGAGAAAAGTTAACGGTTGAATAACTTAACATAGCTGTAGTTCGCGGATGCGTGTCCCGGAGTTATTGTCTCCCACTCATCGCTGAATTGGGCCTTTTGCGCGCTGGAAAAATCGAACGACATCAACAATTTGAATTCAGGCGTTGCAAAGTTTTTCTACTCTGCATTTTATAGGCATTACATACAAACCTAAATTGGTTCACTGCTCCAACTGTACAGTTTTCTTTTGGTTTTTCGTCAAATTAAATTGGTGCCTTGTGCCCTCAGGGCTTCAGCTCCTGGCCTTTTGCTACCAGTAGTGGCGTTGACTGATCGTTCATAGTACCATATACGTACATAAATATTCTTTTGAGGGAATGTACACAACATTATAACTTCTGTTCACATAAACGCCGTACAACTGGACACGACAAGAAGTTTGACCTTGGGTCAGAGAACAGCTCAGGTTATTTGAACTTGGTTACCCCACCGATGAAGTACAATCATTTTTCCCTTACACTTGAAAATAATCAAATCTATATGGGTTGTTATGTATTAAGGAAATTCCGCTAGTAAAGATTGCGATTTGAAACTTAATCGATTGAGTGTCCGAATAACATATCCGGGCCTTTAGTATGGTTCATTAATATTCCCCTGAGGAGTCCAGACCCTTGGGCATTTAACAAATCTCTATGTTGAAACCAAGTGATTTTTTAACGGTACCAGAATATTTTGAGTCTGCGTCTCCAAAACCCCAAATATGCGTCCAATGCTTACACATGAGGCTATTGCATATGCCATGTAAGAAATGCTCGCAAATTTTCCGCACTTAGAAGTCGAAGCACCTAGCACGCTAGTGAACGTGACTTAGTGTTCAATTGCCGACCAAAGATGCAATTGTTAATTACTCAATATATGCTTTCTATAGATTCCGTACGAAACTGGAGTGAACTCAATGTGAGTTAATAGCGTCAGGACATTGGTCCCATATGTACTACATATGTGAATTCGATGTTGAACGTAGAAACTCTTGTAAGCGTAATGTCGAAAGCGACACTTGAGATAACTCTTATCACTAAGGCGTTCAAGATTCGCAACTAACAAGTCATAACAAGGCATCAGCACCTGGCACAGAATTATGGTTTTCCACAACTACGGACGGCCACCGGCTCTTTCTTGAAACTCGCAACCTGTAGCTCTATTGTCCTGCAAGGTGCACTCATG